CCATGCAAAGATAGGGAGCTAATACATTGACAGGGCTACCAATTTATCTGGGGACTCCAAAACTGAAAACACGGCAACCCTGCTAATGTATTTGCTCCCTTTCTTTGCATGGAGAGTTTGTCTTCATGTAGACGTGGACTCTCAGGGTAAGGTGGGATATCCCCTCCATTTTGACCTCAACTTGAGAGCTTTTTTTGAGCTTGGGAGATGATTTCAGAGAAAACCAGTGGCACCATTGTGTTCCTCGCGAACTTTTATACAAGAATCAACAGTTAAATTGCAAATTCCTCGCACATGTAACATCTCCATTGGGCCAAAATGCACCGATATCAATACCTCATATGTTACTTGGTTCCTCGAAAATTCTCCTCTTGGACTTAGCCTAAAAGTGTGGACACTTTTTAGCCTCCGGCGAAACCTAGAGTCTATACGGCTTCGCCGCACGACTAAAAATTAAGTTGAGTTCGTGATAACACATTGTCTGCAACCGCATTACGGTACTAATTTGCTGCCAGACCGTGGAGACATACGAGAAACGCCCCTCAGAAATTCGAAGTTGACATGCTGATGTGACTCAGCTTATATAGGAGAATCTCCCTAAGAAGTGCCAGTTGTGTTCAATGACATTTTGGCCCCTGCAGAACACATAAAGACCGATCAAATTGACCGACATGGCAGGCAAAATGTTAATGAACTTCCACCTCGAATACATCTTTGAGTACAAATTCATGCATGCATTGGAAAAATTCCACACTGGGAATTTCTAATGCATACTTTCGGTGACTTTTTTATTGAAATAACAGGTTTTCTATAATTTCTTTTTTTTCCAATTTCCGAGTCCCTTTACTTTCTCAGACCTTTAAACAAAACTTCCACTTGTATTTTCCGTCTCTTGATGATGCTGACAGTCTCTGAACTTGGGATGAAATTTCAACTTCCAGGGATTTAAATTGCGGAAAAAGGCACTCGGAAGTAGTTGGCATTCTCTCAGATGGCACCAGGTTCAATTTCTGAGCCGACACGCTACTCGCAAAATTCATTGACTTTACCTATGAATTCTCAGACTCTCTGAAGTTCCTGTAAATTTCTGTAATCCCAGCTTTTCCAGACCGCCAGTAACCTTGAATTGCCCATGCTTCCCTGGAAGCAAACGGATTCCTTCTCTAATCTTGGTAACTTACCAAACTTTAGTCGGATGTATTCATGTGGGTCTGCATGCCAGAGCTCATCATCAGCCTCAGAATAACAGAGGAGAGGAAAAACAATATCACGAATAATTGTAAACATATGGCACTTCAAGAATGACCATGAGTGGGCGTGAATGATTCTGCAACAAAAGAATGTCAAACAATTGAGAACATTTTCAAAATACAGTGAAACCTCGCTAAGTCGGAAGGCATCGGGCCGACGGAAATTTTCCGACTTAGCGGGGTTTCCGACTTAAAGGGAATCCCTCTTTTTCCGATTTAAATTTTCGAATTTCGCGCTCTAGTTTGGACAAAACGTTTTTAGATGCTTTTCGCTTGCACGGGGGCGTCAGTTTAGAGTGTAATGCAACTATTAAGCTCAATTCAGTCAATTACTTGCGTTAAATATTTATTTGAAGAGTCAGCGCAAAAATGTTGGAACTCGTTAACATTACATCCTTGGATGAGCGAAAATCCTTACGGACGAGCGCCGCCCAGAGAGTATAGAAGGCGGCTGGATAGGGAAGAATTGAAACAGAAGTTGGAGCCGTGAGCAAGCAGTTGCGTACGTTGGCGCGAGAGTGCGCGGCGAGCGGAATCCCATACCGCTGCGCTGATTGGCTAAGCGAGAGTTGCGNGAGAGACAGGAGGGAGGGAGGGAGAGAGACAACAACTGCAGCATTCCCTCTCCACTCTTCTTTCGTGTTAAGGAGGGAGGGAGTGTGGCAAGATCGCTTGCTCGCTCTCTTCCGAGTTGCAGCCGTTCTGGCGGTGAGGAGCGCACGTCCATTGGTAGCTATCGAAGAAGAATTTTCGCTAAATAAAAAAGGAATTTTTTTTTTTTTTTCATGAAAAAAATCGACCATTTTACGAGTAGAAAAGGTTATTTTTTGAGGTCGGGACTGAAAAAAAATCCGAGATAACGGGAATCCGAGTTACGGGAATCCGACTTAACCCGAATTTCTTAGCATTGTTTTATATGGGCGACGAACGGGACCGCACGCAAATTCCGACATAACGGGGTTTCCGACTTAAACGATCTCCGACTTAGCGAGGTTTCACTGTAACACCCCTTACCTTCTAATTATGATCTGAAAAATAAGGAACTTGTCAGTCCAAGAATATGCTTGGTTGTGGAAAACACGTTGCCTTTCAGAACTTTTGACATCTTCATAAGTGAAGACAAATATTTGTTAACATTAAAATAAATAAATAAATAAATAATGAAGAGTTGCAAATGTTCCAGCAGAATTTTAACACCGCCTTCAACTTTGACAAAGGCAATGAGAACAGACAGCTGAGCACTTATGTTGCAAGATTTCAAATTGAATCAATTTATTGGCAAAATTGACACAGAGTGCACCTTGCTAATGTTTTGCCGGCATTAGTAAACTGATTTGATTTGAAAAGTTATTTAAGATGGCAGACTATCAAACAGAAATGATATTTTTCCTTGACAAAAATTCCAATCTTTCTATGAAGAATTAATTAATTGATTTTCCAATTTCCTGAGTACAGGACACATTTTAAAAAAAAGCAGTGTTTATGTGTGAGTAAGCTCGATTGAATCTCTTAATTCGAAAACGACTCGTATCGGAGAAAATTTTTCAGGAGACAATAAAAACTGAGGAACAGCCAGAAAAGGAGTGTTTCTGCACAAAAAATGAACATTGTAAAAAAAACCGGAGTTGGATCGTATTCGAACTGAGGGATTTATTAACCCCACTGCTTGAAGACGTGCAGAGATCTTCCTTAACTGAGCATTGAATCATATCGATGACGACAGTGCAAAACCATGTACCTCCATCTGCGGCAGTTCTTCAAAATTTCTGCTCCTACTCTATTTTATTTAGATGAAACAAGCCAATTTCACGGCAGGTAATTCATGAAGAATATTCTGATAATAAAATAGAGGAAGAATCGAGGAAGTTTTCAAGAAATTATGCTGACTAATTTTCCAAAAAAAAGTATGACAGGAAATCTGCAATGCCAAGAAAGGAGATATGAGGTTCCTTACTTTGGCCACCAATAGCATACCATTGCTGAAAGGCTGTAAAGAAACAGGGAGAAATAATTCACTTACTTTATCAGGTTAGAGCGAAAATTGAAAAAAAGAAGAGGACACCAAAAACCAAGTATGCTTACCCTTGATCTACATAATTCAGGCACAACTGCATGACTCTGGGTGCTATGTAAATTTTTTGCCGGTACAATTCTAAAATTTTCAATAGGACTTCTAGAACTCCGACAGAGAAGGTTTTCAGGTACCACTGTGCGAATTCGTTATACTCCTTAGAAACATTGCCTGGACTGCCATACCTAAAAACAGAAATTCATTTTGTTGAATTATAATGCTGGAAAATAAAGAAAATTGGAAAATAATAGAAAAAATGGTAATTAATATTTTGAAAATCAAACAAGCATCATACAACTCCACCAAAGAAATGCCAGAGGGCGGTTCCGGTGTGTCAGCAACAGGCTGATAACAAGTCCCAGACGATCCATCTAATGAACCAAACTATATTTAAATGACTTTATTGTAAAATTTAATATATTTACGATATTAATTAGTATTTGTATTTATGTAATTGTATCTATAAAATAGACTGGTTAAATAAAAAAAAATTGTTGAATTTAAAGATTAAAATTGATTAATTAAATTATTAGACGGGTTTCAGTTCTTAAAGCTGATTGGACTTAAAATTACCTTCTTCAAAATTCATAAATGAAGTATTACCATGTTCCATGGCATCATCCAGTCGAAATCTCAAAGGAGGCAAATCAGGGGGTCTACCAAAACAGGCTGGCAAGAAATCAGTACTTTTTCAGTACATTCCCAAGCAAGTCTGAAAGTCTCTAGAAGAGTGATGCTGCTGCTGCTGTTAATCTTCAAGCAATTGAAATCATTAAAAAAGCATCATCGCATTGACAATTACTGATGAAAAACCTCAGATCTTTAGCTCTCAGAGGGCCCTACAAGAGAACTTAAACTGCTTTTTTGATGCTCACCTTTCAAACAACCTATGCAGAATATGAATGGCCCACTTTTTGCACTTCCACCATGGCAGTTCCGGGCGTTCGTCTTCATCCCGGCTGTTAACCTCTTCAGGGACCGGGGCTTCTAACACCCGTAGGAATACTTGCATCCAATTTGAAAGCACTGGCTTTGTAAGAAGATCCATAGGCAACACGTACTGAAAACAAACGAAGTTCAGAAATTTAGAGCAAACTGGATACATTAAGGTGTGTGAAACTGAGCAAACAGATTTCAAAATCCAACATAAAAACAAGTCTCTTCAAATTTGGAGTTTCTTGAATTATAAAGGATTTTAACTTAAAAATTTCCGGACTATTCCCTGACTTTCCAAAGAAGTTGAGAATGATAATTATCTTTGAGCTCTGCCAATAAAACAGATGGATGCAATTGAAATTACTTAAACTTTTTGATGAGACATGAAAATTTCAGAGGTGACTACAGAATTTCTTAAGTTAAGCCTAGTAAAATCTACCATCTTTCCCAAAAACTTGTTGATCTGTCTTAACAATTCAGAAACCCTTGTTTCTGTCCTGTTTTCTGAATGCAAGGGAGAAAAAAAATTATTTTTGATTGTTTGCTGTAGTTTATGGCTTTCATTAAAGACTGAAAAATCTTAAAAACTTCACAGACATATGATGTTCATGTGCTGTTTACTTAAATATAAGGTTAGAGGTTGCCACAATCACATTTTGCACTTTTGAACTTTTCTTAATTGTGATTAAATTTAAACTTAGGATGTGATACTAATGAGTTCTTTGACATATTTCACTTTGAATAAGCTTGAATTGTATTACTCTCAAGTTCTTATTGATTATCAGACATGCGCCATTGATCATAAATAATAATAAAAACAAGCCAGAAAAATTTGTCTTTCGTAAAATCTCAGTGTGGATTTTTTTTTTTCGGGCAAAAAGAACTGACAACGTTTTATCATTGCACAATTTCCTTACGTGATTAATCGATAAGGATCGATTAAGGATCAATCGTTACTATTTCTAAAAATTTCCAGATTTTTTTTTTCATTTTCTACAGATTCAAACCATTAAAGAAACAATACTGAGCAGTTTACCTATAAATACTGAAATTTGGGTGTCAATTTGGAAACACTGGAATAAATTTGTTCCTTCGTACTTAGAAGTGCCCATTTACCTACCAAGCAAGCTGATGGGAATATAAGAAAATGAGAAGTAGAGCTACAAAGAAAGACTGCACTTCATGAAACCATTCAACCATAAACAAGAGGTTTCAGGTTGGGTGGAACACTCAAATCAATAACATTAATGTAATGACATTCAAAAGGAATGCTGGCCAGTCATTTGTGCAAAGGGACAATGAAACATAATAGTCATTGAAATACTTGTGAAACTTCAACTTTTCGTATTTTATTTGTTTTTCTTTCTCTTTTCTTTTGAAAAGTGTTAATGTACTTAAGTGATGACTCAAAATTTTCATGTGTTCGATACAGTTTCCATCATAATGAAAAACAATTTTGACATGTGCTATTTAAACTCTCAGTTGTTGACACTGCTTGAATGTTCACAAGAAAATAGAGGCTGAAAAGTACCTAATGGCATGTAATTAGAGAGCTTTTTAACTGGTGACACAGGTTACAGAGCTTGAGGTTTTTTCTAAAAAGAACAACTTCTCTGTTACTAGAACTTAAATTTTTTATTAATCACAGTGAGCATAAAAGCCTACTTGCTGGACTCAAATGCAACTTTTCTTAGAGAGGAAAAAAACAGAGAATTCGATGTTTCTGAGATCAATGAGATAAAATGAAGGAAGGTTTTTCTTCCTTTCTGTAGGCTACAAAAATAATCCATATCAGTGAAACGAGAACACGAAACAATTATCATTTACAGCAATAAATGTTGAAAACCAATATTTAAACAATTTTAGGATGGTTCGCATTTGTTTGGTTTGGTGTGAAAAAAGGAAAGTTAGGGAAGCCTTTAAAAAAAACAGGGAAAGTTAGAGTACCAAAGTTATTCTTCAATAAGAGATACCATTGATTATTTTAAGACTGATTCTGGGAAGATAAAAAATATTCACGCTCACTGAACCAATAAGAATAATAAAAATGGACAACAAAGCTATGTCAAGTACATTGAGGGCATGTAAGATCTTTGGCATGACCCCCATTAATATGAAAACTCACAAAGTAGAGCGAGCCGCAATGACATATTCAATAATTGTTGCCATAATTATCCTCGCACTGGGACTGAACGAAAACAATAATATCTATAATTTGATGGTATCCAGGACAAAAAAAACTGAAAGAATGAAGTATGAAATCCTGCTTACTGAGACATTGGTCACTCTGTCTCTTTCACTACTGACACACGTGACAATGATCTCACGGGGTAAATGCATTCGGCCTTTGATGAGTTTGATCGCAATCGTGAACCAGAACCTTAAAAACCACTTCAACACAACCGTACATGACATTTCGAAGTTCGAGAGTTATCAGATTCTACTCATTTCCCTTGTTCTGGCATACAATTTAATCCTACTGCTCTTTCTGTCAAAACATGCTTTGCACTCCGTTGTATACGCTACACTTTGTTCTACGAATCTACTGACTCTGATACAGTACAGAGCTTTTTTGACTGTGAGTAAAGGTCAGTACTCTGCTCTCAACAGATACTTAGGACGGTTTGTGCCTTCATCAAGGAATGAGAACAGACTGCCTCACAGACCACGCACTCTATTCACAGATATTTGGCACCCAAAAATCAATTGTAGGAATGTGCAAGAGGTCCAGTACATGCACATTTTGATGCGCGAGATATCAACACAAATCAATGACTTATTCTCTTTACCGATTTTGCTCATAATAACAGAGACAATGTCAGTGCTAATAATCAATGTGACACGCTTCACGTTTTTTGTCTTGGGATCAAAACAACAGGGTTTTGAGTTGGTGATGAAGGCTTGTCAAACGTTTTCCAGTATTTTGAAAGTTTTCTTGATCGGAATATTCACCCACACGATGGAGAGGACAGTTAAAGAGGTAAGCACATTTCCTCTTAGCTTATTATTGGCATATTTTTTCTTTTAAAAAAAAAATGGTTTCGTAGTTGGATAATCTTCGGACAATCCTCAGCTTTCAAGGCATGAACTAATGATAATTTAAAAACAACCACTGAGAAGAATTTTTAAAAGGAAGTAAATTTGTGAGGACGAAGATCATTCTTCATAAGAAACAAAAAGTAAATTCGAATTAGAAAAATATTAAAGATACATTGATTTGAAAAAAAAAGAAAAAAAAACTTAAGGCACTCATATAGGAAACTTATGAGTAATTTTCATGAAATTCCTTGACTTAGCCCTAATTCCCTGAGCTGATTAAATTCCTTGAAAAATTCCGGGATTTTAGACCAGTAGACACACTATTATGTAACATCATTACTACAGCTCTAAAAATTCTTGCCTTATTCGGTTCTCCTTCTGTTTTTCTCTTCCACAGGCAAACGAAATTGTAAATTCTATACATGATATATCAAGAAAAGAGAAAAATCCAGCAGTTAAACTGAATGTGAGTGAATAATTAACCTTTGCTAGGTATTAGTAAAATCATGGTTCATAATTTTGTATTGAACTAAGTGTAAAGAACCCTGCACCATCTTTATGGTAAATCCTCCCCAGTAAAACCTGATGAAACTTTGATATATTGCTCAGCTAGTCATTCTGATCAAAAGCTCTCATGGGCCCAAAGAGATCTCATGTGCGCTTTTCGAGATATACCCGATTTACGCACATAGAACGGCAAATATCTCGAAAACCGCAAATGGGATCTCTTTGGGCCCATGAGAGCTTTTGATCAGATTGACTAGCTGAGCAACATATCAAAGTTTCATCAGGTTTTACTGGGGGGGGGGATTTCCCACAAGGATGGTGCAGGATTCTTTACATTGCATTAAAATTGAAAAGTTGAACCTTCAATTTAAGGATAACTTACAGAGCCTTTCATTAAAAAAAGAGAAGAAAATATCTTTGTACCGAGGAACTTCTAGAATATTGCATCAAACATATTTGCGTGTTTCAATTCACTGTAAGTAGGGACTCTTTTTTAATAGGAAGAAATTATTGGTTCTTTCCTAACATTCTACACAAATTCCCTGATTTTTTCAGTGGAAGATCCTCCAATTTGACCTCAGTTTTCTTGGTGTGTTAGTTGTTTAGTTTAATGAGGTTTCACAAATAAAAGAGGAGAAGAAGAAAAAAAAAGGAGCGAATACTTTTCTGTTTTTGTTTTAAATATTTTTCGCCTGTTTAGCCATACTTTCTGATTAGATCCAATTTTATATTGTTCCTTTCCTATTGTGTCAATATGAGGCATTGGAGAAAGACCACTTCTTTGTTTCGAAGATGATGTGTATTTTTGAAAAAAAAACTTCTATCCTTTTCCATTAACACAAGTTGGCTCTACTTGTATTCAATTGCTTTTTTCAGTTGAAACGATTTATTTTTGATTTGTGGCATCATCAAGTTCAATTTACAGCAGTCAAATTTTTGGTCCTGGACTACAGCTTAATAAAATCGGTGAGTGAAAAGCTCAGACAATTTTACCATTGGACAAAAAATTGCTCTGACTAAAAAAGGAACTCAAAGAATGTTCATTTACATTTAAGAGAGCAATGGGACATTTTCTAGGATATCTTTCTTGTACTCTCTTACACAGTGTCTACCAACTCAACAATAAAAAATTGCCTCACTTTTCACAAGGACGATGGACCATTAGACAAGGTACGAAGTTAAACATTCTGATACATGTTTCTTGACCAAAACTTTACGCAGAACACTATTTGTGCAACAAAAATTACTGGAATCGACTCCTAACCAGTATATTTAATATTTCTTGATGCGTGAATTCAATCCTCCTGCTCATGAAAACACAATGGTCTACATAAGTTAGGAGGCAAACTAAACGTTACCGTGACAGTCTCAGCAATAAAAAAATATGGCAACTTTAATCTTGACGCTTTGGCTCAGCTATAGAAAATTGTTTACATTTTGAACGATGAAGGGTGGGGAATAAACAATGTTTGAGAGGCCCGCCAAAACCGTTGTAGTGCGCGATTTGACTCACGTAGAGTATTGTGTATTCTATCACTGGACCAATCAAATTTCCCGTGGCCAATATAAAATTACAACGTTAATATCTAAGTTAGAATTCGATTTCATTAATTTTTGATGCAGGAATTTTGTTCTGCATGAAATTCTGGCTGAGAAATATGAATCAGAATGCTTAAATTCGTACCTTGTTTAGTGGTCCATTGAAACCTACAGAACTGAGAGAAAAATTTCAGGCATTATTTTCACTGAAAGTGATAGAAATACGTGAACGTCTTTGATTCATTTATACTTCGATGATGAAACTTCTTAAAAATAAATGAATGATCCAAAAATAAGAAATAAAATCCTATACACCTGCTTAAAGGCTGACAAAATTATTGTGTGAAATTTTCAGATGCTGGTTGTTGCAATAACATACACTGTGATACTAGTTCAATTTCAACAAATGGAGATTACAAACGATAAGGTCATGAATATGACTGGGGGTTGGTGGAACTGGACCTTTGATAATGTGACACAGAGATGGACCTTCAAAAATCTTACACGTGGCTAGAGTTTCAACATTGACGACGCTTCAAGTATTCTAGGAATGAAACTCAGGAATAAAAAAACCGTTTCATATGTAAATGCCCGCAGGCTCAATGAAGAATGGTCAAATCCATAATCTATTGTTTTAATTTAGTGCCATGGTATGCGGAGGCTAGGCTTGACCTCTAAGCCGACAATGAATTTATTGCTATCTCAGCAAAATTTGTAAAAAATTACAAGCTCAAGATCCGCTGAAGTCAGATATCTAGTTATGCATCATTTTCTGAGATAGAAGTCATAATTTCTTTGCACAACCTTCATAAAACCATCTGAATTGATAAGTTAACCAATTGAGTAATTCGAGACAATTCAGAGATTGATGAACCTGTGCGTTACAATAACTAGAGCTTAGTTTCACACAAATTTTCTTCTCCTAATCCGAGATACCCTTAAAATGGGGGAGGGGGGGGAGGACAGGAAAATTATTCAATTATAAAATATGCCAAAATCACTTTAGTGTTCGATTTGACTTGCGGTTAGGTTCTCAAGTTTTTCTGTAAGCAGGAAGCAGAGGTGCAAAGAGTGCCATTTTATCCTCATTCACTCTTAAAATAAAATTTCAAAAAAACTCAGCATTTACGATTTTTGTGACATTTTTTCAATTTGTCAAAAATGCAGTCAAGAAAATTAGTACTTACCCCTGCTAAACATTTTTAAGTTCCTTGACTAACTTAGACCTACAAATTTTCACTTTAAAGAGATTTAAATTAAGGAAAAAGGCATTCTGAAATTTATTGGTCGGTACCGGCTCGAATGGTATCGGCTGAAGTGTCTAAGCCAAGTCTACTCACAAAATTCCCTTCTTCACAATTTTCCAGATGGCGGTGTGTGCCTTGACTTTCCAAGTTTTCTGGACCGCCTGAGCCTCTGAGAAAGAAGAGTGAACACAATTTATTAGTTTGCTGTACCAAATGTAAAAGTACTTACTTGCGTCAAGGCGAAGAAAACTTTTAAGATTTGTTTTTGAAGAAGCACCGACTGCTCTGACTGGTCTGGTAACAGCCGAGAGATGAGCTCTAAATTGTACGGCAGGAGGAGGTTCATTGCTTCATTTAATGGAGCTCTTTCATCCATCTTCTTGAATTCAAAATTTTTAACCAATTGATACAAGCACAACAAAGCCCCGATCCAACCATTTGGATCAGGATTCTGCAGGTAGATGCTGATTTTGTCAACTATTTGTGTCCACCTCCCGGGGAAATCATGCTTTACAATTTGACTAACACATACGGCCAGCTGGGAACTGAAATAGGAAAACAAAAAATCAGTTTTAGTACAAAAATCTGTTTCTTCTATTATCAGGGTTCCCACAGAATGAAGAAAATGCAATTCTCTGATTTCCTTGTCACATATTAGCGAAATTCCCTACCAATTGAAGACATTCCAGATGGTTAAAAAGGCATAATTTCAAATATTTTTCACGCAAAATCTATTGCTTGAAACGTCAAACCTCGTCTCGAAAGCAAATGAGGTGACTGGACAATTTTTCCCTGATATCTCCGTCATTTTCCCTGACTATGTAAAATTGCCTCATCACAAATATTTTGACTTGGTTTTCAGTTTTAAGTCAGTGAACAGGCTTTTGTTTTCTCCTAAGTTACTTGGACCGATCAAGGTTAGGGGTGTTGGCTGTCCCTTACAAAATAGTGGGTGGTTTTTGGAAGGGCATTCCAGGACCATCTTTCATTTTTTCTCTTCTGGTCGCAGGCTGGTTCATAAATGGAATGACCTTCCTTTACAGCAGCAAAACAGTATGGATGCACCTTATATCAAGCTCTTCGCGAAGATGAAGGCTATAAATATTTGTAAGTGGTTATTTTGTCATGTGATTTTGTTATAATGTTATCTTTTAATTTGTTGTTTTGTTGAATTATACTGTTGCAAGTTGTAATTTTAACGCTTGTTCTCTTGTAGGGTGGGTTTTTAGCTCATTTATTATTGTGATAAATAAATAAATGATAAAGTCAAGAGTAGCAACAATATAGTTACAAAGGACCAGTTATCTTCTCAAGACTTTCTGCAATGATACTGGAATCCTGCAGCCTTCTTATCATCAGTTTTTAGTTACTAAAACTGATGTAGTTGTAGTTCTACTAAAACTACGCGGGACTTGGGGAGCAATGAGCTCTGTCAATGGAACACACTGAGTTGTAATGAATTGTTAATCATCTCAAATTTGAGCAAGTCGAAATCACTATCATTAGTCCCAAGGCATTCAAAATTTTAGAAAAAAATTCTGCTTCTACTAAACTGAGCAAAAAGCAGACTGATCGACAGAAAGTCTTGTGTCCTCACATACTGCATGGGCGAGATATTTTTCTCTTTGAAATGGAGTAGCATTTTTGGTGACTCTGTAAGTCTTTTTCTCAGCTGAGATTTGGTTTAGTGAAAAACAGAGAAATGCGGGCAGTCTCATTTTTACGTACTTTCCAAAGATTTAAAAAAAGTTCTGCAGTAGCCTCATTATCTAGCATGATTGAAGTATGTCACATTTTACTGATCTCTTAGATATACCTCATTTTACAAAAAAAGTGAAAACTGTCCACCATCAACTACTTACTTCATGGTTTTGTTAGGAAAACAACTAAATGAGAAAAATAAATGCTCATGACTGGACTTGATACTATATGAACTGCATTTTGCAAAAAGGAACAAAGACCATTCCAATGCCGCTAAGATTGTGCAACTTTTTTTACCTTTCAATATAAACTCATAACCTAAACAAGTTTTGTCTTCACTTCAAGAAGCTATAAATTCAAAACGAAAATTACCTGTGTAATTTGAATTTTTCGCATGATTTCAGTCATTTTATTGCAAAGAATTTAAGTTGCATGATCCTAGCAACACTGGAATGCTCTTAGTTCCTTTTTTCAAAAGCAATCCATATACGAAATAGACTTTTAAAATAAAATCTCTTGTCTTCCCATAGCACTATTCCAAACTCCCACTTGGGAGTTTAGAAATAAAGTAAACTGACAGAGATTAGGTCAAAAAAGCGCAGGAAGAGTAATCTTATCAGTCAATCATACCTACTTATTATTATTAGATAATAAAAAAATTATCTGCGTTAAAGACAGGAATAAAATGTTACCGAATCAATTCCGGGGCATGGACAACAGCATCAATGATGGCATCTCTGATCATCGCTCTGTCCTGTTCATGGATTGTGAATGGTAGCGTCACTTGGCCAGGCTCTACTTCCTTTTCGGCCCAACTCATGTTGATCATATTTTTCAAGTAGATCACCCCAGCTTGACGTATGGGTATCTCAACATCATTCATCATTACAACTTGCAGAAGAGATGGTGCAAATCCAATTATTTTATTGATCTGAAGGCAAATAAAAAAAGGACCGCATTTTTAATTTGTTTTCCTAGAAATGTTGGACCAAATTAAGAAGAAATTTGAAAAACTCAAGCGATGTGAGGTTGGAGCTTGCACATCTTCTGTTGAGACTAAAGTCACACTATTATTTACGTCACCACTCGTCAGTGGTGCCATCTGACTGCATGCATTAACCTGTTGAGTGGTGCTAATTCAGAGCTAATCAGAGATTGACGTTCGTCTCAACATCCGATGCACGAGCCCCTGTGTAACCCGACTAGAGAGGGGTTTCCAATGAGCAAAGGACAGGCTGACTCTTGGCTAACGACTTTGATATTGACAAAGTATGTTGGTCATAATGCAGTGATGTGTCTAGATCAGAGGTTGGCTGCGGCTCACTAGCACCTCAAGGATTTGAGCCATCTAAAGTAGGATAAGACCAAAATCAATGAGCAGTTAATTGACTGGGCATTTAAGATAGACAATGTCCCTTAAGGCTGTTCTAATGTCAGAGGTTCCGCCTTGGAGGTGGTGCCAATTGAACCACAGCACTCCACAACACCCAATCATGCCTCATTCACAAAGACTGACCGCTGCTCTACTATCAATGTTTCAAAAGTATGACCCTCAAGCTAAAAATTAGAATGAATGTTGACTTTCAAACAGAAACTCAACAAATTGAGTGAGCTTCTGGCAAAAATCCGAATTTGAAGGCAACCCATGCAATGTTCCATGCTAGTCTGCGTTCGATGATGAACATGAGTTCAGACTACCTTCAGCGAAGAATGCTCTTGACTTGGTCATCAAAAAAGATTATCACATTGGAAGCAGCCTTCTGACTCAAAAGGTACTAGACCTGAGCATACCACAAAGAGTGACCATGATGCTTTCGTGCACATGGGTACAAACTCATGTTTCGAACGAAGCTTTTCTCGTCTCAGTTAATCTAAATAGCTCATCAGACGAGGACATTAACCATGATTCCAGACCGGTTTTGAAAGCGTCAAGGGTTCGAAAACAAAGCTTCAAATTCTTGGGAGAAACAACGGTGAGGCTGCATGGAGTTATAAGGAGGCAAGGTAAACTATTAACCATGCTGAGGCCTAAAAAGGGAGCATGCTGGGTACCTGATTTAGCTGCTCCTCGGCGAGCTCACGTTCGTTCGGCTCGATCGTGGCTTTCAGAAGCTCGATAAGCTTCCGCGTGTCCATTTTCACTGAAGGTGTAAGTGATCACAACGTGCGGAAAGATAATAAGTAAATTAATGAATTTTATCACGTGACACTACATGGACAACAATGGCGCGAGATGTGGCATGAAATCAGAGAGGATGGGAGGTTAGAGGCATATGTTAGAGGGCCAACTCAATGATGGAAAACTGAAACAGAAGTTGTAGAAGTTGCTTACGATGACGCGAGAGCGCGCTAGCATCTGCAGCTCGTTCATTGGCTAGATATTGGAGATCTACTGAAAATAAGTCGCAGATGCTAGCGCGCTCTAGCGTCAACGTATGCAACTTCTTGCTTTTATGGCAAACTTCTGTTTCAGGTTTTCAATCAGGTCGGGCCTCTAAACCTTCTGTACTCTCTGCATGAAATTCTTCCAATGATGATTTCAGAACCGCGCCGCGAACACCGCGAACGCTACCGAGCCTTGCAGGGCAATCAAGAAATGAGTCTAAATTTTTAGTAAAAAATTACCCCGCGGACACTTAATAATTATTGCAATTTTAATTTGATTCTACTTTAGTCGGGGAAAAAACGGAAAAATTAAATCTGCGTTCATGTAAGTCAAATTGATTAATTTCAAAAGGCCAATATCTAACATTTATTTGGAGGAAGAAATTGTATGATTGAATGTGCCTTTGGGATAATTAATATTGTAATGTTGTCTTCTTGATTTTATCAATGCTGAATAAACCGGGAAATTCCAAATACGCGCACTTTTCCTTTACCATCACTTACTGAAAGGCGGATCAGATTAAAATATGTCTGTTTTATTTTTATTCATAAACTTCTGCTTCACTAAGTAGATGAGTATGCACACGAAAGTACATTATTCTGTTACATATTTTTACGCTCATAATAAAAAAAAAGATTAAGTCAATTCACATCCGTGTCACGACCAGAACGGGAGATATGTGAGTAAAACTGAAATAATTGCCCGTCGCGTTTAGCGTACATCGCTAAATATTTCATAAATTTTGGTCATTTTTTTTTTTCAGTTTGTGGCTTAAGAAAATTTGCTTTTGCTTCGGCACATTGGGATAAGCGGCCGTTCAAGTATTACGTAACGCACTTTTTCCGATTTTTCTACCCCCCTCTCCCTTTGTAACGCACCTAACACAACCCTACACCCCCCCCCCCCTTTGAATTGCGTAACGCTGGCCTGACTCCTCACTCCCTCCAATTTTGAAGAAAAATCGGAAAATTGGGGGGTGGTAAAGGTGGGATTTTCAATTTTTTGCACGTTCTTTTCACTCCCCCCTTCCTCCGGCTCGGATTTGTCACGTAAAGCTGGGCTTGACCCCTCTCCCCCTCTTGTAACGCACCGTAACGCTGGCTCAAATCCCCCTCTCCCTAAGTGCGTTACGTAATAATTGAACGGCCCCTAATTGTGACTAAAAAATTGTCCCCTTACCCAGGGCTGGATTTACCTACTTGCCGCCCATGGGCCGCCTATATTGTGCCGCCCCCTTCTCAGTCGTTTTGAGACGTCAATAAAAAACCATCAAGTGAACGTGCTAGAGGGAAAGGGGTGCATAAGACGCGTTTACTCGTGTTGGACACTTTTTTTGCGAAAGCCCTATCAGCACTACCAGCAAAAGTTCACGAAACTTTGCGCAAAAATTAAGTTCCGTAAACCTATCTCTGTGTGGACAATGCCTTGCGTTTATAAGAAATGAACGAAAATATTGTGAAGGAACAAACATTAATGGGGGTTAATAATTTCAACTTCCGCTTCCGCGCCGCGCTGCTCTGTGTTTGGCGCAATGCGTGAAGTATTCATGCAGTCTTGTGGGCGCTATGGCTATGCGTTTCACGCCGACCGCTGCTGACCGCACTGTGTTCGACGCAATGAGTGAAGTATTCACGCAGTTTTGTAGGCGCTACTAGGTGTGTTACATGCCGACCGCCGCGCCGAGGGCTTCTTTTTATCTCAAGTCCTCGTCATCATTGCTCTCTGCACTGCGCCGCGCTGCCTCTTGTATCACCGAAAGACGACAAAATATGAATTAAAATGAGAGATTTTGTTGCCTTATCTCGTTTGTAATTTTTTTTCTGAATCCGATTTTTTTTATACCTACATTTAAAAAAATTGCAAAACTTGTCGCCATGGGCCGCGGCCCATGTGGCCAGCCCCTTAATCCGGCCCTACCCTTACCTTTGGCGTAGCTCCACAGGTCATGGTAAGTGCGCTTCAGGGAGGGATGACTATTGGAGGTTTGAAGTGGTATCAAGGGTATGCAATTCCACTGTGTGTTGCGTATGTTGCCTACCTCCTATTTGAAGGGACCCCAATTATTGAAACTTTTTGCAGTAAAATTGAAATTTGTCATTGCATTGCATACTGCCTATCTTTCTGACACATGAAGCTCGACATTTTGTTGATTGTTTAAAATCGGTATAAATCGACGAAATGATATGAAATTATTGCACTTTAATGATAAAAAAATTACAATTGTATTTATGAATCAAATTGCAATTTAATTTCAATATTTTCGTTGCACTGTACTACTTGGGCATGGGTATGGCATGGCTACAAAACTTTTCGTATCCTTTCATTACCTGCGTTCCTACTGCGTTCATCCCGTGCAAGATAGGGGTGGAGGGAGGGAGGGGGAAGGGTGGTCCACCGGGACCGGGAAATGTCCATGTCACGTTTCCGAAAAACATTCTCCAGTTCACTGTAGATCAGGAAATGCACTGCCCAGTTTTCTACCCCCGATTCTGATGGACTTTTCATAGATACACACTGCCTTGCCTTCCGGACCAGTCTCGAAGCATCGCATCACCGTATCTGCGCTATCAGCTAGCGCCAGCATCCGCAGCACTTGCTGCAATCCTCGATTCCTTGCACCGCGCGCGCCGCAACGGGGGAAATAGAGTGGGAGTCGACGTGGTACAACTTTCTTTTTTGCGTCATAGCCGCGTTCCCACAAAACCTCAAGTCGTCAAGCTCTGGAATCGACGGGTTATCACCGAGAAGAAGCTGCACTTTTCCTGTTCATTCGCCTTGTCCCGAAAATTTCCCAGTCATTTTCCTGGGTCCAGCCTCCCCCCACTCCCCTCTCTCCGGGGCCATTCTCCCGAATCCGCCCAAGGTCTCCAAACAAACATCTAACGTCAGGGATTCTCACGGGAAGAGTCAACGTAGGCAAAAGTTCGCAAGTGCCCGATTGTTCCTGCGCGTGCCAATTTTACGGGATTGCATTTGACGATTTTCCGACGGCAAGTCCGAGTTGCGTCGTGCGCTCGGTGACTTATCTCGCGATAAAACTCGGCTCATCTCCCTGTTTGGTTAAGTCGCCATTTTAGTGCGATTTGTGGACGGTGTTATTGTTGCGTGAATCCGTGCTGGATCGGTCAATTATGTGTTTGATTGATAATTTCGGATCTTCTCCGTGTCTAGTCGAATACTGAAAGTGCTAGTTTTCTACCTCCACCATGAACCGGAGTGACGGACTCGTCCAGAGACGCAACGTTATCAGGGATAACTCCGAAGGTGGAACCAAAGATAGGGACTCCCATCGGGGAGGAAATGATAAGGATGATGATGCTGATGATGGGGACTCCAAAGGAACAAGGTTGACCCTTATGGAAGAGGTTCTGCTACTAGGTCTCAAAGAGAAAGAGGTAACCACCTTTATCAACACTACGGTTTATACCTCTTGAAATATGTGTTCCGTCACATTGCACTTCCTCGTTCACATATTTATGCTTGGCACTTTATCGCACGCTCTAAGGAAATACCAATGATCAGTTTTTCTCTCTTGCCAGCTTTCATCCTGCAACGACGAAGACAGTTGGGGCTGCAATATTCTAATCTTAGATTTGATACTTGGGTCGACGTCCTTAAACCACAGGTTATGAAATAGAGTTAGGCACTTTTGTAAGTGCTAATATTGGCCTATCACAAGAATTTCATTCCTTTTGATAGCCTCTGCACTAACCAGTATTAGGACCCAAAATTTTCCTCACATTGAAAGGTCGCACTCCTTGAAATCTCAGCACTCTAGGAAATGAGGTTAGGCATCCACTTGCGCAACCATATCCTTTACAAGTAGACATTAAGATTTTAGTGCTCATAAACTGTAATTAGAACAACATCGAATATGAGCTCTTGATGGACATATTGCAACTGATAGCTTTCATCAAGTTTTGAGTTTAGAAATAACTGGCCGATATTGATAACGATCAGCTGATTTTCGACAACAAGCACACAGATAGACGCTATTAGTGGCGACGTCATCATAGGGATTCTCCATTATATCGAATTGGATCCAAACAATAACATTGGCATAACCTCTTTCAATGCTACCAGTGCGAAAAAATCTATATATATCGCTTTTCTGTGACGTTGCACTAATAGCGTCTATATGTAACAGCTAAATATCCATGGAAAGAAAGAGCTTTTATCACATATTTAGACTAAGTATGACTGGCTAGTTTGCCTTGCCAATCTTGCTAAGCAAGAAGTGAAAGATAAGTCTAAAATCCTGCAACATTATCTATGCCAGAAGCCTTATCTAGGCCCCTCCTAGAACAGGAGTGCAGAAAGTTCCAAGCCCTCCCCTCATTTTAATTGACCTCGTCCCATTTTGTATGTAAATTCTATCAGTTCGCTCTGAGGACCCCCCTCCCCAAAAAAATAAAATAAAACTCCTGCCCTTTAAGGAAATTGGACTCCTTTACTGTGACAACGAAAATTTCATCAGATAGGGTTACCCCCACCTTTTCCTGTTCTCATGGCGGCTCCCAAGAATCCTCTGCAATCAGACCTGTCATGTGGCAGGGAAGTATGCACCCATGCTCTACTGCTTTGACTTGTCACTTTTCAATCCGTAGTAAATTCAATATAGCTCAGATTGGATCAAAATCTAGCAAGGAATCATCATCTCATCTCTACTTTAGTCAACATTAGTAACAGAAAAAAAAAATTTTATGTCTGACGTCAATAATTTTAATCACTATACACTTTGTGTTGTTAAGCTGATAGATTGGTTACACAGCAGGCAGGATTCTATATTCCTCAGGATTACCCCTGTAGGGTACTTGAATGAGCTTAAAAAAAAGACAGGGTCTGAAAATTATCTTCAGGGAAAACAAAAGAATATTCCACTCTTTTGACAAACTAGCGGTATTCTAAAGGGAAAAGTGCATTGACAGTAGAACTGCCAGACCTTGTATCTTGTTTCCGGTGTTTAAAAATTTCCGCTCCCATTTTATTCTTTTAAGGAAAGCAAATCGATATCATTTCTTAAAATTTTCACCAATATTCTTCGCATAGAGAAGGAAATAATGGACATTCTCAAGAATGGATGTTGAGTAGTTTTCTCTTTAAAAAATAATTTAGGACAGGAAGTCTATAACGTCACGAATAGAGATACAAGTCTGGTAGTTTCTCTGTCGATGTTTCATTCTGTTCCTAATTAGGTTGCAGTGAGAGTAGTCATGAAAGGTGAACATTTTATTATCAGACTTCTTACCATAGCGATTTCCAGCTGCATTTGTAGCTAATGAGCTGTATTGTCTGCTCTCTGAGTGCGTATTCATATTTACCTTAAGTAAACAGCAGAATGTGTGAGCTAGGCTCTTGCTATTATGCGTGGCTGCACCTGTCATCTCTTCATTCAGATTATAAAACTTGACTTCTTAGTTGAAAACTTTGGTCAAATAACAGAGTTTGCTCATTGCTCTTGAGCAATTTTTTTTTCTCTCTCTTCTGAAGAGGGAAAACCTTTGGTATAATCAGTACTGTTGATGGGCCACTGACCAGAGTCAGCAGTGCACTATTTCCGAACGGATACCTTAACGTCAAGTGATCATTATTTTCACATCGTTTTGTGGAAAGGATGAATTAACTTAAACAGACATTGTTATTTTTGAACTTATGAGCTAAATTTTGAAATTTTTAATGGGTCCATCTCATTCTACAAGAAAATTTTAATAAGGAATCATGAATTGTGGTACCCTGATCCATTCACAATATTTGAACCTACTTAAATCAAAGGAACTGTGCTCATTGTGACGTGACCCTTATCATGCATGTATTCTTATGGGTCTCAGGGCTCATGTTCCTATGCACATAGTTCCTTTTGATTCAAATATGTCCATTTGTTACAGGTACAATTGGATGGAGTCCTTTTATTTTCCTTTTATTTTTTCTCTCTAGTTGTTATGTATTCTGAAGTCTTCGTTTTGTGTGCAGGGTTATACATCATTTTGGAATGATTGCATATCATCAGGATTGCGAGGCTGTATCATCGTTGAGCTCGCTTTGCAAGGTAAAGTGGCCCTGGAGTGCGCTGGCATGAGGCGAAAGAGTTTGCTCAACAGGAAACTTCTGGTAATAAACCCAGAGCCAACTGGCGATGTCTTACTAGATGAAGCACTCAAACACATGGTGCAGACGCAGCCTCCAGAGTCTGTTCATAGTTGGATAGAGTATCTCAGTGGTGAGTTTGTAACTCTGCATTTTGCCTCTTCATTAGTGTCTCCGCTTTTCAGAATAGCTTTGACCAGAATCAGCCTAACACCATCACATGTTATTCAATTTCCTGGCATGTTTCATTCTATCACAAGAAAACGAAGCAAATAATGCCTTAAAACTCTCTGCAAATTTCTTCGTGAGTACAAAGAATATACTCACAAAATTTCAAGGCAAAATTTTAGTTAGTTTTCTTTAACAAAAAAATGAAAAATGAGAGCAAGTGAGATAACGTCTGCTCCAACTAGAATGATTCTAGTCAATGCTTTCCAATTAGACTGGATTGATTAGGAATAAACTAAACATATTTAAAAAATAAAAAAGTACGGAGTAGTTTAGCCAGCCAGGTTGGCCTAGTGGTCGTGCGCGTTTGACTCCAGGTCAATAGAAAGGTTGCTGGCAGTCTGGAAAACCAGGAAGGTCAGGGAACTTGCAGGAAAAGTCGGGGAATTTTGCAAGGGGCATGGATCAGAACAGAGTGACAAGTGTTAAGGGAGAAAAAATCTAAGAGGGAGTTTTATTCAAATGTCAAGTAATCCGAAGATTTTAGAGTCAGGGAAAAGCAAAAATATTTAAGGGAAAGTCAGGGAATTTGGAGATGAAGAAATTATGGCAACTCTGGTCCTGGGTGCGAATCCCGGTAATGGCGTCAAATTTTCACGGAAGTGACCAGTGGATCTGCAGAAACAGATTCCACTTGGCCTTAATCCCTGATAATTTGGAAAGTCTTGAGCATGAATGTGCCAACTCCCAAATACCATTTGTGTAAGTCTACAGATGGTTGTAGATTTCTAACTAAACGATAAAAGGAGTAGAAGCCAAATAAATTGAAGAAAAGAAAAGAACAACAAAGGTGTATTTTTGAGCTTAACAAGCCTCACATTTTCTTTTGTGAAGAATAGAAAGTACAGAAAAAGTATTTTGGGTGTGGAAACAAGCTTTGAACTACACCTCTAAGTAACTTGAATACTACAAAGAAAGAAGACTTCGATCCTCATTTTCTAGGTTTGACCGTGATATAACTTAATTCCTCCTTTCAAAACTAGGCCAAATTATATTAATAATGTGCCCATTCTTGTTTTTCCTTCTGTTTTTTTATTTAATTTTTTGAAATGCCCTTTTTAGGTGAAACTTGGAATCCACTAAAACTTAGGTACCAGTTGAAAAACGTTCGTGAAAGGCTGGCAAAAAATTTAGTTGAAAAAGGAGTTCTAACCACAGAGAAGCAAAATTTTCTGTTATTTGATATGACAACGCATCCTCTGACAGATAGCATTGCCAAACAGCGTCTCGTCAAGAAAGTGAGTATAGTGTTGTTTTTTCACAGTTTTAGTCCCATAGTGTGTCAGAATATCGGTGACTAAGAAACAGTACAGCCTAACGGATGATTTTGGTGAAAATGAGTAAGCAATTTTGCCGCATTCTGCAGTGAAACATTCGCAAGATGATGTGTTCAGTTTTTGCCAAAACCCGAAAGCGCTGCAATGACGCTAGAATGTACGGAAAAATTGCAACCTTAAAATTTAAAAAAAGGGGCAGTTTTTTCTTCATTCTGTAAAGTCGTCAGTTTGCACGCAGGCGATATTGTTCTTCAGCCATCAATACATACTAAGGTCATTTCAATTAAATTTCAATTGTTTTTCAGCATAGCAAATTGGAACGAACTAGCAGTTTTACCTGCTGTTTTAAGAGTAGACTGAGCATTGTGATTTGTCTGTGACTGAAACTCATCAGGCCAATGATATAATTTTTTCCTGTTAGGATGTCCCGTACGTTTCAGAAATTATCATCCCGCTATAAGAAGCTGACACCTATTTCTTTATTTGTATTGTGGCTCCCCTCATTATATTTGATTATCACCCAAATTTACTAACCTGCTCTCATTATTATATTTCTCAATTTTTCTGTAGGTCCAAGATGCAGTTCTCAGTAAATGGGTCAACAATCCGCAACGTATGGACAAAAAGCTGCTTGCATTGATACTCCTTGCACATGCTTCAGACGTCTTAGAAAACGCTTTTGCTCCGTTGAACGATGAAGATTATGAGCTAGCTATGAAACGTGTTCGCGAGCTCGTGGATCTCGACTTGGAAGCAGAAGCCATGAAAGCGAGCCCTTACGAAGTAATTTGGGCCGTGTTCGCTTGTTTCACAAAATAAGAACAGATTCTCTTGTAAAGTGCCATGATACAGGTGAGCATAAAGTTACTATCATGATCAGATGTCTCTGACTCAGCTGATGATGATCCTATCATAGTCAGACAGGACGGTTCTAGGGAAGCAACTCTGATCTTCTCATGGAATTTAACTAACAATCAGTTCATTCGTAACCATCTAATGCTAGATACCGTCATGCCTAGCATTGTTGGTTTCTCCTCCCTAAGATTATATAATTTTTCTAATAAGTCTCAACTTTTTACAAATCCGTAGATTTTCCCAGTATTTGCTGTTTTCTACAGATTGCAAGTTTGAACTTTCTGGACGCTAAAATTCCAGAAATGGGTATCTGGGGTTTGCAACATATTCAACTTCACATCTTCCCTTATTCTTTAAAAGGAAAAATACTTAAAGTTATTCCTTAAGACTTATGTGATTTTTCTTGTCTGTTTGAAAAGTATTCTGTGAAAATTTTGAGCAGTAGTGTTGGTTTGCTCTTCTTCGATAAAATAAAATGGCAGCCGAGATTTTGAAACACGGGAAACAAGATACGCTTGTGGGTAGTTTCACCCTTGTTCTGCACCCTAGTAAAGAAATGCAGAATTTTCTGGACTGTGTCGAAGATAAAAATGTGGAGGATGTAATAGAAGGTCTTTGGAACCAGGAAGGTTGATCCTTTTAAGCAAGAACATTATGTGATTCTCAGAAAATTGGGAATAACTTGCAGGAAACAATCACAAAATAGGCGGGAGGTCACTTTAAATTAGAGACAATTTTTCAAAAAGAGTTTTCAAAAAGAGAAGGCTTGAAACGTTCTGCAGCCTTGCTCTCATAGTAAATTTTGTCTTTAAAAGACTATTACCTTCCTACAATTCCAAAAATCACATTCAGAAGTGAAAAAAATATAGATTTTGTGAGTCATAGGGAGTTGCAGATGGCGGTTTATTTTTGATTGCTGTTGCAGCTCTGCTTAACGCCTCATAAAAAGTGTTTCAGTTGTTCTGCAGGACACAGAATGTGTCCCTGTTGCTGACTTATCTTTCTAATCATAAAAGTTAGAGGTGTCGACAGCTGAGTTGGCAGTTTTTTACTTTTGATTGTCACCAATAGACTGATTTCAGTCTCTGCGCACAATTGTGGTGTTCGTTTTGCTCTGAATTGTACCATAGTCAATCCTCGATTGCTATCGGACGACTGCATTGCTGTCGCTTGCAAACGAAATGTAAACAATCGCCAACTTATCTCATGACACTTCTAGGTTGTCTGATTTCTTAGGCACCAATTTTTAATAGTTCACATTTTGTTTTCCTTTTTTTTAGGTAACAAAAATGAACTGAAACTCAACCTCATTTTGAACTTCAATGATCAGGTGTTGATTTTCCTATTTATTTCCTATAATTGAAAACTTGTGGCCTGTCGAGAAAGATTTTTTGCATCCTTCGAACAGCAGGCAAGTGTGACCTCTGCTGTGCTGCCACAAGCGGTCTTTCTCGGAACCTCAATTCATCCTCCATTAACAGAAGCAGTAGAAGGTATCCTGAAACCCTCGGTTTAAAATTGATTTTACCTATACGTTTTATCTCTCATCAGGAAATTTTAGGTCTTTACTGTTATGACTGTGATTTTTGTCCATCTTTATTTTCCTTTATGCTCTCAAAATTTGCAGTTTCAGTCAGAATATGTTTTAAATATTTTCACAATCTTCAAAGTGCCTTAGCAAAGAATCTTTTTCTCCCCCTGTTGAAATACCGGAGAATCATCTTTGTAATGCACTTAAAAAGGAGTACCTAGAGAGCTGAAAGCCAGCTTGTAGCTATCGAACTCCAAAAAGTGAGATCAATGACATCGCAATTTATTCTGTCGAATGAAAGATTTTGGACCAACATCACATCTGAATTTTAAAACCTTCTTTTAAAAGTTTTTGTTGCTGAAAACTAAGAATGATGTTTCAGATCGTAATTATTTCTTTGTCCCCTTGAAAGTTAAATCTAGAAGTTAGATCAGTTTTTGTCCAATCATTTTATCTATGAAGACAGAATATGATCGATTAGCCCAAGACAAATTATCTTATCACTAGAAAACATTACCGATTGATTGGACGGTGTGCTGTAATGTTTTCATGCAATGTTGATCACATCCTAAAGTTATCTAGTTGGATGCTTCAGTATTTACTGAGAGCTTCAATCTGTATTAATAGATTTGTCAGATCATTGAATTCTTCAACCGTATCAACTGTTTAAAAAACTCAACAATTCCAATACATTTTGAAGCCAAAAATCTCGTAACATAGAAAATTTTTGTGGTTTTTTTTTCAGTAATGTCCCAAGAAACTTAATAAGGGTGCAATAAGATTGTTAGGTGCAAGAATATACTATCATGCCCCGGTTAATGAATTTTGTAACTTTTCCTCACCGCCATTTAATGCTTAACGTTAAATTAACTGCAATGGGAGAAGATTTTTTATGCAGTACATTTGCACTACTGGCAGTGACTTGAAATTCCACACATTTTTGAAAAGTCATATGGTGGACTACCCGGAATCCTGCTCTATCATTTCACACTGCCGTTAATTTGGTGTATGCTTTTTAATCATCGGAAAACTAGCTGTTTTTTAAACTGGACCTACCTCAACTTTAACAAGTCGAAATGCTACAAGACAAATGGAGCAGTCTAAGACATGGGAGGCAACAACATCTGAGGAATGTTTGTTTTTAAATCTACAATTTGATTGAAGTTCACAGATTATCTTGTTTTGAAATATTCAGCCTAACAACTTCACACATTGAATGTGTTCCTCCCTAAAAACCAACAAATTTTTGATTGATTTGGCAATTCACAGAGGTTTCGCATCAGTTCCTATAAATGTTTCACAAAATCTTTTGCACAATACTGGCAGTTATATAAACATTAAGTCTGTTTTAGATATAATGACGTAACCTAATTCATGGAAACTTCAATTGTGGTGCTCTTGTTCCATGAATAAACTAGGATTGGTGCAATAAACATTTGAATTAAATTTAGCAAACAAAAACTTTTTATCCTGCTCGTATTTGCTAAAAAAAAAATAATAAAAAGTCTTTACTAAATCACCATTGGGAAGTCTCTGAAGTCTTAATTAATCTCAAGGCACTTGGAAGTGTATTTACTGCTCCTGTTTTGAAACAGATCCGTGATTTTGTGCCTCAGACGAGCCCTACTAATTCTGGGATCTCTTTCCGATCCCCTTTTTTTTCAAATTGGCTGTTTCTTCAGCCTCCCGAACTTTTCGTTTTTCCTTCTCTCTCAATTTCATTTCTTATTCACTGTCTGGTATCTCAAAAACATCTCTCTAATGTTCTATCAGCTAAATTTACCACTGAGTTAATGAAGAATTTGCATTTTTTTATTGCTTCATCTGAAAATGCTTAAAGAGCTGACTTCACAGAATTTTTATAATTTTTTTCTGATACGAGAAATAGTATAAAAATAGATTTAAAAGTGAGAAAATGCACCACCCAGTGATGTCATCTGGCAGCATTTCCCATTCAAACACACCCATTCTAGCAGATTGGGTCATTTAGTCTTATCTTCTCCAATAATTGTTCAATTCATGAACCAAGGGTATCCTCGTCATCAGTTTACTCAGTAGTTTCCACTTTAAGACGAAATTCATCAAATTTCAGACACCTGCAAATTCTCTATTTTAAACTTACGCAAAAGGAATATTATATCAAAGAAAATATTATTTCAAGTGCAATCAGGTGTAAGTTGGCAAACGGAGGATTAGCTGAAAGAGCACCTCTGGAAAAAGCTACAGAATCGAAACACGATTGAAAGAGAATTCGAGATTGAGAAACGATTTAATCAAACCATCCTCTTGCTCCAACATTGCTGGGAGAAGGGCGTATTGCGTTATGGTTATGATCGAATTATGCAATTTATCACTGAAGCCACATGGTTTTTTTAAATCTCAGATACGTGTACACAAGGAAACTGGTTTTGATCGGCCCATTCCCAAACACATGGGGAACCTGTGACTGAACCAGAACTTAAAACGCAATCATCTCAAAACCAGGGATGCCGAAACTTTCAAATCTTGTCGACAACCACTTTAAAAATAAAGAAGCTTGCTTACATTTGCTCGAAATGCACGTTCTCTCCCTTAGGAACCGAATTTATAATTGAATAGTAAGGAAAAAAATTACCCTCAACATTTCAGCGAAAAATAAAGAATGTTATAATGGGGTACAAACTTCATAAAATGAGGAGGCTTTCTGCATCCCTGATCGACAGAGGGTACCTTGTACAAACATCCCTCATGCATCCAGGTCTGCAGTAGCAATTGAGCATTTTGATGTGACCAAGGAAATTATTTGGGATCATTGAGAAGGCAGCTAACACCTTCCCCTTCCAAGCAATATTTTTTTAAATTCTATATTCTCTTCGAATGTAGCTTCTCCATTTTACTTTGGGAGGGGGGGGGGGAGAGAAGGCCACTCTAGTAGTATTTCTCATTCAATCAATGTTTTTGTTCACGAGACTGAAAAATGCACGAAGATAAAACTTATAAATTGATTCAATCTACCCTTTTTTGTAACTGCAGCATTTCCCTGCCTAGATAGAATGGAACAGGGATATTCACTGTCAAGAAACACCAATTTAGGAAACTATGTTGTGTAGAAAATACGGAAAAAGTTATATCTGGTTCACAATGCTTTGATCTATAAAAATGTGAACTGAACTTAGAGTTTTCCTTCCAATAACACTCAAAACAGGAGAAACAATTTTTTTTTTGTTAAATTATAATGTCTCAAGTCACCTCGCAATCTAATTTTCCATTACAATGTGCTTTGACGGGGTGTTTTAAGCCATCAGAATGCTTTTAGAAAATGAACGTCAATTCAACTGCTGAGTACATTGTCTCAGCTTGTCGCCCGGTTTTTCGTTGGAGAGGCTTACTTCATCTTACATTCTCCTTCCTTTCCCAGTAATGCGGGATTACAATTAATTCTACTTTGCATTCACCTGAAAGGTGGCTACTTTTCTTTGAGCTGTCACCATTCGCAAATCTTGAATGGTTATGATGTGTGTGGCACAGAATTGCAGTTTCATAGTTGCCACTCAAACACATCTCTGCACCAAATTCAACTGATTGGTTTCAATTTTTCTGTCACTGCACAAAATCTGAACTATGAAGTAAATGGTCACTATTGAAAAGCTCTCCCAATCTTCATCATCAGAGGAAGGCTTTGTGTCAAGCTCTTACAATGAAAAGTGCGTTATTCACTAAGGTTATTAGTTAATTTTTAAGTTTCCCACTTTTAATGGAATAACTGTTTTTAGTTTCTCCATATCAAATTATCGTCTGTAAGATTTTCTGTATGTCAGTGTCATGTGTATGAAAGTGTGATATGAATGAAAAACTGTTAAGCATTGTTTAAGAACCAAACGAAATTTTGGTTTTTTTTTCCTCTTGTAAATAGAATAATAATTTCTTTCTTTCTCTGTAAATAATTGTTACTAGTATGAAAGGAAATTCGCTTCTCGTATAGTTTAGATAAATTTATACGGATAAAATTTTCTTCTATCGCAATGTTCTTTGAACTATAAATATTTTGTAAATATATATTGAAAAGAAATGTTACATCTAATTTTTTCCCTCTTATCATGTATTTTTAGTTCTGGAATCTGTTAGAAGATGCAGACCTCCAGAAGAATTGATTTTCTTGTTGTCAAAAGAGGCCATTTTCGGTAAAAAAAAGAATTTTAGGTTGGATGGGCTCGTATTGGGTAGCAGAAATAATTCTAATAGCTTCTAAGAAGCTTTAATCTAAAATAGTTTATTGAAAAAGAAAACTTCAAAACAAATCTATAAAAGAGAACTTGTAGAATATGTCTTCAATTTTAAGTCCGTCAGAATAATTAAGAAATTTTTCTGTACTAAACTATCCGTAATGTTATAAGTTTATTTTAAGAGCTTCTACAATATCAACAAAAGGGATCAGGGAAAAACTTACACACAGAATTGAACATGGTTTTTCCCCAAACAAATTATGAAGTCAGTGTGCGGATTATTGACTTTGTATCAAATTGTTACTGAGTGACCTTCAATCAATAAAAGCATAAAGAAGGATTGATGGATCAAAGTCATTCCGTAAAATTCAACATTTAACAAGCAGAGCTCTTTAGATTTGGCATTGCATTTATAAAAAAGGCTTTAGCAGGCAGTAGTTTTACACATTGTAGGGATTCTCAGCGAAATAAAATATTTTTCTGAAAATGTATCATGTTCTCAGTCAAAAATCGCCATTTTATATTTAGTTTCAGCAACTGATGGACCATCGGAAGATATTTGAATTAGAAAAAGACGTTTGAATTTGAAAATTTAAATTTAAAGAAAATGTCAACGAAGTACAGTGATTTTTTTTTTTTTAAAAAAAAAACACATCCACTATTTTTACAGAGAACTTTTTTTAGGCATGAAATGAACTTTTTAATTAATGTAAGAGAGGTAGAGCGATTGATATTAATCAAATTATATTAATATTTAATCAAATAAATGTTTGACAACTTCCACGTAAAAAATAAGGAAAACATTATTTTATCACTCTTCTAAAATAGGAAAAAAATTGAGGAGAATGCTGTCTTCCAAATAACTAAGTACATGCATTCAATCTTATTAACTTTCATTACCATTGTAATGTGTTCATATATACGACTCGAGGATATTAATAATCTTCAGCAAATTATTTAGATGAGCAACAAATTCTGACATCCACTGTTCTTAGATTTAACATGGTTTTTCGTTCAAGTCTTAATGGAAAATTATGTCAGAAGTCTGAAACTTGGTACCGATTTACTCTTGAAGGTTTGCAGATTCTAAAAAGGGGTTAGCTTTGAAAATGGCGGATATTCGAAATCCGCTGTTTATACACTTATAGCTTTGGATACAATTTGGCTGCCTCTCTCTGAGACACTTGAGTAATACTGAAATATTTACTGGCTATTCCATTAATAAACAAATTTAATATCCTGGTAATTTACCAAAACAAAGCATTTTTTTGCACAAAAAAACAACATTAATCTTAATTGCGGAATTTCAAGATTTAAACTGAAATATTATTTTCTTACGGGAAACCTAAACGTACTTAGGCTTTACATTTAAACAGAATATACTTCTCATAACAGGGCGAAATTATTGAAATTTCCGAGAGAAGGTTTAGTTAAGTTTTTAAACAAAATTAAAGAACTCTGGAGATTTGCAACATTGCAAATTGAAATATTTCTATGGCTAAGAAACAATACCCGACAATTTTGCAAGACGAAGAAAAAACGTCGCTATTTTTGTAATTCTGAGTTTAGATAAATTAAAATAACAAGATACGTCAAAAATATTACAGCGCCTCCATACAAAATGGAAAAAAACTAAAAATACCAGCTTGCATATTTTATACTGTAGAATGCGGTAAAGTCCTCAAAAACTCGCTTTTGCTAAAATTGTCAGTTCAGCGGTGTTGTTCCTTAGCGCTCAATATGTTTTTTCAGCTTTACTATCATAGCGTCAAAGTCCGCGTAAAAATAGGCAACAATGTTACATGTGTAACTACATAATCGGATAAAATTAACCAACAACTGAGAAAATCATGCAGGTTGACTCAAAAATGTTCATACTTTCTCTTCAAGTTCACTACTCATAACAGCCAAAAAAGAGATACAATTTTTTACAGATACAGTTGACATAATACTAAAAATTTAGTTTCATAATTTATACTTTCATTGCCTCAAAAACCAAATAACAAATACAAACTATGAAAGAGGAAAAAAAAACATAATCCAACCTCCACACATGGATTGGTAAAAATGAATGGACAGAACGATTTCCTTTTAGACTGCATTTACGGCAACCCTGGGAAAAATTATTTGTACATAAACAAATTCCTGTATTTACCAATTAAATTATTGACAACAATTTCACGGATTTTTCAAAGACTTGGTAAAAATTTACAATCTGCTGTACCTAGAAAGATCACCAGTGGTCCTCTTTAGATGTCACATTTATTACGTATCCTGGAGCTATGTCACCTGCAGGAAAACTTCAGAAAAATTTTGATGGCATGAGTCGAAAAATGCTTCACTCAAATTGCAACTTTGTAAGTCTCCGTTCATGTTTAACTTTCTTAAGGAAAAGTAACCAACAGTATCTATTGACATTTTCTGTGGATTTCTTCACTTATATTAAAAAAATTACACAAAATTTTGGGGATAAATCTTGATTAGCTTTCTTTGAGGAAAAGCAAACATAATCGGAGATTTTTAAATTTTGCAATTTAGAGACGCATTTTTCGCATAGAGCCATCGCTTTTGTCTTTTGGCCGGCAAAATGATTAATTGAATCATTTATATTTAAGGGTGAGACATGTTGCTGACATATCTTCACGCTGCTCAGAGCTGCTGTTTGGAATGAAGATTAGACCAACTCTTTCATCAAGCAAACCAAAGATTCCATTCAGGATTTTCAGGTTGGTTGAGACTAAAATAATAATTAATTCTTACAAAAAACCAGAAAAAGCAACTGAATTTCCAGGTGATTGAACTTTACCTTCAGAAAATATCAAAGAAACAAGGATTACATTATGTAATTATGAGTTTTTCCTTGCAATAATAAAACTGACCATCCTAACCGATTGAAAATTTGTAATTTTGAAAGTTATATGTGACACAGTTGTAATGGATGAAATTAGAGACTAGCATGCCCTGCATGTGACTGATTAGGAATTTCAGTTTAATTTTTCGTAGCAAATTAGTTGGAGTGTTGAATATTCCTTGCTATCCCAATGTAAAAAAAGAGCCTTACATTGAAAAAATAAAAATTTCAACACTCCGAATGAAACTGGACAGAGGAAAAAACAACCTCGTACAAAAAAAAAAAATATTAGATCCTTAAAGGGGCTGATCCCTTTCCCTGCTACCTGAACAAAATGCAAATGATGAAATAACAATAGAACACTATTTCCAAGAGAAAATTGACCATTGAATTTCATGGTCTTGTCTTTTATTTTACTCCATGCAATTAAAAAAAACCCCGATCAATTAAAAGATAGTCTAGGTACCTTCTTATGGTCAATCTAACAGTTAGCGTATTGGGTAGCAGTGCTACTCTGCCGTGCTAAGGAAGAGTGCCATATGAGCCTTCGTCAATTGCCAAATTCACTTTGATTAAATATGAATTTTCAGGAAAACTTGTGAATCTTTTCCATTCAATTTTTCAGAGAATTTTTTTTGAAATTAGATGTATTCTATCCGAAAATTTCAGACGAAGATATTCATAGCTTTCCTTAGAAATACATGTTTTATGCGAGGAAATTTGGCAACTCTGGAATGTTCATACGATGTTTTCCCTTAGCACGGCAGTACTAATCAATCTAATCATCATTATGAGCTAAACTGACTTCTTCTCGATGAGAAACAAAATTAAAAGTGAGATTTTTAGCCAGGGTGATGGTACTCTTGTTCAAAAGAACATCTGACGATCGAGCTCCAAAGCTTCATCTCACTATTAGATATGATACAACCTTACAATACAAGTATTAACAAATTTAACAAAAACAACACTAAGCAAGTAAAAGAAAATTGCATGTCAGCCAGAATCAATCTGCTTTAAAATCTGTTCAATTTTGTTGGTAATCCTGATGACTAGAAAAAACCCTACAAAAAGTGAAGGGATGGTGAAGAAGATGAAAGAGAGTCCTTCAAACATGAATTTTGGTGCAAAGATCTTCCACACCATCAAATGCCGACTGTGTATCACCGCAGCGAACATACTCATGAAGACCTGGAAAATAAAATGAAGGGAAAAAGTGTAATGACCTATGGAGACATATCAACAATACTGCCATGTTACCTAGGAGAGCAGTGAAGGTTAGAAGGAGGTTTTAAGATGAAGGGCTCAGTAGCATCTGAGCGGAACATTTTATTAAAAGAAAGCCTACGATATTAGTAAAATTTCCGCCAATCATCCTGAAGACTTAAAAATTGTTGGAATGATTAAAAATCGACGAATTTTATTTCCAATATATGTTATAAGAGCCTTTTCCACTTTCATGTTAAGCAAAACAGCCGTAAGCTACTTCTGCTTGCTTTTGTGGTTACATTTTGGACAAGCAACACACAAAGTTTAAGGTGAGAAATTGGCTGAAAAGGGCACCATTTTACCCAATGCACACAGCTTTTTGGCGGAACCCTTTACTACTGTTTTACGTGAAACAGTACCAATTATTGCACACTTACAGCTTTCTCATGGGTCTCGTTTTGATAAAAATGAGACGAATTTTGCTATTTTAGCTGAATCAGCGAGTTCACCTAAATTAGATTAGATGAATCTTGAAGGAAATTCGATTTCGAAAATTTGAGCGTTCCTTTTCGCTTCAGTAACTTAGTATAACAGGAGATGACACTTAAGAGCTCAGATTGAAAATTTGGGTGCAGAACTTTATCTATTTATTTGGAGATTAATAAGACAAAAAACATAATTTAATTTTGTTTGGTTCATGAGTACAGTCTGAGAGTCATTAGTGTCAACTGATAAACAGCAGATATTCTTGAGAGACTTTTTGCAAACATTCAAGATTTAATTGGATATTCTACAAAAGACTTCAAGAGGAGGGCGACTTTTCAGATTTGGACCAAGTTGTTCTGCTATCAGGGAGAGCCAAATACTTTGAGCTTTTGATCATTTGAAAGAAAACATCCCAAAGCCTAAGAATTGTAAGACTTCAGGGTAAGGGTATACCTGATACTTAGAAAATTACTAGATATAATGAGAAAAAATGCATTTTTGGTTTGCTGTTCAGTGTTCAAAAGTAGACATGAACGTTCAAAATTGGCTGCTGTTTGTTCCTTAGAAATGTCATAAACAGCACTTAACTTTATAGTTTATACAGATAAAAAATAGGGTATGAATATGAAGGGTAAAGCGTTCTGAAAACGTTGGAAGATTTAATAATTCAATCTAGAGTCAAAAATTTAAAGGAAAGTTATCTTTTCTGATTTATGATTGATGTTCGTTTTGTTAGTCAGGTGCTCATTATGACATTACAGAGGGATAAACAATGCCCGATCTGGGATTTTCACTTCTTTTTTTAAGATGCATGTATTCTACATGCTCTGGTTTCAAAGATGTATTTTTTCTCCGATATTTCGTCACCTTTTGGCCAAATTATCACAAGTATCATTTGGCCACTATGTTGCCGGACAACTCAATATTGCTTTAATTTGTCTTAATCTTGCACATACTTACACATTTATGAAAATTTCAGGAATTAGTTTTGATAACAAAAGAAAGCATAAGTAATGTTTTTAAGTTTGTTTGTTTTCTCTTAAAAAATTGGAAAAGCTTGATTTTTCAAGCTATGGCAAAGTGCCTGCGCACAAATGACGCTTGAGATATGTGCTTTGGCCGAAAGGTGAAATTTATTGATGAATTTCTCACAAGAAGCCAGGGTGTCTCCTGATCTTGAGATATCATTTTAGCAAGAAGTTTCACTAACCCGAAAACCATGGAAAATCATGTACTTGCAGCATAAGCTAAAAACCGAGTGATACAAAACTGGTTCATTTTCAAATAAAGTAACATCTCCTTTCCTGATCGATGAGTTGGTGCCATCATTCGAACTTAAGGCGCTTGGAAAAGTGACCTCTAGTGTGAATGGAATTATGAGTAATAACTGAAATAAAGACCAAGAGTGAATTATTACACTTTCAATCAATAATACGTTAAATATCAACAGTCAATGGAATACAAAATTGAGGAGGGGGGAGGATTCAATCTATACTATAAGCTCCGAGACTTCCTAATTTTGCGTAACTGGTAACGCTTAGTTCCAGCGTTCTACCGGGCCGATTTTCATGTTTTTTGCGGCCATCGACGGGCAATTGTCTCTAGATTAGCCCGTTCTATTCAGTTTTTCAAAATATAACCCAGGTTTTTTTATATTAAGTGGTAAAGTTGCGAATTCTCCCATTAAAACAATGTAAATTTATACTTTTTGTCATAGTTCGTTCGAGCATTCTACCGGGCCGATTTCCATGATTTTTGCGTAAATCGACAGGTAATAGGCCCTAGATGAGTCCCCTCTGATCAGATGTTGGAAATGGGACCCAGGTTTTTTTAAAATCAAGTTATAAAATTGAGTGAATTTACGGAATGCTCCGGGACTGCTACCACTATGCGTCGGATGATGCGCAGTGGTTGAGGAGGTTGCGCAGTAGCTGTGTAGCCTGCGCATCAGCTCTATAATTATCTACACAAGATTCCCGCCGGTTACCTCAAGACGAGCGGTGGCCGAGTCATCTAAGAAGCCAGAAGCGTCCAACTTGATCACGGTGTGAGTTCAATTCCCAACTCCTGATTTATTTAATTATTACCTGATTATCATTGTTCATTGTTTTACTGCAATATTTCATCAAGCAGTCATTCCAAAACGCGTCCTTTTAACTTCAAAAAATTTTTTTTTTCTTTATTCATCAAAACCAAAAATTATTTCATTCTATAAAGTATACCTCATATCGTAATTTTTTAGGGGAAAAATAAAACTAACACTGATCGGGGGGGGTAAAAATAGGGCCGCGAAGCGCCTTCAGGGGGTTGGGCCGCGTAGCCCCCTAGTTTTTTATAACTATTCTATGATCAAATTTTGTACATACATACACCCAACATTTGCATATATACCCAACAATTTAACTTTCACAGTTTTTTTAAATTTTGTTGAAAATTTAGAAATTCTCAAGGCATCAAAGTGGTGCCAAAACTCAGGACCGAAACCTTCGGAGCAATCTTATCTTCTTCACTGACCCATTGCTGGGCAAAACTGAGAAAAATTGAGTGGAATATGGGTCTTACCGGCAAGAGAGCAGCATGTACAATGTAAGATATGAAGGTATTCCCAGTGACCAGTAATGCTGAGAGGTAGATGTAAATGCCATCTAAGGAACTAATGCCAATAAAAGCTGCATTCCAATTAATACTGGGAAATGTTGCCTGGTGTCCGGTTCCATAAAACCAAAATATTGAGGAGAGTCCCCAAAAAATGACATACGGCCACCCAACATTGAAAAGTTGCACTGAAAAGAAAAAGATAAATAAACATTAAAATAGATTTAGGCATCATTCCGTTGTAAAAGTGCATACAAATTTATCGATTTAGAATGATGCTTGAGTATTGCATGTATTAGTCCTTTTGCTACTATTACAAGGTCTGTTCAAAAAGAAACTGGATTTTGGTGATAACTAGCCCGCTGTGCATCCGAATCATGTTTTCTTGGATTTTCCTAATAGCTAAAAATATTCTTAAGAACATTAAATTCACAAATTTGAAACATTTTAATTAGCTTTGTTGGTACAAGGATTAAAGTAAGGCGACCTCATAGGTTTTCTGCGATTTCCGTGTTTGACCAAAATTATTGTGCTTTTGTTAGTCTTGCACTACCCTTTTCAACCCACGCGGATGATTGGAGTTGAAGAAAACATGACCTTGTGGTCATAAGAAGTCAAAAAAAGAAAATGCACTCATGATAGGAAAAATTTTCAACGAGTTCCTCTCTGTATTCTTTGACTATGCTGTAAACTTAATCCTTTAGGTTTGAGCGGCTAAACCAAAATGAAATCATTAATGAGCACACTCTCAGTGTACAGATACTTTTTAACTACAAAACCAGTGGGTCAAGATTGGTCACAAGCACAAATAAAATAGCTGCTAAAACAAGTTTTAAGAATGGGAATCACTTCAGCATGAAAATCACATGTTCTCCAAGAAAATACGAAATGTTTGTAAATGAAGAGGAAAAAAGTCATTACTTTGAAAGTTTTAGGGAAAAGGAAATAGGAAAAATAGGAATGCTAAGACGTTCCTTTAACTCTGAGCACTTATGTCTTTAAAAAATGGGTGTAAATTAAACTATTTGAAAGTAATACTTACGGCTAACTAATTTCCGTGAGTTGCGTATGATAGCTGAGAAAAAAGCAAAGAGGATCAATGAAGAGACCATGAAAATGGCAGGAACACTGTATGTAAAACCTAACAGAATTGCTGACAGTAAGCAGAGAATGGAAGAGAAATTGATAAAGGAAGAACTATACACAGTGGCGAGACCAAAAATAATAGGATTACTGTCAGCGTGATTGGTCACATCAGATTTCATTAAATTTTTAAGCTCTTGAAACAAGTGAGGAATCGGACTGTTAAGTGACAAATTCGTCCGATTTTTTAGGTAATGAATACTGGTGGGATGAAAGAACAGAACGACTAGATACAAGCCCAACAAAGAGAACACTATCCGCGGCAACATGAGAAGGTGCCAGGGCGGGACGAGTTTCCTCCGTTTTGCAAGAGGAGTGGATTCGGACAGCCAATAGCCACTCAGACAAATAACAATAATTGTGGGAAGGTACTGAGATAAAAGCACCGTTGGTGAGAATCCTGTAAAATTTCCAAACATCTTCAAATAGTTACGGACTATTACAATAAAAATAACAAGGGAGACGATAGAGATCACACATTGTGTGGTCTTTGAAAAGAACAAGCTGTCTTTGGATGCCGCGTTCTCAATACCGGCCAGACACCATCCTTGCTCTTCGCGGCACTTATTGAAATTGAAACCTAATCTTAAAACAATAGATATACCTATTAGGAGCATCAGACTTTTGAACAATGGACTTGAAACAAATGGTCGAGGCTTCTTGCTCGACTCGAAGATTGAAGTGAATTTGTTGCGGTTCTCCCACAGAAATAAGGAGAGGAGGGATAAAGATAAAAACAATATTATCGAATACTCTTCGACCACAAAACTATTTGAAAACATGGTCAAACTACTGAGAATGAAAATGAACCGATAACAAATGTGCATCATGTTTCTCTTACTCTTGTACCAAGTTTGACAGATTTCAACCCAATTCTGGACAATAACCATAGCTAACAATAGAATGGATAGCGTTGTAGACACAAAATACACTGCCAGTTCAACATTGGGGATGTCCAGCAGATTTGCATGTTTTAGAGCAATGAGGGACAAAACAGACACAAAAACTAGACCCAATCTTGTCATAAAGAAGCCAAAGGTGAAAACTTGGGTAAATTTATCAAAACTTAGTCCTTCCGTGACAAATAATGCAAATGAAAGGGTGAGGAATGTAAGAACCAGACCACGAGACATCGAGTTTGCATCAAACTGAACCCATAACTCCCTGCACATTTGACCGATCACCTCTAAATACATCTGACTCTCATGAAGAATGCTATTAATTTCAACGCTGTTAAATAGGTCTAGATGAATTATTTTATCTTGTATTTTTTCAAAACTAATTTCAAGAGTATCAAATTTTTGAGCGGAGAACTTGCTGTTTTTTGCGTAAGCTTTAATGTAGGTGGTAACTTGTTTAACATTGTTCCAGCTGTGAAACAGTTTGAAGAAATTAAGCGACTCGGGCTGTTTGGGGATAGGTAAAGACTCAAAGACTACCGAGCCAAGGTTCGAGAATGGAATAGGAACTCCGAATATAGCTGCTAGTGTTGGTACGAGGTCAATTTGCTTGATAGAAGTTCGGCTGATCTTAGAAGTTTTCATCAGGGGTGTCTTTGGTGAGTATACAAACATAGCTGATTTTACTTCTCCATCACTGTCACCTCCATGGTCACCTGGAAAACAATCAATAAAGTGAGATTGAAATCAAGTTTCATTTAAAGTAAAATTGATTATGTTTGGCAGAATGAGATGAGGGTAAGGTAAAACTTGGAATCCTACTGATTTGCAATAATAGCATTTTGTTTTGAAAATACTCAGGAATATCGACCGTGTAAGTCGGCAATCACATAACTCAGTTTGCGACGTCGCAGACTTCCTGTCATACCTTATTTTTTAAACAGAAAATTACTCAACGAAAATTCTTTAAAACTGCCGTGATTTTTCTTCTCTGTGCGAAGAAATTTCTGCATAAACTTCAAGGAATGATGTCAATTTGTTCTTCTTTAAAAAAATAACATAGAGGCAGAGATTTTCAGACACCGCAAACGAGTTATGTGATTTCCGACTTACACCGTCGATATGTATTAAAATGCTGTCATAAGTTACTTTTCAAACTTCTTGTTGTGTGAATTCTTATTTACTCAAGGTTTTATGGTGAAAACATGTAGCATTTTTTCAAGTGGAGATCTTGTCTAGTGGCCTATCGATAAGCAATTTTGGTGCTGGTAAAATTAAAGTTTCCCCCGATAGTAAACCAAAGTCTGCCTAAATCAAATTGGCCACAATACCAGTTTTAGTATGCTTCAAAATGAAATATCTTTTTTATTTTTCTACTTTCCTCAAACCCATTTCCAAATTCTTTGCATTAGAGGCTGAATAAAATTGTCGTAACACTAATATCTACTCATTTGCTAAACAATAAGTTTACCCTGAAAGACCGATTTAACTTGTATTGTTTTTAGGTTTTTGTTTTGTTCAGACAGAGTGTTAATTTAGCCAGTGTGCATCAAACTCTAGTCCGTTAGCAATTTTTTTACCAGAAAAAGTTTCTATTCACTGATATCAATAAAAAGCCAGATTCACACAGTTCAACTTTTCATTCAACTTTCCCTCCAACTATATTGAATGAAAATGTTTACTGTGTGATTCAAAAAGGAAAAATTTTCATTCAATAAAGTCGTAGGAAAAGTTAGATGAAAAATTAATTCGTGTGCAATGGGTTTGAGCATTATGCGCCTGCCTCAAAAGTCTGAGCTAATCATGCGACTCCTTTGCATGTCAAAGTTTTCTGCACGATATTTAGATGAGGAAATATATCTTAGGGAGTTTTACATCTTGACCTGTTGGGTGATTCATTGTAGGGTTGGTGAAAAAGGGTGGAAAAAAAAGTATAAATTTACCAGTTGCAGTCATTCCATGATCTCCCAAGACGAACAGTACTGTGTTATTGTCCATTGCTTGAATTGTTTCTCTGTGACATAAATAAAAATGGAGCTTGTAATATTTTTCTCAGAGCTAGGGAGAGTAAGATGACAGTTTCCCGAAGAAATCTTCATAATTAGACTTGATTTAACTACAGGGTGCAACTATTTTTTGGCTTGCTAATGAGAGCATCTACCTAAATATGGAAACTATTGAAACATAAGTTGTTTCTAAAATAAGCTGGAAATGATAGTTCTTTATTGCTAAATGAAGTCCAATGGATGATCTTTTCGACCGAACTTTTTAAAAACCAATTGATGAACAGTTTAATGCAACAGATGTGTGATCTACCAAATTTTTTGAAAACTGGAGAATTTTTTTTTCAGACTTTTTGTCATCTTTCACTCAAAGGAACGTTTTTGGCTGCGCTGTTTCAGTGCTTATACACACATTTTATTTTTTCATAAGAGGACCATCATACGAAATTGTCCGAAAATTTTAGTGTTTTGTCTCACAAGTGTGAAGAAAAATCACTGAAAATTTCAGACAAATTTATGAGACAGTTTTTTCATTGAAAAATGAAATGTCAATAAGAAATACTGAAACAGCGCAATTGAGGTATGTTCCTCTATGCCTAAGACGACAAAGTGTCAAGATGAAAATTCCCCAGATTCCACAAATTTTGACAAAAGCTTACAACTTTTACACTTGACTGCTCAATCTCATGAAATTGCACTTTTTGAATGCCTATGCCAGTGAAATTTCAGAGCAAATGTAGTGCAAAAATATTGAGAAAATAAGTCGTTAGAAAATATTAAATTTTCATCGCAAAATACACGAAAAATTGATCTCCGACAGGAATGGAAGAACTGACTATTGTAGAACCTTGCGTTTAGAATTTTCATAATTCCTGCTTGATGTTTAGTGAGCTGACTTTAAAACTAAGTCTGTGATTTTGAGTTATGAATGGAGTAAAATAGGCACAAATGATACTTACTCAATGACACTGTTCATTTCTGTTAACTTGCGAACCATTTCAGGATGGTATGGGCCATAGCGGTGTCCGCAGTGATCAACGCCAACAAAATGAGCGATTAATAGCCTCCAATCTGAGTTTTTCATTTCAGGTACGAGATGCGTTCTTATACCAGTATCAACTGAGTCTAGGTCCCAGACGTTAAACGACGGAAAAGGGCGCTGCCGATGAAATCTATTGGGAAAGGCATTGATCCATGTGTCATCCCCCATGAAAATGACTGGTTTCTGAGATGTGACAAGTTGGTCGATGATATTGTCCTCATCAATTTCAGCACTGGCAAAATTTGAGCTGATGTCAATGAATGTAGGCAGGCTTCCTGTTGTTAGACCTTTTAGTCTCTGCATGGTTGTTGTAGGCGGATCTGCAATAAACTCAAAGAGCCGAGCATTGTCTGGTTTCTCTACTAGAAGCTTACCAACGACAGGTATATGGTTGTGAAATGTTTGATTCAGGTGCGGTTGAGGAGCAAGGAAATCAAAGCGCAATGCATCAATGAGGATAATTATAGCTTTCCGATCTTCAAGAAGGCACTTTTGCTCCATGGCCCCTGTGCTCTTGGCAAGAGGAGAACTGAGACATTCCGCAAAACGATTCGAACACGAGGGCTCCACAGGAGCACAAGACGACTTGCTGGGCAGCACCTGACGGTTCAGCAAAAATCCCCTTGTAAATAGCAGTATACTGCATATCAGCATGTAAGCGATCCATGCTAAGAATAAGACATACTGGTAGTACATTTTCTTCTGATTTTTCCTCTACTGAATGGATAAAACATTTAATTTGAAGAGAGAAGTTACCCCTTCTGGAAAGATGCAGGTATATTTGTTGCGTCAAAATTTGAGCTTGGATTGAAACTTAAATATTTATGTATACATTTAGGGTATGACATATTTAATTAATACACTTAAATTCACTAGGCTTAGATGAAAAATTATTAAACACTCCACAATTCTCAAATTTACTGATAATGTAAAAAGCTATCAGTCGGTAGAAGCAATACCATCTAAGTAGGAATTGGTAGAAGGAGTAGGTAAACAATCGGCTTCTTCCGGGCAGCTGATTGGCTGATTGCGCAAGTGCTGCTCTATGTGACTGAATCGCAAATCACCGATGTTTGTGTGTGTAAGTATGACCATAAGCCGTAAGAGATGTAGCGTAGGCGTGTGTGTGTGTGTGTAGGTGATGATTATTATCACATATCACTGTTTATTAGGGATGTCGATACTCAGGGAAGTATCGATACTCGGTATCGGTACTGGTATCGACTCTAAGCATCGATACCGGTATCGAGCATCGAGCTGAAGTATCGATACTTATGAGGTATCGATACCATCGATACTATTTCTGAATTATGCCGTGATTCTGAGTGTGCGTATGTCTGTCGGCGGTTAAATTCCGCCAGATTTACGCCTCTCTCGAAAAAGCCCTGTTCGCGTCCTTAGTCAGCTCTTTTGAGCCTTTAACTACACTTATCGAACTGAGCTTTTAACATTTTTATTGAAGTATAATCATTTTGAGAAACTTGATTACTCCGTCGTTTGTCACAGTGCATCTTGAAGGTGAAATAGTGGGGAGAGAATTTTTTAAAAAAGAAAAAGAGGCCTTCTTCATGGCCAAATCAGATTAAGTATCGATACCGTCGATACTGGGGTCTTGGCATCGATACTGCATGGTATCGATATCGTGGAGTATCGATGCCGAGTATCGTTAAGTATCGATCGAAAGTATCGATACTTTGCAAGTATCGGATAAGTATCGACATCCCTACTGTTTATTACAATGTCCAATGTTGATATGGCTGAAATTCTCTTGTCTTCGCAAATGTTGTAGCTATATTTGATATTCTTGGCTGCATAGAAAGTACTTTCAACTTCCATTTACACAAATTTCTTAGTTTTACTCTTCTGGTGTGAAATACTCAACACAGCTGAAGCATTTTTTCTCATTATCCACGCCTGTAAGTTCCTCCAAATTTTCTGTGCAGTGCCTGTTTCTTCACTAAAGAAGCATCTTTTTGTAATTTTTGACGAACTTAATTTCGGGATCACACATATTTCCCTATTTTCTTGTTTTCTCCTCACAGGACAATTCGTGATTTAAATGAGCGAAGTCTCTCCTGACTACTTGTGTACTTCACCGTTTCACCCATTATAATGAGCCGCTCTCGAGAGATAATAGATCTCATTAATAGGGCATTTCAGTGCTGCCGCCAGGGTTTAGTGGTATTTTCTCTGATTTAATCACTTTTTCAGGTATCCGAAAGTAAAATATGTTACTTCATTCAGAGGCACTGCAGAAAGACAGTCGAAGTAAAAACAGCTGAGGTTCAGATCATATTCCCTGTGACTAGTAACGGAGGAGGCTCATTAGAATGCCGATGTGTAGCTGAAGCGCTATAGCAATTTATTTATTCATGCGTTCGCTGCCAACTGTAAGATGACTCATAGCTACACTATAGGACAATTGCCTTGTGCAAGAGGCAGAACTTCAGAATCCGACTCCTCCCGAGTTTCAATCGCGAAACTAACCTCTCAGCTGAGAACACTTCCCAGGTCTACCAACTGAGTACGAATTGCACTAAAAATGGCCGTTGCCGGCGGAATACCCCGCGTGATTCAAGAACAGCTGGCCGTTGCCGGCGGAATACCCCGCGTGATTCAAAAACAGCTGATTAAATATGCGCGCTTTTATCGCAGTTGCTTTTCCGTTGTTTTCCCTAACACTTGAAAAATCCTACCCCACAAGCCTGAGTGACGTAACGCAACCTAACGTAACCTTACCTAACGTTACGTTACGTCACGTAAGGCATCCTCCGGGTGGTTAGGTTAGGTTAGGTTAGGTTAGGTTTGGGGTTTTGCCGACTGGCGACTTGGACGGTCAACCGTTGGAATTCGGCGATTTACCCCGAATCTCCACCGCGGCGGTGCGTTTTCGGGGGTTCGGCACTCTCAACGTTGTGACGGACCGCCGCCATATTTGTTTACGAAACCAAGCCTACCGATCGCATGCCCAAGCATCGTGTGCTGATCGATTATAGTATAATAATTCAAAATTAATTTTATCGTTTCAGTCGTTCCATTTTAGCCTCAATAAGCTAAGCTCACCGTTACGCGAACGTAAGTATTTGTTTACTTTTTGCAACTGTTTCACTCCACTTGTACATTGTACCAATGTCTTCATGGAGTGGGTTTCCCACCGGAATTTACGTATAAAAGTCTCCAAACGTCTCTGATTACCTAATTGGTATGAATATCTAGTATTCTCAAATTTAAATGTAGTAGCCCTGCTTGATTTTGTAACTTTTAACTTCGAAGTTGTTTGTGATACCTCTTCGTTGATGCATCAAAGGTAACACCAGCCTCTTGCCGTAATGTGTCAATATTTGCGAAAGACGTTGAACATCCAACAAATTCCATTGCTCTCAGCAGTATAAACCATTATTTCAGTATTTTCCAGACCAAGTGCAAATAACTGAGAGGATAAATGCATAAATATCTCTTGACGCTTGCTGCCTGTTGGGCTGATTGTTTTATTTGTGTTGGGGTCAGAACAAAGCTGAATCAATGGCTTTTCTAGTTCAGAGGTAAGGAATTTATCTCAAGAGAATAATTTGATTCTGTTGTGCAGCCTCTTATAACACAGCCAGACCTAAAGTCCACATGCTTCTTTTAAGGTCAGAAAGGTCTTTAAAGAAGTCAATATAAGTGAAAATTTTTTTTCGGGCCCTCAGCTACTTTATCTGCAAAGTGAAATCTACATTTTAACCATTCATGCTAGATATTCCAGAGAAATTGGTCAGTGATGAGTCTAAGTGTGTAGACTCTGATGGAAAATCCACCGGACAATGACGCTGGTGTTTTGAAGACAGTTACAAAAAAAACAAATGTTTGCAAATGCGTAACAGACAAGTATCGAAATCTGAAGTCTACCATAAACGTACGACTTAACGTAGATTTGAAAGATTAGATTGAATGATTAAATGTAGCTGTGCCATTTCAGCTGGACCCGGGAAATCTAACTGGAGAGGTCTTGTGCCTGCGGGGAAGGAGTTGGGCGCTGCTGACACACTTCACAGTGAAATTGACCAAAATTGTCCCAGAAAAATGTTAGTACTCTCTCTGAATAAGGGGGAGGGGACAATCCCTACTTGCCTGATGTGTGAGAATTTTCACCCTCATGATAAATTTTAATTTGAAAAAATATGTTCCTCACAGAGGCCCAACCCCTTTCTTGCTAGCACCATTTACATTTTTAAAGCAGCCTCAGTCTTGATAGCCTGCTGAATGGATTCCATAATGAGCAGAGATGCAAAATTGCATGCAATTTCATATAAGGTAAAATTTCATGAAAGTATAACTTCTGCAGTAGGCTCAGTAGGCCGTGAAATGCGTATAATCAGAAAATCTCAATATTTAACAAAATAAGAGTCAAACTCTTAATTTTATTATAAAATAATTTTATGGGTGGTGTACACTCCTCCTAAGAAATCTGTGTACTTTCATATCATGTTAGATTTCATTTTACATCCCTGATAAGTGATGACAAAAAATCTCTGAAAAGAAGGAATGAATGCTGAGGATGGTCGCTCAAGACTCATTCTTCTGGCTGCTACTTTTTTTCTCCTAGAATGCATTGATAAACGGCGACATTGCAGCTTGTGTCTTAACGGGAGAAAACTTCCTTCATTCGACTATCAGGAATTAATATTAACTTGATAAAAATATTTAAATGTAAATTTTAATTAAGTATGTGGTTGCTTCAAGTCCGCTTAAAGTGTGGATCTTGCCCGCGATCCATAATTTCAAAACACCCGCGCAATATGCGCCGCCATCTTAGTTGTTTACATGAAAACGTTGAGGTGCTCGATCCCCGAACATGCACCGCCGCGGTGGAGATTCGGGGTAAATCGCCGAATTCCAACGGTTGACCGTCCAAGTCGCCAGTCGGAAAGATTCGTTAGGTTTGGTTAGGTTAGGTTACGTTCTCCTAAAAACTGAAAAACGATCCTGAAAAATAAAAAAGAATAAATCACTATTAAAATAATCGAAAAACAGTTAAATTCGGCACCAATGTGCGAAAAATCAATTTAAATTGTCGATTTGGCAACAACGCGACAAAGCCGATTTAGTGTAATTTCGTCATGTGAAGGTTGGTCAAACTGCCTTTTTCACGGCAGGAGTCGGATTCTGAAGTTTGGCCGTGCAAGATATCGATGGCAGATGTGCGATACCATGTACCTCCATTGAGCGCTGTTTCAAAATCTTTGCTCCTTGTTATATTTTCTAAGAAGAACGAGTCAGTTTTATAGCTTGAAATTCCCTCAGAGCATTCTACTTACAAAGAAGACAAATTAAGGAAGTTTTCAAGACATACGTTAACCAGTTTTTGTAAGAAAAAATAAAACATGACTTGAAGTCTACAACGTCGCAAACGGAGATACATGTTTTGTACTTAAGCCATCAATAAGCTCCAGCAGATTACTCAAATGGCCACTTAGGACTTTAAATAAGCCCCTGCTACCAATTGAAACCATGTCATTCCTCTACCGTTGGTGTAAGACTGGTCACTACCAACCAACTTTCGAGAGGCTTGTATACTGTGTTTTTGCCTAATTTTTGTAGAGCGGAAGCATCTTATGTTGAGAAAAATGTCAATTTCTAATTACCTCAGAATCAGCACCTCTCAGAAGGTTAATAAATGCAGTCAGATGGCACCTCTGATGAGTGGTGACTTAAACAATACTTGACTTTTGTCTCAACACACGATGCTTCCGCTCTATGTACCTGCAGGCTGTGGTATCAGATTTAGTACAGGCATACGTTTTTCTGTTTCAGTTATTCGCTGTTTTATCAGTATGTCGTCCGGTAGGCCAATCAAGTGTGTTGTTGTCGGAGATGGAACAGTTGGTAAAACATGCATGCTAATATCCTACACAACTGACAGTTTTCCAGGAGAATATGTTCCAACTGTGTAAGTATAGTTTTCTTACTTGTGGTGTCGAAACTTATTTCTATCAACGGACGCAAAACTATTTTCTGGATTCTTCTCAAGTATTTGACTAACTTCTCTTCATTGTCTCAAGACCGTAATGCTCTCAGTACTAAGGTTCTGATCAGGGGTTAAGGATTTCAAATCAACAGTTTAACAAAACATCAATTCATTAAATTAGCATTGAATAGGGCTGTTACGTGATCCAGAAATCGCCTTGAAAGTAGGTGCTTCTTGAAGCATTTTTAGCCAGGAACTTGTCTCCTAGCTTTTAAAAATAACTTTAAAATAGTGTACTTATTGGTGTATTTTCCAAAGAAAATACACTGAAACCTCCTATACTGTAATTCGATGGTGTAAGTCGGCAATCACATAACTTGGTTAGCGACGTCGCAGACTTCCTGTCATACTTTATTTTTTAAACGGAAAACTACTCAACGGCAATTCTTTAAAACTGCCGTGATTTTTCTTCTCTGTGCGAAGAAAATTTTGCAAAAACTTCAAGGAATGATGTTAGTTAGTTCTCCTTTAAAAAAATAACATAGAGGCGGAGATTTTCAGACACCGCAAACGAGTCATGTGATTGCCGACTTTTACCATCCAAATGGAAGTGTAGACTATTGAAAAAGAATGGTACTGCAGAATTTTTTTTTCATTTTCACACCCAGTTTACAACGTCTTCATTTTAATACCAGAAAAGCTAACAGCACTACCAAAAAATTTAAAAATCTTAAAAAAATACTGTTAGAAACCTGTAAAGGTTCTTACTTTTGTCAATGTCCCTGATTATCCTCGATATCCCCAAAAGTCCCCAATTTTCTTGTTCAGGTCCCCAAAAGATGACAAAAATTATCCTAAACAACGGCATTTTCAAATTTTCCCACCAGCCATAGCGGCGCGGTATAACCAGGAACAAAAAAACTGAAGTGTTGCTTTGTTTTTCGTATGTTTACATCGGTTCAATATGACCTGTAAAATTAGTCGTATAAAATACGCCTTTAACGCTTCAACTAGCTCCCTTTCTCTTACCATTTCGGGAAAAAAAGTCCCCGATTTTCTTGAAAAAACACCCCTAAAAGTCCCTGAACGCCCCCAATTATTGTTTTTTATAACTGGTAGATACCCTGAAGGGTAAGACATAGCATTCTTGCAGCCTCACTCATGGTATTTTTTTGTTGCTTTGTTTCAAGGTTCGATAACTATTCTGCACCAATGGTGGTTGATGGAATCTCAGTAAGTTTAGGTCTTTGGGATACAGCTGGACAAGAGGACTACGATAGACTGCGTCCTCTCTCTTATCCACAAGTGAGTTAGTTGTTTCTCTCGTCAGTATGTTTTTTTTTTTTTCTATTAACATTGCTTTAGAGAAAATTATCTTTGTGGCAATATTTTGAAAGGGAGTTTGAAAGGTTAGCTTGTCATACCTAATGAGGCTTTTGTATAATAGTAAGTGCCTTGAAACTCGGTGTTATCGGAGTAAATTTTAGAGAGAAAGCGCCTCCTAGTTTGAAAAAGCTCTAGTTTTTTTGACAGAAAAAAAGAAGCTGAAAGCTATAGTAAGAGAAGAGGGTTTCTGGTTGGTGTAAATTGTATGACGTCGTATGAATGAATGGAACGGTACCTTTATTCTCATTCAATTAAGATGATAGAATAACCCTGTTCAAGATCTTGGTCCTGAATTTCATGGTTGCTAATTTTTATGTGACCGTCGGCTCTCAAGCTCACATTTATCATACAAGTAGAGAATTGTGAACATCATCCAAATTAATTCCTGTGTTCTCCATCCTTTGTTTCAGACTGATGTTTTCCTAATCTGCTTCAGTGTTGTTAGCCCATCTTCCTTCGAAAATGTCACTTCCAAGTGGTATCCAGAAATCAAACATCACTGTCCAGATGGACCTATCATTCTTGTTGGTATGTTGGACTTAAGACCTTTATAACCTATTCATATTCAGAGCCGTTTTTTATTAACAATGTTAGATATCACGAGAAAAAAAGAAGAACACGGCTTTTCTAATGGAAAGAAAGAAACATTAAGAAATGTGGCCCGAACTGTAAGTAATAGGGTGGTAAGAAGAAGCTGAGGCCATTTTGCGGGAAAAACAAGGCCAAAAAGTACAAACATTTCAATCAAAGCCAAAATGAAATCGAATCTAATGAAAAGGCTTCCTCAGATTTCTTATAACTTGATGTTTCTGAACGTATCTGATTTGTCATGATGTTGAATGGACCAGTTGCGCTGGTAACAGAATGGTGTTTTGATGCTTGATTCTTGTAGATTAGCTAAAAATAAGATCTGTCCACACAGCAACTTTCGACATTGAATATGAACCGATCACGCCTCAAAAAACTCGATTTATGATGTCATTCACTGCGGTTGTGCATAACACGGTATGTACTACCGCAGTAGATAAAATGTCATAAATCGAGTTTTTCAAGGCGTAATATCTCAGTTAATATTCAATGTAGAAAGTTGCTGTTTTGACGGATCTTATTATTTTTAGTTGATCAGCAAGAATAAAGCATCAAAACAACAATTCTGTGACCAGCACAACTAGCCCATTGTCACAGTCACCCATAAAAATGTTGCTATTACTTATTAATATTTTTTATTTATTTTTTGTCGCTCTCTGATGTGTCGACTATCATGGAGCCCCAAAGTCGGACCAATGTTAACAAACCCAAGCCCCTCCGCTCCTACTTTGGCCCAATGTATACAAACAAGAAAGCGGCAAAGTTCTACGAAGTTCGAGACGTGATTTGGGATGTGATAAAAAAATTTCTGTGATCAACTTTTGAATTGAGTTCAGATCAACCTGTAATGGATATTTTTGCCGAAAATTAAGCTTTGAGTGTGATTATCATTCATTTCTCAGCCCATAAAACGTATTCCTCTGGGTCAGGTTTGTTTACATTGGCCCAACTTTGGAGCTTCATGATAATCTAAAACTGATGAACCAATCAGAGAGCAGCACAGAGATGGCAATACTCTCTTGTGTACAGGTACTCCATCCAGCATCTCATTTCCTCATAATTTTATCTATTTATCACAGGTACTAAAATTGATTTGCGTGAGGACAGAGAAGTGCTGAACGGTCTGATAGACCAGGGTCAATCTCCCGTAAAAAGAGAGCAAGGACAAAAACTAGCAAATAAAATTAGAGCTGTGAAATATATGGAATGTTCTGCTTTAACCCAAAGAGGTCTAAAACAGGTATGTATTGATAATGCTCTTTGTGGGCTATTCTGTGTTTGTTACCCTCCTCATGCATGGTTCGTGTGGAACCTCAAAGTGACTCTTTTTCTTGAAAATTCATGTATTCTACGGTTACCACAGTCAGGAAAAACCGGGAAATGTCACAGAATTTTAAAAAGTCAGGGAAAACCTGGAATTGTCAGGGGAAATGACGAAAATGTCAGGGAAAAATTGTCAAGTCACCTTTATTTTCTTTCTAGACTAGGTTTGACGTTTTACACGATAGATATTGAGTGAAAACAATTTGATATTATCTCTTTTTAACCATCTAGCATATCTTTAATTTTCAGGGAATTTTACCAAAATGTGACAAGAAAAACAGGGAATCGTCGGAGAATTTCAATTTCTTCATCTTGTGGTAACCCTGGTATTCTTAGTAATTGACACAATCTTCTTAAATATATGGAGCAGTACATTAAAACTGCATTGCTGAAAAATAATGGGGAAAAAATGTTGATTTGACCTACTGTCATGTCTCTACAGAAATTTTTGGGAGTCCAAAACATTGGAAATAGAGTTAGAAAATCTAATGGGAAAGTGTCTGAAATTGCGAGATTATTGGTTGTATCTGAATGTGGCAACGTATTAGCAGTTGTAGGGAAGAACTTTATCACTGATCGGGGAAGAATAAAAGGGGCTGAAGGAGAGTGTCATTTCTGTCTCTGCATATCATTGCCAGCTCAGTGCTGCCTCTGCGTGACCCAAAATTTGACAAAAAGAATCCCATACAACCATAGTTTGCCATGAAGGGACCATGCTGCATTCAGGCCTCCTTAAGGTGAATCTTCAGTATTTGTGCAGTGCATTTTGGGTATGATTGATATATTTCAAAATTTAACCAGATTGGTGGATCATTTTTGAAAAATCTCAATTTCAGTCAATTATCAAGGAATGTCCGTTCCAAAAATCATCCTCCAAAATCTTAAAATAAACTCATAAGTTCTGTTTCTATTTTGCAACTGATTTCAATGTATAGACATCGACGGTTACATGGAAACAGTACTTTTGACTTGATTCCAAGATTTTGGAAGATGATTTTTGGCATGAACCATCCACAATGATTTTTCTACAGACTGAAATTTCGATTTTCCTGAAAGAATCCACCAAAAGCTTAAAATTTGAAATGTATTGATTGTACCTAGAATTTATTGGGCAGAAGCTGAAGATCCACCTTAATATGTAAAAACAAGACAGGACAAAGATTATTTGTGATTGACGGTGGCGATCAGTACAACAGGAATTGTGTAAACTTTTTTCTTTTCACGAGTAGGAGGTCTAAGTTTACACACTGTGTATAACGTTAAAAATCTTAGTTAGGAGTTGATTTCAGTAATTTTATTTGCGAATGGTGCTCTCCAACATTTTAATGAGGAAACATGTAGCAGAATGCTCAAATTCTCACCTAGTCTAATAGTAAGTTAAGTTGAGGAGTACTTTAAGAGGTATATAATTTTACTCTGAGTCGAAAGTTAATAAGTTTTATGTTCCAATAGGTATTTGATGAGGCAGTTCGTGCAGTGTTGCGGCCAGAACCCCAGAAACGGTGCCAACGCAAATGCTTGATCATGTAGTTTGATTTTGTTGCAAATTACTCGCAAAATCTCCTGCTAATAACCTGTGTTAATTTAAATAGCTGCCCGTCAACTGATCCTAACTCACCGGCATTTAATTATTTCAATTATGGATACTCAGGGTATTTTTAATTTATTTAACAATCTGTCTGACGAAAACACCCTAGTTTTAAGTACCGATTCAAGGTTTGTCATCTTGTGAGCTTAACATTTGAAGATTGTGTAAGTGCATCTATTTCAGCCACCGTACTCTATATTTATTTCCCACCTTACAAACAAAGGAAAAAGATAATGTTACTTACATAGCAGATCTGTTGAATGAACTCTTATGCTAACTTTAAGCTCTAAAATAGAAAGGAATTTTGCTTTGGAACTATAGCAGAACTTCGATGTATCGAATTTCTGGGGACAGGTGACAAATGTGTCAAATCGGAAACTGGGGGAGACTCTATTTGACACCCTTAAAAATGCCAAAATATTTGGTTTTTCCAGATTTTTGCACACCCCCTCCCTTTCTCTTAAACCATGATGATAACACTTGCATAATTGGCAATAAGAACATTTTTAGAACAAGATGATTGCAAGTAAAACAAATTATTTTTATAACATTCTCTACACGGAAAGCAAAGTCTCTGAACAAAAGAGTCTAGTCTTGTTTGTTTCTGGGAGGCAATGTCTGTCGTTTTTAAATGTTTCCATCCATGTTAGGTGATCCACAATGGCGGAGTTTACGTTGGATTACGGACAAAGAAATGTTCACAATGTTTTGAACGCAGCGATGTCTTCTTGAGGATTTTTTCGGAACCAAGAAAAAATTTGTAAATTTGAAAATTTTGTTAAATCGAAATTTTACTGTGATGGGAATTTGATTTTTCAAAAAAATAATGCATCACTATTTTTACCCTGTAAGCTGCACATCTACTTCGGATGCTATGTCTTTAAAAAAATGGTTCCGTGGTACCAAAAAACTTGGTACTGCTTTGTAACTTGCTAACTACTCCATGTTTTCCAAAGTAAAAAAAAAATCTAAGACTGTTGTTCATTCTGATTTTCATTCACAATCTTTGGTTTTTGACCGGTGATTTTACATTAGTTATTGTTTCTGATTACCATTTTTGCATTTTTTTGAAATCTTGAATTGCGTCTCTTAATTTTTTTTATGAATTTATAGCTTTCAGCACAAAATTTCAACAGGAAGCTCATGAAGTAGAGGTTTTATTTATTTTCTATTCACTTTTCATTGATTTTACGCCAGGAACTTTCTTATAAACCTGAAAATACAGCAGCATAGTTTGTGAAACAGTTGTTGCACAGACACTCAAAGGAGCAATCTGAGTTAGTATCATAGCTTAACCCAAGAACATTGAAGAGACATTTAGGTCAGATTTCTTGGAGGGTCTAAATGCGACTTCAGGCTAAAGCGAGGTCATTTCATCTAAATTGGGACTCCAAGATCTTGAGATCAGTAGTGCCACCCTATTGAGGGGTTGCAATGAGAATGTCATAGCTCTAAGTTTTCACGTCCAAGGCAACGAATACCGAGTGCTTTCTAAGTATCTACATTACATTCTTCAAATATGATTCATTTTATTAAGTATAAATATATTTTATAAATTGGAAATATCTTCCATGAAGTATACATACATAGTATAGAAGATCTTGGGCTGGATTAAGTTTCATGAATTTTTGAACAATCTGAGTTGTCAGAGATGTTTTCTTTTGGCGAGCCTCAGACGAATTAGTGGAGTTAGGTAATTGGTCTTGACTGTTTTCTCCTGGGTTCCCAATCAAAATATGATTTTATTCATTTTTTCAGAAGTTTCTATTATTAATGTTTGACTTTTGCGTAGATTTTTTTTATTTTTTTCCAGTTTCATACTTAAAGTTTGATCTTCATTTATCAGTTAAAATATTAAACCATAGTCGTCAGCTAGTGGCACCTTATATTTTTCAGTAACCTCATTAACTTTCTTGTATTCATTTAAATTAATAATCATTGTTCCACAAGTAATTCATCCAGCGTTTACCAGGAACGAATCACCAGAACTAGTTTTGGACCCTCCTTAAATCCAGTGACGCATATTTTCTTAATTTTTAACCTCTTCCACCTCTTATATTCTATGATTTTGCAGGTTGTTTCCAGACTTCCTGATTTTTATCGCAAAAAATGCAACATAAAAATCTATCTCTTATCCCCCCCCCCTAAAACGCAGTTTTCTTCATTTAATACATTAAATAATGATAAATTGTACCCCCATTTTTTTCATAGCAACAAAATAACTGATCCCGCTCTCCTCTGTAATGTATTAATCATTAACGAATGCCTCTGGAAGAAATAGAATTCCCTTAGATTCTGGCTAAAATCCTATGAAAGTTATTATTGTTTACCGATCAATTATATTTCCAACGATCATATTCCAGCTGCGTTGCACCTTCTATTGTCAATAACCAGAGAGAATTAGACAAAACAGTGGTGCTTCTTGTCATTAGTTGGACTTCATTGCAGTAAGGAACTACCATCTCTGAGTTATTTATAAAAGCATCTATCTTCATAGGGAAACTAATGACTTATAGCCTGTTTCTAAAACGAGACAGAAATATTAGTTCCTCATCGCAGAATGTTGTCCAGTTGTATGTGTTTTTTTCTTTACAAATTTACCCTTTAATCATATGAGCATTTATTTCAAATAATTCTTTTTTGTTTGCAAGGAGATATGCTTTGTAAGGCAAAACTGTTATGCGTCTCCAGCGCCATTTCACTCACATTGATTAGGTTAAATGGTCAGTCTTTTGTTTTCTAGATATACTAGCTCAAACAGTTTTATGATAATTTTACCAAAGGTTTTTTCAATGATTTCACTGTAAAAATTACCAAGGATGAATTATGTTTTGTATAGTTAAGGATGTGTAAACAATTTCATTGTTATCAAAATCAAAAACGCTGTAAGCATCTCTTCTCATTTAGGTAAATGCTAAAAATACTTGCCGAAGAAATGAAAGTTATTGGCCCCATTTTTAATCAAAACTATTGAAAAAGATATTATCACTTTATATTTTTTCTAGAGCATTACACTTTCTCCTGTGATTTATTTACAGCCGTCATCAGTATTTCTTGCTTGAGAAGAAAAAAGAAAAACATTTCTCTAATCCCACAATTTTTAATTTTGAAATTTAAACCGTAGTTTTTCTGCCATTGAGATCAACTTTATCTTCAATGCTGTATGACTCTTAGTGAATTAATACCCCTAAAGTGTGAAAATTACACTCTAAGCTTTTTTAGTTATAAGGGTTTTCTTTTTATTTTATGAAATCGGAGTCTTTTTTTTAATAGACTAGATAGAAGCTTGATAACTCGGACGTATTTTTCTTCACTAAGAATTCGGATAAATTACAAGTCAAAACTATGGGGCGAGTAACTTCGTTTCTGTTTGCATTAAAAATTTTGTTGAAATTCAATCTCTGATCAATTTTTCTGCATTTGAATTTTTATCCCATCTTATACATTTCTCTCTTTTTTTTTGTGAGTGTATTTTTCAAAAGCGAAAACTCCATTTTTTACGTTTTTTCTAGGATTTTGTTATCTGAAAAATTTTCTCTTCAATACTCAGCTACAATAGCACCCTGCTTTACTTTAATGTAGCACATACTGATAAGTAACTAAACAATGTCTTAATGCCTGCACTCAAAAGTAACTTTTTACTAAAACATGTTTACACTTTTGTCAGAAAAGCCACCAAAGTGTTATTTATTAATGGTTGTGTATTCGGCAATCAACATCAATGCTTGGTAGAACCAGATTTAGGTCGGTACAAAGGGAGTAACAGCATACCTTTAAACCTTCCCAGAAAACCTCCTAAAAGCAGTAGTAAATAATAATTGCACCTGACGACAATATCCTAGATCTGGTTCTGACACTTGGCCTCTAGTAATATCTATTTTTAATCTTACTCGGAATCAGCATCAATCAAATAGATTAATCCTAGTCATAGCATTAAATATTTTTGTATATTCTAGTTTTAAGCACTAAACTATGATGTTTGCATACAACCCTCATTAGCAGATGACTCACGTCTGGATGGTTGTCTGTTGTGAAAAGAATTTTGGATCACAGTACATCGTAAGATATTCTAACGCGTAACTCACTCTGCAATTTTTGCCAATACACAATCCAAAATTGGTGCAAGTTATTTGCAGGCGCTCAAGGTAGATAATTTTGATAAGGCAACGAACTGCCAGAGTTAGTTTTTTCTTAATGATGAAAATGTGTATATCTTGAAAGCCAAAGAGCGTTGAAAGTTTGATTATTTTTAGCTTTTTACGGCCCCATGACCCCTTTGGCCAGCAAAGTATCAAGTAAAATGTAAGCAGTGTGTTTGCAATTCCATGAATGCATAGTACGCTCTTTCACTGTAAAATAGATCAATTTTGAATGTAATGGTTTTTTTCTTTTTCTTTTTTTCTTTTTTTTACCAGATTGTGAAAATTTATTTTGAAACTAATACTTTTGATTTAGAAACTAACATTTCAATACAAGCGTTTTACAGAAATGGATTGAAAACCTTCTGATTTCAACCAGTCAATTGAAAAGCTCAATTGTGTTGCCATATTTTGTTCAGTTAGATTTTTTTAAATTTTTGTAAAATTGATTTTGAAGTTGAGTTTGCTGCAAGAACTAAAAACGGTAATTTTCCATACGAAAAAGAAGAATCTAAAGACAATCTAAACTTTAGAATTTTGCACAAATTTTCAGAAAAAAATTGTGTAGCTATTAAGTCTTGGAAGCATGTTTTTCTTATCATATCGTAGATCTGATAAAAACACCTTTAGTGATATGTATAAGGAGGGAATTTTTGTGAAAGGTGTTCAAAAACCCTCCTCTCAGTTGCATTTCATGTAGGCTTTAGTAACTGAAGTACTGCATTTTATTCTAATGTATAAAAGGTTTTTTGAAACTCTCAAGCCCCTTCATTGTTAGTTCTCTCCTTCCGTTGGACCAGAGGTCTCTGGCTGCTATTTGACTGCACGATTGATCAGGAACTTAGTAACTGGGTTTCTGTGCTCAGTATACCATTTTTCACCACTTTATTGTTTCCTCATCTGTCATCAGATAAATCATTTTATAGCCATTTCAGTATATTATAATGGTATTATCAGGTACATGATCCAAATTTTGGAAAAAAAAAAAATAAAAAAAATAATTGAAAAAGTGTACGGAACTAGACCTCATTTGGAAGGCTTGAAAGAAAAATATTCTACTGTAATACTCACAATTGAATTATTTAATGTCCAAAAATTTCATCCACGAGCGTATTCAACAATCGAATAGATAACTACCGGAGGAGAAAGGAGAGTACTCAGTACGCATTGTCCCACAATGTTTTCAATTTTTGTAAATTGTAGGAATCATGCAAGGTTTTATAGGCACCTGCTACTAAAATTCCCGTCTCCTTTCAATGATTATCCGATAGTTCAATAATCCGTCCCTGCTTTGCAAACAAGAATAAGCTTGAAAGATTAAAATGCACAAATGTTTTTTAAAAAAACTGTTTGGTCGTGATCAATGCGTTGTTTTTTTACTTTTTTCCCCTCATCAAGTTTGTGAATGGTTGTATTTTTTGATACAAGCTCAGTTCTGCCCTCTTCTGTTTCTTCCATTTTTCGCTCATTTAATTTTTTACCAGGATTTAGTTTTTTGACCTTGCAGGCAGTTCTCCAACTGAAATTATCAAATAATGTAAATTAGATCTTTGATAGTGCCGACAGGAGTTTTTTCTCTCTTTTTTTTTTTAGTTATATTTTCTTTCATGGTTACATCAGTAAAATTTATTTCTCGTATCTATTATTTTGTCGGTCTTTAATGAAATGTTCAACTGTTTGATTATAGGGCAGTGGAAAAGTTTCTCATTTGTGAGCAATTCGTCAGCCAGATATCTATAAGATTCATTTTGTGATTATGAGCTTTCGAAGTGATATCTTTTTTTTGCCATTTTCAGATTTGATTCTTTTCCTACCAATTTAGTCAGTAGCATTGAAATTCAAAACATTGTTTCAAAGGCTTAAATTTTTATCCCCTTCAATGGGCAACCAGACATAGTCTGGACTGGAAGATAACGTCACATTTTTCCTCTTCAAAATCTTTCATTGAAAACGATTCACACCACGGAAAGTTCAGAATTTAACTTCTGAACAAGTTGATAATACTTTTAACACAAATCTAATGGAAGTTAGATCATGCTAAAGATGTCATTTGTATTTTTGCCACTGAACCCATGTTAATTTTAAATATTTATATCTTGTCAAGGATGATTTTCAGACTTCTCGTTGTGTGATTCGTTTTCTTTGTGTTTGAAGAGCAAACGTGTTACGTAGTACTTTAACTCATACTTGTCTAGTGGCTTTTCTTCTTCTCCTTTTTTTTCGTTCTTTCTTTTTTTTCCTGTGAAACTCGTTGTAATTATTTTTCTATTGTATGTAAATGCTAATGTTTGTGTCATTCTATCTTTCACCGTTTTTTACCTTTCTACTATTATTGACAATTTTCTCATCTATTTTTAAGCATTCCTCATCATGCATGAGTTTCAAGATTTCTTCGCCAGATCATTGAAAGCTATTCAGATTATTTTTAGGTCCAGGGCCTTATTTGAGTTCTCTTCAGATGGAACAACTTCAATTCATGTTTGACTTAATTTCTGCATTCATTCTTTGCTCATCTTTTACGAAACGAAAACTTAATGGTTAATACTGTTCATTGGTTTGTAGAAACAAGGAAACCTTGGTATCGGCGGAGTTACTGGAAAAAAGAGTGCTCAACTTGCGACTATAGGAGTCTAAAGTCGGTTTTGATCGTTTGAAAAACGATCACTACTGTCATTACATGAAAGTCAGTGTGATTTTTCCCTCCTTACAAGGATATTCTCTGAAAAAATATTGCAATATCAGATGACTTTCTTCTGGCGGAATTAAAGTAAGGGCACAAATTTTAAATTCCAAAATTGAGGCACTTACCTGTTTTCCAAGTCTCACCGTCGGTATTTTGTCTGTTCTTCATCGTTCATCCCAATGGCAGCTTATGAAGTTTTACTCTAATCTAAAGACTTAACTTTTCTCTCACTATTTTTCAAAGACCATTTATTTTTCTTTTCTTTATCTAGTCAACTTCCGCATTGTCAAACTATTTAATTGTAGGCACTATGATAATGCTATTTTCTGTTCTTATTTATTTTTGATCATTATTTATACCATCTTTTGTATCGATTAAAGGAATTCATGATTTAAATTATTTTATTGGGTTCTTAACTTCTTACCCTCCTTTTCTTCATCTAAGAACTGCGCACACAATACTAAGAAAATTTAGAAGAATCCATTAAACTCGGCTCAACTTTTATACTTAATTTCCTCCAAATTATCAAAATTTTAGCAAACTTTGTACCTCACCCTTTCACCAGTAGATTCAATTGGACACCGTTGAACAGAGCCGAGCTACATCGACGAGAGAAAAGTTGACAAAAAATGATGGTTATAACTATAAAATGCTTGATTCCAGTACAATGCACTAGTTGCTAAACGTTTTTATGCTAAGTGTACGCAGATACATTAATTTCATCTATTGACAGCCAATTATAAAACAAGAACGGTACATAATGAGGTACCAGCTCAAAGAGACAACTTCGTTGCGTCCATTTATTGATACGAAAAAAAATATAATTTTGAAAGACTTCAAACAAAAAAAAAATCTTAAATCGATAATGGCGAGGATATACTTTTCGTTGAAGGTACCAATATGAAATGAATTAAAGGGCGAAAAAAATCAGGAGAGAAAACAGAACAGAAAAAAATTGAAAATGATAATAAAGATTTAATATAAAAAATAAAAATGAAAACCGATAAAAATAAATAAATAGAAAATAAATGAAAGAACAAAATCATACAATTATAAACAAAAGGAAACGAAAAACAGAGTAATGAGACAGAATTTTTAAATTATTAAGTTGAAAGTAAGGTTCATAAAGAGACAATTTGAAGATATAAAACAAAGGAAATTGTTGACACTGGTTCTAGGTATTTCTCTCACTGAAGGTGGGGAAGTCATAAAGTGTGAGTTTTTGTGTGGAGCCTTAGAAATTTCTGGAAAGAGGAGAAAAAATAGAAAAGGGACTTACATTTCTTATTTATACGACTGGACAACGAATGTAAGAAAGAAGGAGGTAAACCTATATGGCAGTAGCAATTAGAAATTAATTTCACTTGGAACTTTCCGCCAAATAAATAAAAAAATAATTATTGACCTTGGCCAACTAAAAAAGTGATATAGGCAGGAATTGTGCTTGGAAGAAATGCTAGAAAGACTAATAAAATTCCCAAAACACCCCTGAGAAACCACATTCATGACACAAATTCTATTTTGATCAGAAAACCTGTAAATGGCTTTCAAGATTACCTACAAGCCTGCTTTCAATATCTTGAAGAATATGAATTGAGCACGAACGTTGAAGTTATTGATAAGAAGAAACTATACATATGAAGGTATTTATGTAAATACTTTCAAATTCATGGAGGAGTAAAATTACGCTGATTGTAATTTATTTAAGTTTTTAGAATTCTATGGCTTAGTTTGCCTAATTTTTCCAACTTCGTTGTAAATGGATAATGTGAGAGATTTGAGGTGGGAAATTAAAAAAGTGGAAAGTAGAGATACAGAAAATAAAAAATGTAGTTTGGAGACTTCTTAACTGCTTTTCCTGACTCTTCTCACTCGACTTGATGAATTGAGAAAGACGTTGTAAGTATGTAAAAACTATATCTTAATTTCAAACGAAGAAAAATTCTTCACATTTCACATTTTCTACAGAGTCGAAACTCCCTTGTTCTTTAATGAAAACGGAAGAAACAACTAAATTTGAAAATAGAGCGGATAATTCTTCCACTGACTTTGAAACCTTTGGATCATCTACTTTGAAAACGACAATCCTGGAGGATATTTGAAGTTGAAACAAAGCAGAAAAATGACATACTAGAATTGCAATTAATTCAATTGGTTAATTTAATTCATGCAGTGATAACTAAAAATTGCCAAATCTGAGAAAAGCAGAGCAGAAAAAGTACAATTTTAAGAACTACACTATGATACATAAAGAAAAATGGAATAATTGAGCCAAAATGGCACTTTGACTAGCATCGAATAAATTATTCAGCATAGTAATGCTCATGAAACTCTTACAAAAATTACAATCATTGTTTCATCAATACTAGCAAATACATTAATTAAGTATTTATAAATTTAAGCATTATTCAACTACTACTTGATTGTTAGGGTCAGCTAATAATTACTTAATGAAATGCCCAAAAATGATCAAGATAAATTTTACTTTGAAGATTCATAAATTCTTCCAAAATATGGCGCAGCAATGGACCACTAGACAAGGTACGAATTTAAGCGATCTGATACATGTTTCTTCACAAGAATTTCACGTAGAAAACGATTTACACAACGAAAATTACGGAAACCAACTCCTAACAAAGATATTAACGTTTTTATTTCACATTCGTTACGAGGAATTTGAACTGCCCGCTCACAAGAAACTCAAAACTCTACGTGAGTCAAATCGCCCACTACAACGGTTTCAGCAAGCTTCTCTATCGAGCAATGTTCATTTCCCATCATGTGTTGTTCAAACTATTAGCAATTTGCTATAACTGAGCCAAAGCGTCAAGACTGAGGTTGCCGGATTTTTATATCGCAGAGACTGTCATGATAACGTAAATTTTACATTTTATGCGCGATGTGAATCACGTAGAGCATTGAGTTTTCATGAGCGGGTGGTTTGAATTCACGCATTAAGAATCATTAAATATCTTCGTAAGGAGTTAATTTCGGTAAATTTCGTTGTGTGCATCGTGTTTTACGTAAAATTTTGGTTAAGAAACATGTATCAGAATGCTGAAATTCGTACCTTATCTAGTGGTCCATTCAACAAGATTTTTACGAGCAATGGGATAGTTGCCAGGAATTTTTTCAGGGTTGTGTTACAAATATTCTAATGTAACCAATCAGCAAACTCCCTTTTCCCCCCCTAGCTACCTCATCCGAGCCCACTAAAAACATCGTTTCGAACAAGTCCCATTTTTGGCATTTTTAAAACGAGGTTTCTCTACTATTTAGGGCTTAAAACAATTCGAAAGATCCCCAAAAGCTTTTTTCAAACCGTGTTTTCAGAAAATTAACTTTAAAAAAAAATGGGTGCCACTAACCGATTACGGTAATGAAGGGATAATCTAGGGCTCATTAAACTACTATGCAGTACATGATATCTATTCCATGTTTACAGCCAACAGTCACTTCAGTGGGATATTTGATTTGCATTTTTGTATTTGTGGTTATGAGATTTGAAAGCTTTGTCACAAAATTTCATAGTAAAGTTAAAATTGTGGTTTTCGCAGGGGAAAGATATTGCAACTGATGTAAGTAACATAACATGCTCAAAAATTTTTTTGGGGGAAAATGCTTAATTTTTTATGAATTTTTTTTTTATCAAAATCAAGTTTTGAAGTGTAAGGACTTTCAAGCGAAGTCAATCAAGTGCTTTGCATTTTTCATGTAACTCCCTATCACGATAAAAAAATGTAGCTAAAAAGTAACTGACCCTAGAAATCTGAGAGTAAATATTTACAACTTATTTACACTGTTTTTGCACTACTGTTGAAAAAGAGGAGGGGTGCTGATAAGGGCCGTTTATGTTTTCACCCTGAATTTTCTCAACTCTTTGGTTTTCGGCAGTTTGAAGGTCTTTTTTTCATGGAGCGCACCATGATTTGGTCATTTGCAGTCTCTTTTCAAGTCTAATACTGGCCTAAACATAAGTCTGAAGGCCTATTTTGACGAAAAAATGTGAATTTTGCGGGTTTCTGGTTGAAAGCTGAATAATCTGATCGGCTTCATAACGAAACATCAACAAAAAGAGAAAGAGATCGAAAATTACCAAATCTTGATGCATTCCGTAAAACATATTCAATGAGCAAAAAATCGTGGGGTTGAAGAAACTAAGCTAAGGTGAGCCCAAAAAAGGCCCTCATTGATACTCCTCCTTTGACAAAAAAACATTGATAGATCTTCAAAGTTCAAAAAAAGGGAAAAATTTTACAGAGAAGGAAAAAAAATTAAAGAGTGGAGGAATGTTGACTGAAGACTACATTGTTGAAAGATGAGAACAGTAAGGAACACAGATCGGATGTGCCGATTGGCTTGATAGCAGAACACAAACAAAACTTAGGAAAATTAATTAGTTTTATCATTAGTATGAAGGGAGGATCTAAAATGAGCACAGGATTGAGTTCCTCCGATCGAAAAGAAAAGGATACAGTAAAAACATATTCTCACGGCAGGGAGAAAAAATTCTACATGGGTCTTCGGAACGTATCAGATGCCAAAATAAAAAAAGAACTTAAACTTAACCATTAATGTTTCTATTTATATAATTCCAGACAGTTTGAGCATTCTTGACTGTCTTCTTGACTTAAAAAAGCAGATGCACAAAAAATTTGGTTAAAGCTTAGTTAACTATAGTATTCAGTCTTAGAAAGATCAGAGCTATAATTCTTCCAGCCAGTATTACTGCAGTGTTATGGAAAAACGCAGTGCGAGCAGTTGTATTTTTCCAAATTTATCCCAAAAAATATTCATTTTTTATGGAAAATAAATATTTTTCCTTGAAATTTTCAGACTTTTTACAACGCAGGAGATCCTGCCACGCCTGAAAGTTCAAGTAACATTCTTCCTTAGCACAGCAGATTACATCTAATGCTACAAATACATAAAAAACAGATACAGATGTACTTCGTTCTAAAATTACCAAGGCAAGTTAAGTACACAGAATCATGCAAGTTCCCTTTTTCTTTACAATTTTTTTTTGTTCATCAATTTTTCTTTTTTTCTTTATAATTATTTTTTTCTTTCCTTTGGGAAAAATGTTTATTTTTAACTTCCAACATGAACGGTACTTGTTAACGACTCTTTACTTATAGGACACAAACCTAAACTGATCATTTGAGGTGATAGATGGAGGAAGGGTGTGATTCAGAAAAGCATGTTTCAAGAAAAGTGCGTTTGAAGTTTCAAAGCGCTACTAATGTAGAACTGGTCTCCTTGAATATGACAAAACCTCATTCAATTTTCCAGCTTGCATCATGAAAATTTTGGAGCAAGAACTTGAGACTATGTCGAATTAAAATAGCCATTCTCTGGAAAAAAGCATGAGTTAGGTTCTCGCCCTTTTTCCATCTACTGGCTCGTTTAATTAAATTTAAAAAAATAACAAAAAATGGATGAATAAATATGATAAATAAAACTTATAAATGAATCAAACAGATAATAAAATAATAGTGGGTATAACAACTTGACAGTTCTATTGCATGAAATCTTCGGATTTAGTGGCTGGAGAGCAAAACTACGGTAGATCACACTTTGCAGCTCCCTTACAAGACAAATACAGCATAATTTTACATCATTAAGCAGACATTAACTACAAAAAGAGTTTCAAGAAAAAATATAGAATCCAGTACTTTCCGACAGTAGATACTGAGGGTTTTCCCCCGCAAAACTCCCCTTTTTAGATAGTTCCTTCTGCTTAATGCTGTCTAAATTCACATTTGTATTCCTATTTCACAATGAAATGAATAAATTTAAACTGGAGACCATTTCTCAATTACTTAAAATAGTGACACATTGAGGGACATTGGACATAGCAATTCAAGGATTCAAATTCTGAATCAATATTGCATTGATTACCAGTAGTCATTAAGATTTTCCAAGTGTGATAAGCTTGTATAATCAAAATTTTCAGGAGTATATTTTGGAGGAATGCAGGCTCAATAGTAAATTTTGAAGCATTAAGAACATTTTAAATTTGACAGCAGCTTTAGGATAACTTTGTACAGGATAACTAGGAGTAACTTTGTCTCTGGTATCATTTGCAATGTTTTGATTCACTGGAAAAGAAGAAAGCGCCTCTCCAATTGTCTAACAACGCTGACTTATTCCTCATGATGGACTCAAGTAAAAATGCTTGTGATTTATTCAAAGGCAACCATACAACACTCATTTGAAATTTATTACACATTACATTACACTCTATAAAATACGTGACACTCCAGGGGAGGGGGAGAGGGGAGAAGGAGGGTCTGAGCCTGCATTACAGGAGCGTCACAGGGGACAGACATTTTGGCCTTAACACTAGGATAGGCATTTTGCGCCAATTTTTTGAAAAACTGGAATGAAAAATGAACGCAAGGTGGCAGATTTTCATCCAAAATACGTCACAAAATGCTGACTTGGGGGGGGGGGGGTTTCCTCAAACTGAGTATTTCATAATTTTTTTAAGAGGAGCAGACCTATGTTCTGCAGGCTTTACGAGAGGATGAGGGTTTAGTTAAAAAATCCCATTTCCAGAATTACGTTTTACATAGATGGCTTCTTCACATGGTGAAAATACTGCACTCACAGATTTTAAAGAAACATCCAAGTTTGAAAAAACAAAAAATAACCTATGCTCAATTGCCTTGAAATTGAGCTTTATCATTTAATTTTATCATGACAGAAACAATAAGAATTTTTTTTAAACAAAAGGAATGGTTTTTTTTCTATACCCAGAATAATCTTAAAGTCATATATAGAGACATTGATCAATTTTCCCCTGAATAAAAACAATTAAAAAACTGTAGGAAGCACCCCTAATGACATACAATTTCACCATCAATATGCACATTCAATTTTTAATACAATTGATATAAAAATAAAAAATAAAAAAAATAAGGACAAATATCCTAAAAAAAAAAGAAATGAAACAAAAAATAAAAAAGAAATGAAAGCAGTACTGAATAAAAATTTAAGTTCAAAACAAATAAATGCTATATGATCCGGCGGGCCGATTATTGAAACTATGTCAGCAAGACAAAACGTGGCCTTATCTTTACCATGTAATATATTGCATTTAGATGTCTTATCGGGCTGCTTCAGACATTCAATAATCGGCCCGCTGGTTCAACATTTTTAGCCTTAATATAAACGGAAATGACAGTGCTTCAGCGGTGGGAATGTTCAGAATTTTAAATAAGGACATGTTTTAGGATTTTTTAAAAAACGGAATGTCAATTTAATCTGTGTACTTCACTTACACTTGACGCTAGGAGACCAGTAGAGCAGAATACTTGGACAGAGAATGAAACTCTCCATGAGAGACATTACTACTTTCAGAACAATAAATCTAAAGGATTGAGAAACTCCTATTGAAAACTTGAGGATATGTCCATTAGTTTGTTTGCTCTTTTGCTAAAATGCTATTGGATAGATATCGTACAGTTGAAATCTACTTAAGAAACTTTATATATATTACACTCCTGAATTCGAAAACTTCTTGAAAAAGAAAACTCAAACGTAAGCTGTACAGAGATCATTGAAAAGGTTTCACCGTTTTACGTAAAACCCAAAATATTATAAACACATAAACTTACTCAAAGATACAAATTAAGACCTATGCAGTTGACTCTAGCTTTAAAGCACCATTGTAAACTGAAATCAAGTGCATGGATGAGGAAAAATCTCATTAGAAAAGGATTAACCACTAGAAAAAAAGCTTATCGAATATCTGCTAAAAACGATTCATTAATTGGCACCTCCAGGATTATCTTTGCAAAAAGTCCCAGAGCGTGATGAGCTGTGCAACAGATCAGATTTATGAGACTTAGTGTTTGTTTTTTCAGATGTTGCTTTCACCGTGCCAGCACTCTTCTGAACTTTATTATCACTATTTGCAAAATTACTACGGCGCACAGTTAATCCTGAGGCGGCAGCTTTATCTTTGTTTTGTGGCTTCACTCGTTGCTTCAAAGGCGATTTATTTTCGGCATTTCCTGCGTTTACAGGTCTCTGTATTGTCCTACGATTCACTGCTGGCGACTGGGTAGCCTCTTTTTCTGTCGATGGTTTAGCAACCACCCCGTTCTTTTTCGCGGCATTTCGGGCAGCTATTCTCATGTTTTGGGTTCTCGTGCTGGCAACATTAGCGCAGGGAGTTTTGCTTTGGGTGAGTGATGATTTACGATTTGATAAAGGTTTTGGTTTGGACAATTCAACCGGTTCTGCAGCAGGAATATCTTTGCGTCGCGATAGAGGTGTACAATGGGAGGAGCGAACATTGAGTGCTCGGCCATTGGCTGGGCGAGGCGCTGCTGGAGAGTTAGTACGGGAAGATTCTGAAGATGAGATTTTGTTGGACTGGATTTTCACTGGCCGTCTTTGCAGAAGAGGAGTTGGTTTCTTTTCAGGAGCAATGTTCGCCTTGCTAGCATTGTTTCTAGCTGGACGTTGTTCTAAGTAACGAGATTTTACCTAAAAAAGAGGAGAAAAATTAAAATAAAACCATTTTATAAGTTTATGAAAAATTAATTACTAGGAGAGCTTTTGATATTCTAAATTCATTTAAAAAAGTTTGTTTACATATAACTAAACAATGATAATTATGGTTTGTGTCACCCTCTAAAATGAACCACTGAACAAGGTATGAAATTAAGCAATCCTTGTTTACTTTAAGAAAGAATTCAAGCACTCCAGCACATGTTTTTTCATAATAATCCTGCGCAGAACACAATAAAAATATCGAAAAATTGCCTAACCAATTATTTCCCATAAATGGAAAATAATCAGGCATAGTATACATAATAAACACATATACGTTTGGCAAATAACCGGAGTTTTTTAAATTTTTGGTTTTAATTCATTTTAAAACATCAAATTTCTAGTGCTTGGTTCCACATAAAATGGATTTCCTTCCTCTTCTTATGCAAGAAAATTTTTCTAGCATAATATACTGCAACCACTATAAGTAGGGCTCGATTAAACCCAAGAAGACTGAAGTTTTTCTGTTGGCGGGAAGTGTGAATTAACGTCAACAAAAACCATTATTTTCTGATTAATGAATAGAATTTGGGAAGTTTCAGTGCATCCATCTCATTCTACTTGAAATTTTGACAAGGAAACAAATAATATGGTTCTCAATTTTGTACCCTGTGTGATGGCCCATTAGCCACAGATTACTCCTGTTGGAAGCAATAGCCATTCCTTATTTTTAAAGATTAATATTTTGTTTCTCAATTTCTTCACATTGATGAGTGTATTTTCAAACTGACTTCATTTGAAATTCTGATTTTATGTTTACCTCAATATGGTTTAATTTAATTATTCGTGACAACCATTACTGTTGCCATTGGTGACCATGACCAAAAGTAATTTTGTTTTCTTTCTCTTTCCTTAAGATCTTTCAGCTTGCTCTGCCGTTGAGAATTTTCTTGAAGATAATTTATTCAACTACGCTAGTTGATACCATCAATTTACAAATTTGTAACTGTGTATGTACTCATCAACTAGTGTTGAGAAGGTTTCTGTTGGAGTGTAAAATAAAACTGATGTTTGTTGCAAACATAATGTGGGAAATAAAAAATGAATAAATAAAAAATATACAGACAAATTACTCTAACATTTAAGAGGAGTCAATTTTAAGCCTTTACTTTTTAAGTTTTTGAAGTCAAGAGAATCAATGTCCAGAAGGATTGACTGTTTCTTGCCGCTTGAAAGTTGTATTGATTTATCATTCTTGATCCTTCAAGAGAAGGAAAAAAATGAAGTGGTGAAAAAATATTTTTCCGCACAAGAAATTTTTTTCTCCTAAGTGAGAGAAATGCAATAATTTTATCTCAATTTCAAACTGACTCATTAGACAATAGGCTAACTTTCAAATTCTAAGACAAATTGTGAATGTTGGTGATAGATTAAAATTGGGTATGGTTTTCCACCTATTTACTGAATAATAAGTTTCTGGCTTCTTTCTTCATCTCATAGGAATGTAATCTTGAATAAGGTAGGCAACGAACCTGAGCAAAATTTTGTGAGGGCCACGTTTTTGGTCTAGTTGTACTACTGCTGACTGCTTTGTTGCTTGAAGATTCGTCAGACTCACCATTGATGACTAATTTCACTTTGTGAAGCTCGATAGTTCTTGAATTGGATGTTTCATGACGCTGAGTAAAAGGAGACAAAATTTAAAAAATAACAACTATTTTTATTCTACTTCTTACATTTAAGATATTATGCCAACAACCCTAATTTAAGGATTACGTACGAAATATCAAGAAATTTGGCGCCCGTAAAATTTTAATATTTTTTTATATGATGTGCCCTAGGATCTCCTGAGCTGTTTAAACCGAACTTTCGATGTGCTAATCTGGAGGAAATTGGGCCTGAAAAGTACATTTCTTGGCGATTTAAAATATGCTATCATACTGAGAAAATGCTGAGTCAAAGATTTGAAGCCTTATGTTTGAAAATGAGTTGACAAGCCGTCTCATCTCCTCGGAAAGCGCGAGGCGAGAAGAGAGGAGCTCGCTACTTGTTTACTTACATTTTTTCAATTGATAAAGCGTGTAAAACTGGCAAAAAACACACTTCACAGACCCAATTTTTCCGGATTCACAAGTAGAAAGTTCGATTTTAAAATTTTATTGATGTATTTTCAACTTGCATCGACTGAATTTCTATAGTAAAGCTTCTACGGGCTTCTACTAACTAACTCCTCTGTAAGAGATATGAAACCAATCTTCATAGGCGGACTTTTCTATAAAATTGAGGGAGGATATTTATTGATTTATTTATTTATTCACTTGTGGTTGACCATAAAAATAGGGAGTATGAAGGCAAAATTTTCGACAAAACGTTCTATTACATTTTGGTCCAAAAGGCGGATGTGAAGCTGCATTTTATTTTGACAATTTTAATCCCAAAAAATGGGAGATTAAGTCTCTAAATAGCCTTTTGTTAAAACTTAAATTTCTGCACTACAAACTTTAAACTGCCATAGCTCACGTTTGGTTAGACATTTCTGGGGGTTTTTTTTGGTTCAAAAGCATTTTTAAAACACTTCTCTAAGCAGCAAAGTTAATACCTCAAAATTGTCTTTTTTGACACGTGAGTCCATTCTCCTGTCAGACCTCTATGAAATTGCATGATGCAGATTAGGTATGTTAAGCTTTTGGCATGCTGAGCATGAATGTGATTTTTAGGCCATTAAGAAGTCTATTCATTTTTCTGTAACTCTTGTGCACAACAGACCTACCACATTACAATGTCCTCGCTCTGATGCACCAAGCAAAAAAAAAAAAATCATATGTGACATATGTGTGTTTTTCTCAACAAAATGACTTGCTGTTACTTAAACTCTCTTCTGTACAGCATGAGGTCTTCATTAAATTCATTGAATTATACATGTATTATATGCTTACGTTATGTAGGGGTCTAATCCTGGATTTTTCAGTTCCCGGAACCAGGACAAGACATGCAAGCTTTTGAATCTTGCTTCGGAGCTCACCATCCATCAAGTTCCAGGATATGGTTTTGACCGCTCTTCGCGCTAGTTTAACCAATACTTCTTCTACTTTTGAGTGGATTTCGTTCAGGAACTCCACAAAATGCTGAAATAAAACCAAGTATAAAACAGTAATTGATAGAGATGCAAAAATTCTTACGAATGAAAGTTGTTTTGGATATTTCCTTGGGTAAATAATGAACCACTTTGGTAAACTGATGCGTTATTTCTTCAATAATTCAGCTAAAATAAGTGTTATAACAAAAACAAATCTGTAAAAAAAATAAATATTTCACAGTGACTTGTCCCAGGTTTTTGGCGTGGTCGAAAATATCCTGACTAAGAATTTGAGAAGAAAATTATTTCTGGACTTCATCTGGGTTAATCAAGGTATCCATACCAAAAATTTAGTACGTTGGAATTTTTTAGCCGACGTGCATTAAAAATCAGCATGAAGCTAAAAATCTCGATAAAGAGGGAAAAAGCTCACACACAAGCCTAATTTCCCCTCAAAGAGATATGCTGTTTGGTGCAACACTAGTAACGATCATTCAAGAAGGCAACTGCAGACACGTTTCGGCCTTATTGGGCCAATCCTCAGTGTAGTGCAGCCTCCTGAATTTCCTGCTACCAAGCTCGGAGAGGTCGTGAAAACCAGCCGGAGACTTGGGCAAGCGGTCCCTGGCGGCAAGAAACTTGCGCCATCTAGTGAGCGATTATCCAAACAAAATATATCTTGACTTTTCCAGAATCTTGGGCATGAAGAAATATCTGGTGCAAAATTCAAGCTCTGCTAACAGAAAGCAGAAAGGATACCAGAGCTATTTAAAAGTTTTGACATGACAAAAAATTCAAGGTTGGATGGACAAAGGACCCCGCACACCTCTAATAGGAAGCTGCACCATGAAGAAACCTTAATTTTTTTAAGGCATTCGATTCTCCTCAAGATGCTGATCAAAAGTTATCATTGCGCCAACTTTCTACGATGCACCGTTTTCGCAAAAAACGATCGAGAAGATTCAATTATTTAGCGGTAAACAGCCAGAGAGATTCTTCATTTCAGCACTCCAGTGCTGTGTATCAACAAGAAAATTATGGGGATTCCCGCACCGACTGGCAGTCTTATCTTGGATTCCGCACGTCATTTTGCTCGACCATCCAAATCAGATTCTTAAGGAGCATAAGAACAGGAAAGTTGGAGAATAACAGTAAATGTCAACCGGACGAGAGCGGGAGGGAGATAGCCCCAGAGTCCGCAGGTACAGATAAGAAGACAGACATGCGCTACGTTTTTCCTTATTTATATCGGGCCTGATCTCGAATGATTTGTTCTTTTACATTCATTGTCGTCAAATATTTGAATCTTCTCGGCCGTTTTTATTAAAAATGGAGCATTGTAGAGAGTTGGCGCAATGATAACTTTTGATCAGCATCTTGAGGAGAATCAAATGCCATAAAAAAATTAAGGTTTCTTCATGGTGCAGCTTCCCATAAGAGGTGTGTGGGGTCCTCTCCTTACTTTTCATTTTTGAGAATTTACTGACTTTTCTAGGGATCCCCCTAAATCTTGAAGACCTTGTCATCCTAAACTACCTATTTCAATTAATAACTACCTCATGTTACAAGCAAGACCCAATTTCAAATAAGATGCGATTGTTTTTTTTTTTTTTTAATTTTTAAAATTTACTGTTGCTTGATCTGAATCACATCAGAAATTTTCGAGATGTGTATAGTTCATTACAGTTTATAAAGATAGAATTTAAGTAACAACTTTGCATACTTACAATATCAGGGGTGCCATCAAGCGATCGGTTGAGAGAAATCAATTTATTGATAGCCCCGTAGCTCTTGCAAGATTCATCGGGTGATAATAGGTCTGCAGCATGTAAGATATTTGTCTGGATATAGGCTCTATCCACAGAAGTGTCTTTCAATAGTACGGCAAATCTATAAAAGATTTTACAAACAAATTAAAGTAAGAAGGAAAAAACAATGAAACAACATTTTTTCCTGACACTGCATCCAAGTTTGAGGAGTTGCTTAAAAATTACGTATATAATTTGAAAAAGCAACTTTCAACTAAAGTTAAGTCAACAAAGTTATTATGATACAAATCATAAGATGTAATATGTGTTATTCAAAAATAATTTTAAGAAATTCCTTATACTACCGGACTATGGAAGAATCCTGTATGAACATTTAAGAGTTAACAAAACCCCGAAAAAGCATGTATTTTTTAGGAAAATTATGCATATGTATCTAATTTTTTAGGAAAATTATGCATATGTATCTAATTTTTTATAAAGGTCGATTTCACTTGAACTGTTACCCTGACTTGTGGGAAAGCTATTTACTTTTGAAGGAAAGTGGATCGTTCCATTGGTAAGAGTTGAAAATCTGAGAAAAGAATGAGTATCTATTAGAATGCAAGGGCATACATTTTTCCAACTTTCCATATTTTTACGCTGGCTTTCCTAGAAATCGCCCACCAATTTCCAGAGTGATGACCATATTCTTCTTTCTGTCTCAACTTTCAACTATTGATCCCTCAAAATTTTCCCTCCTTCCACATTTGCAGGGCTTTTCAACATTTTTATGAACGTGCCAGGGCATGTTGTTTGGTTCTTTATATTTGGATTATTCAGATAAATTTTATTTAAAAATATTGTAACTACTACGAGAACCATTTACCTTATATCTATCTACCTGAATTGAATTTTTGAAGGTATTGAGAGACAAAGTAACATTAGATTATACAAAAGGGTACTCTTTGCACCCCTGAAATGATGTTATCATGTTTAATACTATTAGCTGTCACTGGCTGTTTTTATGATAGGTATTTTGAGTAGAGCTTTGACGGTTGACTCACTTGTGAGTGGAGATGACGATGGAGAAGTGCTGGGCAGTGTACTTGATACAAGCATCATTCAAACGTTTAGCGAGCTCGTGTAATACTTCTGCCCAACGAGAGCTTGGAATACTGTCGTTGAAACACTTGCAGTTCAAGAACTGATCCAATATAGAATCAACAGTCTGGAATCAAGACCGATCAACGATTATACCGAAAACATATTGGGGGCTACAGGACCAATGTACGAGGTATGATTTCACACAATGCATTACATTACATATTGATGGCCAATGTGCACAACTACATACCTCCACTATGATATTTAAAGATTTTCGTTCCCATTTTATTTTTCCCAAGAGAGACAAGCCAACTTTAAAGCTTGAAAGTTTTACAGAATATTAAATGATAGAGAGGAAATTCAAGGAAGCTTTCAAAAAATTACAATGACTAGTTTTCCCAGGGAAAAATAAAGTATGACGGGAAGTCTGCAACATAGCAAATGGAGATACGAGGTTTCACACTTTGGCCAACAATTTTCTTTATTATCATTTTAGATAGAAAACGATATCCATGATGGTAAATTTCAAAATGACAGACATGTTAAAAATTTAAATTTAAAACATAGAGGGCATCATATTTTTAGGTATTTAATTTTACAATACTCCTTTTCAAATAACAGGAGCAGTCTTGAAATATTTCAAAGCAGGTTTAATGAGTCAAAGTAGTTTGAAACAGATGTCAAACTTACAATGTGAGCCACTAGTTGCTTGTAGCACTTGTCGATGAGCTCTCTCGGTAGGGAGGCAAACGGCTTGGTTATCCACAGTTTCGTAAAATGCTTATTGATCCACCGGAGACACTTCCTGTACAGGTCATCTAAACCATAGGCTGCGGCTAAAGTCAGGCACTCCAGCACTCCAACAGTGCAAATACTACAAGGCTGTTGACAAATGATAAGTGTGAAGAGTTAGAGACTAGCCTATCTTTGCTTATTTCTGGGTAAAATATATTTCAGAAATGACATAATAATGAAATTTTCGAGTTCATTGTTTTCCTTACGTGAGGAAATTTTGTTTTATGTATTACCGAATGCAACACATCTTTATGCAGCTTCAAAAAGAGCTTTTCATTTAACGGATATGTCTATGGCACATCCCATTAAAGGTTTTCAAAACATGTTTGGTAGAGGTATCTACCACAAAAAGTTGTTTCACAACCACAGCTTAAACGTTTCTTATAAACGTTTCCTTATAAAAACCAAGGATGTTTATCATCAATATCATTACATGACTAGCATTAAACAAACCAGTCAGATTTTTAATCACATGAATCAACAGAAAACAGTGTGAGTTAAAATTAGAACAGACCTTGTGAAAGAAGTGACAGTACTTTAACTTTAGGGTATAAGAGATGACTTCTTTGAGACCTTCTAGACACAACATATCAGCGAGAGTGGCAAGCTCAACTATACTTATTGAGTCAGGGATGTTGCTGGCTCCACTGTAAATATGGCACAATGCAAAATGGACGACACTGTAGGAAAATCTGTGGAGGATTAAAAACGACAAAATTAGTCCACTGATAAATTAGATAGATGAATGACTGAGGCCTTATCCTCTCCATGGGCAGTTTTCAAGAGATTTACTGCACCTTAGTCTTGAGTATAGGTATGAAAAGTTGCTCAAAATTAGTTGTACAATAAAGGAAAATGACAAAAGGTTCCTTGCATTTGCGCCTTACTGTTCAATTGTGCTGCTATCAAGATAAAATGTTTTACATTAATTCGTTTTTTTTAGGTTTGCCTTGTCGGATCCATTGCTCAACTCAATTGCTTTATCTTAATTCAATAAAGAACATTCTGAATTAAATATGGTGATGATAAGCATACAGCTTTCATTTGCATTGAGAACACTGTAAAGCTTGATGACATGATGCCATTTGTCTTTTTTTAAATCTTTTTGGGATACTAAGTTTTGTTTCATTGAAACCAATACCTTCTGTACTTCGCTTTTTTGGGATGCATTTCACATAGAAAGATGGGACTATACTGAGATCACAGTTTTTAACGGAAGGCACATTTTTCTCGAATTTAACATTGAAGAAACTAAAAAAATTGGAATAAAGTTCCACAGTCCTGGAAACACCTATAGCTAAACTGTTTCTTGAAACGTTAAGGAAAATGGATAAAAATTAATGGCAAATGGACTGACAGACTGGGGGTAAGACTGGACAGACTTACCCTTGAAGCGAAATTACATCGCCTGCTGATTGGACCCAGCCCCCACTTAAAATGGCAGCAAAATATTGGCATCGAGAGGATAGGATACATTTATGAGCTTTGATTCGCCTTCCTCCAACCTCGACTATCACATCAGGACTGATTTCGTCCAAAAACATGCGCAGTAAGTCTTCACCTAATTGCGAGCAGTTCTTTGTTTCTTGCTCACTATCTTCAGTGCTCTCTGAAAAGAGAAGTAAAAACAAGGAAATTAGATTGAAAAGTTTCAAGTCCCTTGTGCCCTGTTAGTGAAGCTCCAGGGACAACAGGATCATTAAATTCAAAATCTTTTTGTCCTCTTACATAGAGGAACATTGTTTTTCTAAGTCTCTATGTTCATTTGATGACCTAGTACTTTGTAGAAGGAGGCTCTGTCCCCTAACATTTGAGGCCAGTATATTGGACAGAAATGGAACGATTTTAGAACTCAATATGACAGTTTAGGTTGAAATTTTCTAAACTTTAAGATTTCAATAGAATAATTTCAAAATTATGCTGTGAAACTAGACTTATAAAATCAGGATCTGCCTTTCAATTAATTACCATGTTTTATTCATTAATTTGGTACTTTCCTTATTTTAATCTTGGTTATCAATTATTTTAACTAGGACCTAGTTATTTACTGCCAAAAAAAAAGCTAAATTATCTTTAAGTACAAGCAGCTGATTCTTACCTATGACCGATGGCTCTAGACTGCTGTGCATACTGCTAATGGTTGAAAGGTCAGTGTCAGAATAATCAGATGTTCTGCTGTTGATACTGGCACTCAACTGCGGGAATAGTCGATTGAGCGACCGACTCGTAGCTGACTTAGACTGTAATTTAGACTCAATCCAACTGACTTCTGGAATACTCCGACTCATACGATTGCTGCCTCCCTTTTTGTTGCTTTGCGTTTTAAGTGGTTCTTTATCCATGTCCGACAGTTTGACGAAACTGTCATCTAATTGCAACTGACTAGAGGCTTTCTTGGAAACTGAAACTTTTCCTACTCCAGGGTTGCTTCTTACATTTGTCTCTGTTTTTGAGATGTCGGAACTGGAGATGTCATCCTTTGATAAATCACTAGCATTGTCATGACTGGTTGCAGACGTGTCAAGATCGTAGGTCAACTGTCGGTTTTTAGCATCTTCATCCTCCAGGATAAAAGTGTGCTTTGAATTCACAATTTCTGATATGCTGGTCGAGTTGTTACTAACATCGGTGTGATTACTTGCACTAAGTGACTCTTCTGGTTTTTCTACCTTCATGTCTTGTAGATCATCTACCGTTGCTAATTTTGGTATGATTTTTGAATTTTCTCCGCTGTTATTTGCACCATGCCATGAGGCTGTCATGCCTTTCCCATAACTTGTGTTTAAAGATGCAGGTCCAGAACACGCAGACTTTTGGGCTGCAGTAAATTTATCAACATCAGGAATTCTACTGATTTGCTGCTGTATTTTATCGATCGAAATACTATGCGTCCTCTTATGTCTGGTCGGTGCACTTGAAACTCTAGGGGTTGGATTCTTGGTGAATCCAGAGTGATCACTATGATCTGATTGGGGTTGACTAGGATTGCGACTAGAAGCTACAGCAAAGTCACTGAAAAGATACTTGCCTTTTGCCACTTCTGGATGTTCGTAATTCTGATTCCTTGCATCTGACTTAGCATTTTGCTTCAGTGAAAATTTTTCAGCATGAGATTGCAATCTTTTCCTGACAATTGCTGCTCTGCCTGGTTGTTCCAACGAATTGGACCTTGGTGTGTCGTTGAGGTCAATGAACATGGTAAACAAGTTATCATTGCTTTTTGCACAGCTTTGCGGTACGGTCAAAGGCTCATCGTTTAGGTTAACGAAAAAACCACAACTTCTCGTTTGCAGATTCTGATCGACTTTCGTCTTCTCAACATTTAACACTTTCTGGAACTCTTTCCGACTGTTCTTGAGAAGTTTTAATTGACTCACAGGCTTTGGACTTTGAGAGCTATCTTGGTCTTTAGAGAGCTCGTTAAGATCAATGAAGAAACTTGACCCTGAAGACGATGACTTTGCTGATCGCGGTGGGGTTGATGCATCTTCTGAATCATCAAATCTTGAAGTGTTTGATGACTTTGAAACATCACTTAAATCAATGATCCAAGACTCGCTATTTAGTGGATTAATCCGCTTCTTACGCACCTTCGGCTCTGCCTCCATGCTGACAGCTCCACTTGACAAGATAGGTGATGATTCAATTTTTCGGGACATAGATGGACTTGCGTTACTCGAGTGCCCAAGGCTAATTGGATTTGACATGTCCTTAACTTCAATCCCTCCGGACACAATCGGTATGGATTCATGACTATTCACCTTGCTTTTGTCGCTCTTAGGGCTGAGAAAGCTATCATTTTCACCGTCACATCCCACCACTTCCTTGCTCCATGTAGATTTTGGAGAGGATTGAGGAGTGCTCGTTGCACTGGGCTCATCAGAGCAACTTTTTGCAACTGCCTTGTTTGCGCTTACATTCAAGGAATCTTCGACAAACTCTTTGCGCTGGAAGTTTTCTTCAGGTTGATCATCGTTGTTTAAAGAGTCCGGCGAATTTAAAGATGGAACTTCATTCTTGAAACAGGCAGCTGGAAACTCCGACTTTGAGCTCTCATAAATTCCATTTTGTGATTCGCTCATGGTCCGACTCTCGTTGAATACTTTGTCACCCAGTTGTTTTTCATACTCTTTCCGCAAGATGGCAAGTTTTTCCTCACTTGATTCAAGCTCGAATGTTTTTTGCCGTATCAATCTTGGCATTTCAGTCTGGGGTTCGGAAACTTTTGTACTCGTTTCGGGTTCCTTTGATTGGCTGGAGTTTAACTGAGCTTCAGAGCTTGGATTATTAGATTTGTTTTGATCAAAATGGTCTGTATGGCGGTATTCTGTTTGATTTGGTAAAAAGCTGCTATATGATGGTTGATCCAGTTCATTATCATCTAACAAACTGGAAGCGTCAATAAAGAAGTTGTTCTTGGGAGCAGAGGTCTTCTGAATATTATCTTCTGGACTACACTTTTGCGAGGCCTCCAAGGAATCTTCATAAATGCTGACCAGAGTACTTGAGGTAGGTTGCTGCGCATCGCAATTATTTGAACTGCTCGTATTTGTTTTTGATGGCAGGCACGAACCATTTCGAGCGCTTGCGCTTTTAGGTTTTAGCTCGAGCTTATTAATCTTACTACTAATTTCATCTGAAAAACTTTTTAGCAGCTGTGTTTTCTGTTCCCTGCTTTTTATGTCTCGTTCGTCGTCGTTCACAACATCCCAAGATCTTGAATCAACCCAATCGTAAACAGAACATGACTCTACAAGTGCTGAGTTTGATACGTTGCTTTTTTTGGAGTTACTGACAACTCCATTGCTTGCAACACAAACACTCACACTCATTCGATTTCTGTCGTTGGATAGGACCTTATCATTCCACTCACTTTTGGCCGCTTTGGTGGAACTTTCCGATGTATCGCAGAGGTCATCTCCCAAATTTTTCGCCGCGTCATGGTTAATTTTTGGGTTATGGCTATTTATGGCGGCAGCTTCATTGTCTCTGCAGTTCTTTCCACTAGTGTCAATGACAAATGTTGTAAAATCGGTGGATGTATAAGTCTGATTCCCACCTCCATTAGGTGCATTGATAAAATGGGATGTGCTAGTTTGATGGTAAACAGGATTTTTCTGCGATGTATTGTTTTCTGAAGGTTGCAGTCCATTGACGGAGGAACTTGCATCACTGTCAGGATCATAGGATAAACCAGCTAGCTCAGAAGACCCAATTCCCGAGGTTTCTGAGTTGAGTGTTGACTGACTTGCTTCTTTAATGACAGACTTGCTCATAACTTCACCGTAACAACAGTCTTTCTTGCACACCTGCGGAAAAATTAAGAAAATGACAATGAGAATGGGTGCAGATACCTTAAATTAACGAGATATAGATAACTTGGGAAAGATCAAGAGGAAGCTTCATTGGTTCAAATATTCATGTGTTTCAAAAGGAACAAGAATTTTCTCATCCTTGTGAAATACATTTTCAGGGTGGCTACTGAAATTTCATTTTGGATTTTTCTGATATTGTAAATAATACTTCCAGATTTTTCGCGTGAATGAATTGACACTAGTTTGAATTTATAAACAAACATATTTAATGAATTGAATCAATGTTTCACTTCTGCTCGTGCTAAACTGCAAACAGTTGAAAAATGCTTGATCCATTCAACATTTCCTTATTTCTCCTCATTAAATCAATTTCCTGATATTTTCCAGTTTATACTGACAGACATCCTGATTTTAACCTAATTCTTCATACTAGCAGGGTGTCTCTGTTTCAAATAAAGATAGAATTTTAGCGACTTCCAAACTCTTATTTGCAGCTAAAATTTGATTGATTGAAAAACCAAAAAATACAGGTTTCCTCAGTTTAGACATGTTTATCAAAAATAAGCAGGGAACAAATATATACAGCAACCAGTGTTTGAAACTCACAGATGCCATTGCGCCAAATGCATCTTAGAAATCGGTCATGGCGCCTAAAAAATGAAGGCTCTGCGCCAACGTGGCCCTAAAAATTGCCCCCCCCTCCCCAAAAAAAAAAATCTTAATTTTTCTTTTTGGTGAATTTTCAAAATTTTCCCCAAGTTAAAGTTACTAATTCTGTGACTAAAACATCTTGCGTCTAACTTTTCACTAAATGCGCCGTGACATATAGGCAAAAACTCAATCTGGCCCCTAAAAAATCTTCAATAGCCCTAAAAATCAAGCTTGATGCACCACATGGCTCCTAAAACTCAAAGGTGAGTTTTGAACACTGACAGCAACAGCCCCATTATTTTTAATCTTCTCACCTTTTCGGAATCGCTCATTTCATCATTGATCCTGGATGACAGCCGTCTGGCTTTACTCCCACTTCTTTTCGAGAGGGAGTTTTCCTTGCTGCTTTTGATTTCTGGAACGGTCTTCCTGATGGTGCTTTCTTTGAGTGACAAGAGTGATTGGGATAGCTGGTCCTGTTCGCTGAGTTCCTTTTCAAGTTGCTCGACACCCGAATCGTTTATGAAAGACTCATCAAGGGTGATGAGAGCGTAGTAGAGTTGGTTTGTACTGAAATAAGATGGCACTAAGTGGCTGTGGGAATCGTCATGGTCGCTTTCCGGCTCATTGGTTGAGTCCGGAGTCAAGTACAGGTCTCGACTCTCATCACCATTTGATTTTAGAAGGAAAGGAAGACATTTGATGAGTTTTTGCTCTTTCTCTTTTAAACAGGATTTCGATGGTTGATATAGAGACCTGAAATACAGATACAAAAATATAAATAAGCAAAAATTAACATTTATTGGGTGTAAATGTCGCAGGCAAATAGTCAAATCAGGCATTTGGTTAAATGCCTTGGCAAAAAGTCAAATATTCTTACTTCATTATTTTGCTAAATGTAAACAAAATAATTCTCTGATCGTGTGGGAAGGAATTCTCTATAAAAAACCGTGTTCCTCGCGAACTTTTATACAAGAATCAACAGTCAAATTGCAAATTCCTCGCACATGTAACATCTCCATTGGGCCAAAATGCACCGATATCAATACTTCATATGTTACTTGGTTCCTCGAAAATTCTCCTCTTGGACTTAGCCTAAAAGTGTGAACATTTTTTAGCCACCGGCGAAACCTAGAGTCTATACGGCTTTGCCGCACGACTAAAAAGTGTTTCATGCAATGATAAATACGTTTTTTCTAGTCCTGGATTGCACATTTATAAAAGAAACAGTTTTTTACAATTTGGACGGTTATGAGGAGCATTTTGGAGCAGGAAATGCAATAACAGTCTGTACTTTTATGGATTTTTACTCTTAAAATATCGAGAGATTTTCTGTGAAAACATAAGAAACCTCGTAACCTCTGAAAATTAGACTGTCTGCCTAGGCATTTGATAAAATGCCTGATTTGACTATTTGCCTGCAACATAAACATAAGTTCATCCACACTAACCTCACCAGAGGGCACTTTTTTTTTTTTTTTTTTTAAAAAAAAAAAAAAAAATTGTAAAGTATGTCCTTCTCTTAACGAAAATTTAAAAAAAAAACAAAAAAAGAGAGAGGATGTTAAAAACAGCAAGTAAAATTTTTTAGGGATGTTGTTTTACCTGATGAAGGTTTCGATGTGGTCTTTAGCTTTGTTTAGAAAAATGGGATTCTGCGTTTGTTGTAATTTCTGAAGCTCCGCAAAGAATTGAGGCGCATACAGCGATAGGAAGCTGGAATGTGTTTTGATCGAGGAACTTTCGAACTGAATCTCTACATCACAGAAAACAGACTCCGAGTAAATCCTGGAAAAAATGAGAAATAATTGTTTTGAACAGGGAACTGTGGTGTACATGAGATAGTAGATAAGAATGCCTAAATTCATCCAATTCTGCCAATGTAAAGTTGCAGGCCAAAAATTTTTTTTAAATCTGGAGGAGGTTTCGTACTACCATGGTCTATGAAAAAGTTAACTGTTGTTTTGTTGAAACTTTTGAGCCAAATCCATTTTGCACCAAGAAAATATTTACTCTCAATAAAACTGAGGTGTTCAACTTGACCCTCGTGCAGAAGTGAGAGATATAAAAAATGGGCTCTAATTTTTTAAGAGGCAGTTAGGAATATTGCAGCTCTTGCTGAATAATCCAAAAGTACACTTTAATAGATTTTAAGGAGAGGACCACAATTTTATGGCTTTTATTTTTTTTTTAATGTTGATTACAATGTTGTAAATCTCCCTTAATGATTTATTTTTGTTGAAAGAAAACTAAATCTCCAGTTTTTTTAGATATTTTTTTCTCTGATTGAAAATTTCAAGGAGGTATTAAGGTTGATTTCCTTTCAAAAGAATAGTTAAAAATTATGAAACATTGAAGAGGAAGTTTATAGTTTTTGACACCAATCATCTATAGGTGACCATTTATGGAAGCGGCGCCACAGTCTACAAAAACTGAACTAAATTTTGCAAGTGAGAAGCTCACAATGCATGTAGTTTAAGGTGGATAGGAAACGATTACAAAAGCGTTTTACTCGTAGCAAACACTAAAAACCCACAGGGATTTTCCAGAGAATAAAGTGAAGATGAGACTTACTTAAGGATGTCCCAGTACAGCTGCGATTCAAGTTTTAGCGTTAGTGCCTTATACTCCTGTTCGGCATTTTGGCGACGGAGGAGAGAAACGCCTGCTGCCATCAGTCATTGCTGAATCCATACAGATACCCTGTGAAAAAGAAAACTAATTAATTGATGGCCGCAATAAAAACACATTTTAGGAAACCGTAAGTGACCAAACGTACATTACTCTCACTTGAGGAATTATGGAAACGTAATGATCTACAAAAACAAGATGCTCCAGTATTCCTTCTTATGGTAAGTAAGGTAGGATCGGAGCAATAGAGAGGGATGTTATAATGGAACCTCTGCATAGTAATTGTGCCAGCATTACTTAAAGCTTAATAAATATGTGTGAGATTTTGAGGGGTGGTGACACTTCAAACCTGTGAAACTGACAGGTCAACCTAAATTAATGACCTTGTTACAATAACTGACAATAATTTGGGACATACAAGCCTGTATGCTGTGGAATTTTCCACGTTTGGTCTCACTTGAAAACTGCTTTTCCTGAAAATCTCCCCACTGCACATTTTTCAGAACAAAAACTGATTTGTTTCCTTCCTCTCTACAGCTTCAATTTGCTTTTATTCTTCCTTTTGAGGCAAAATCTGCTGCCACCTTGTAACAGATGGGGTTTGGAAGAAATATTAATAAGGAATTGCATGACGGACATTCTATGCTCGCAGCAGAAAGGTTGAGGATATTACTCAAAATTATTAAACGATATAGAAAAATTAAAAGTAGAAGGGAAAAAAAGGTGTAAGAAGTGCTATTGCACCATCTGTGAGTACTTAGGGTGCAAAGCAGGGGATACAGTCGGTACATTAGGAAACCCTAACTTAGCAAGTGGTGGTGTTACTGGAAATAAGACTTATTATTTCCCTTTGATAAGTTAATTAATGCATTTTTGCACTGATAAGAACAAGTGCCTCCTAAATAGTCCGATGTCCAAATAATTGTGTACTTGGCCTGAGGTTTTGATCAAAAAAGGCGATACTGACGGCTTGATGCAAAAATTCAATAATTACACAGCTACATTAGTCTTTCACAGATTAGAGGAAAGTTTGACTTGACAGCATAATGTGACTCCAGGTTTAAAATCACCCAAGATCCATCAACTTACTGCCGATAACAGCGGGTGTCTGATAACAGCAAGCACTCAAATGATAAGATTACACAGCCACAAACTATGCTACAAAATTGGGAATGGATAAAAAGTCAGCTTGAGGAAAAGAACTTTACCAGAGGTAAATAGTCTTTCAAGAAAGTAGTATCTCCTGTTTTTTCTTTTTCATATGAAAAAGGCTGAAATTAGCAATAATAATTGGTCATTAAGTCAAATCTGTGAACATGATTATTGAGTTGCCTGTCAGGTGAGGAGAATGAAGATCACAGAACTAATATACGTCAGAATTATAAATGGGACATCTGATTCAAAGTTATGCCCGTCGGATTCTGACCCATGACGAAGATTACTTAGATTGAAAGCAGAACATAAGAGATCAACAAAACTTCAAGAGTGCCTGCCTACTGATAAACAAGAAGTTCAACTCACTTGAGAGTAGATGTCAGATTATTTGAGCTATAAAAGCGATTGCAAGGATGTGTTACACGCCGGCTTGTAGGAGAGATCTAGTGAAAACACGTACCTAAACTTTACTTCAGGACAAGACACAGAATGAAAGTTTAAAGAGACACCGATTGACATGAAAAGCTCCCTTCAAAATCCGCTTTGAAAGCAGCATACACATTCCCTAAAATTTTAACCCCATTGACGTTCCATGAATTCAAGATGGCAACTACTGAAAACTTTTACTCTGACTTTTGGTCTTCATAACTTCAATTATTCGCTATTTTTGGTGATTAATTGCCGATTAAAATTAAAATTAAAATTAATAAATATAAAATTAATTAATTTTTTCTAACATTTTCAGCTTTGAAACCAGAAAATTATGGTGTATTTTTTCAATCCTCTGTGACTTTTGGGTTGGTCAAGTAACACATAGCCTTCTAATTACCGAGGGTGGGGATGTGGACATTTTGAGGAGGCTTGTGGTTTCAAGACGGATTGTTGTGTTTTGTCTTCATGAATTCTATCAATTTTAAGTGAAATAATGGCAGGCTACCGCCGCGTTAGTTATTATGATCTCTGTCGGCTGTGCACCGCGAGCGATGGGACGAAAATGCACATTTTCCGTGAGGAAGGACGTAGGAGACAAATCCCCACCAAGATACAGCTGTGCCTCCCTCTCCAGGTACATTCGCCTCTCTAAAAGGAAGCTTTGAACCATTTTTACCCCTCTTTTTAAGTATTTGTTTTCCCTCACATGTGAGATTTCCACGACGCGTCTTTGAGCGCTGTCAGACGCCGAACACTCAATGAATCCATGAATGATTCGCCCGTAGCACTATTTTCTCACTTATATTTCTCTCTTTTAGTGCCAAGCCAAGAATGATGGAATCTTTATCACTTCACTTGCTCAGGCACATCTTTGCCAAGACTGCCACCCTGGTCCCTGATCATTCGATCACTGAATGCCAATGCTGATATTTACCGTGTAGTATATCTTATAAGAATGCAGATGAATGTACTGAGGCTAGTTTATCCTCATAAACCCGTACTTACACTGTGTCACTCTCATTGTGGCCTATACAGTCTGGGTGCATGTTGGTCTTATCTGTGTTCAGATATGACAAGATGGCCTTAATCGAAGGTACCAATTAACTCCCCTCGTAAGCAAATACCGTGAAAAAGTTTTATGTAAGCACATCAGGTGTTTGTAGCAGAGTCCAAGTCATGCATGCAAGTTGTCTCTTGCGACTGTAAGGTAATCTCAGTTTGTTATCGAAGTGGCTGAGCCTTGGTTAGTGCCGTGAGAGGATTGTCAGGAGCTCATTAAACTTTTGTCAAATGCTTTGATTGAAAATTCTTACTTGGTAGGTTGTACTTATTTCTATCGCTTTTCATCTTAAAATAATTAAACATTCGTAACTATCAATGGACATCAGTGTAATAATAATAATAATTTATTGTTTCTTTTGATTTATAACAAAAGAGCGATGTACTTAAAGCTCGAGAGTCTCAGTTGAGAAGTTTATTTGAAGAATGAATTATCTTAAATTTGAATGCATAAATATACTGGAGTCTGTGCGCAATAGAGTTATTTAGCTGTGGCCTCTTTTTATTCTCTCCCAAATTTGATTTGGTCAATGCAAACTAAGTAGAACCACAGTTGGGGAGNGGGGGGGGGGGGGGGGGGAGGATTTGTCAAACCTAAATTTGACCAGGACTTTCCAAGTGATCTTCTGTAGCAGTAGCTTTGTGATCAAATGTAGTTTTGAAAATTCATTTAGTTGCTGGTTAAAAGTTTTTCCCACTGAGAAAAACCAATGAAATGACATTTGTATTCTTTCCTTTTATCTCGTTTTCACAAAGCTGATTTTCTTTTATTTTTCAGATCAATGAAGACGACTCATTACCTAAAAGCATTTGCAACAACTGTGCGGATAAATTGGAATCTTTCTACAATTTTCGGGAATCTTGTCTCACAGCTGAAGCAATGCTAGAAGGGTTTCAAGATTTTAAACGGGAAGGAATGGTAACTACTTTTCTCAGTTGTAAGAGAGGCCCACAAGCCTATCTTTGGATTATTAATTCTTAATGTCTTTTACACCGGTATTCACCATCAATACTCCCCTTGTCACTTTGCAATGCTGCCTTGCTAAGGAAGAACGCCATATGAACCGTCAGCCATTGCCAAATCTCCTTTGACAAATCATGAATTTTCAGGACTTTTTCTTAATATTTTTCTCCGATTTTTTCAGAGGATTTTGTTCTTAATTTGATCTATAAAGTCTGAAAATTTCAAGGGAAAATATCAATAAATTTCTTCAAAAATAAATACTTTTAAGAAAAAATTTGGCAACTCTCGAATGTTCATACGGCGTTCTTCCTTAGCACAACAGAATGGGGCACTAGCTAGGGATTTTTTTAAGGAAAATTACCTGCATCATTGTAGGAATTCAAGACACCGAAAGTAATTCTTAAAATCTGTTGAAGGACATTGATAGCTTAATACAAAAAGATGTCTATCTTAATTAGGGGCTTGGAAGACAAGTGGGATGATAAGTGCAGTTTTTGAAAAAATTGAGTTGTTTACTTAATGATTAATTAATTATTAGTAATTAAAACTAGTCTTAAAATATATTCTGTGACAAACACACTAGGCACTAAAATCCAATCTTAAAGCATCAGAAAGTGAGTTCAAATTTTCTCCTACAATTAGGCTCGATGTAAGTTAGAAACTTCATACACGTATTTCTCGGAATAGCAACAACTGCCCTTATCCCATTTGTTCTCTAAGCCCCTCCATTGCAATATTAAAAAATCTCCAATTTTGTGAAATGAAACTGCTGAAAATGTCTTCTTATTATTTTGTGTAATTTTTTCGGAATGAATAACAAATAATTAACAGAACATTTCAATATAAATTGACGGCTGGTTTTCCTTTTTAAAATGTAATGCATGAGCAGAAACTTACAATGTTACTTTCTAAGATACGCAGTTTTCAATTTTAGCACTTTACACGTAGTGTCCTCTCAGTAAAATAATTTACCAGATTGGTGGACTGTTGAAGTAAAGTGCAAGTGCTTTACGTCGAATAGCAAAATCACAGTCTAGAATGGTCTATGATTAAAAAAAATTGCCACTGGCATTTTGTTACTGAAAAACCATCGAGGAATGTTTCAGTGATTTTTCCTAGGCTAGTGTAATTAGATCATTATATTATTTATTTAAGTGTAGTAGTTACTCTCAGGCTAAATTAGAAACTCTTATCAGTTTGCTGTGCTTTCCAGTTCCCTGTTCAATTGAGTGCGGTTGCATTTCAGGTTTATGTCAAAGACGAGACTCTAGTCAAGGCAGAGACCTCTCAACTCCCAAAAGAGGAGGACTCTCCGAATAATGTCCAGGTTGTGGAGACTAGTTGTATGGTTCCGGTTTCTGTGGAAGGACTTCAGAATCTTGTGCAAGCAGGTGCTGTCCACATCATCAATGACCCAGCCTCTGACAAAGGATTGCAGTATAAAATTCCAATTCCACTACAGGTGCGCTGCTACTTTTAAGACTTTCAGTGGAGGATCTGGAGAAAGGTTCATTAGGGACAAGCTTTCCTCTCCCTTTAAGATAGTGGAAGGAATTGAAAGGGTCCTCAATCAAGAATTTTTGAAGAATGAACACCCTAAGTTTTTGATATTTTTAAAATTTAAACTCTTAAACTTACAACTTTGTCGATAAACATTAAAGGGTGCATTCTGTTCAAGTTAGGTAATCAAACAGAAAGGCAAAATCATGACTGAAATAAATGATTATTTTGATTGATTGTAATAGTTTTCCACTTTCTTTACTTCTTGTTTTTAACTCTAAAATTTATTTGTTGTTCAAGTAATTTTTACCAGGTATCATCATTTTCCTTTTTTTTTTCTTTTTTTCTTTTTGAGCCTCCATTTAACAGCTTAGTTAATTTTATTATTTATAGTTACAATGCGGCACAACGGTGATTGACTCATCACAACAGATACGATACAACATAGCAGAAGTCAGTCCTCAGACGGCCAAAAGTGTGCAGGAAGCATCTCAACTTCTGCAAACTGCAAACCACAAAGAATCACAAAACTTCTCAGAAAAAGCATCACACAATTCGGTAAGTAATCTGTTTTTGGAAAGCAATGAATTAGGATTTCAATTTATGTTTATTGCCCTCGGAAGCTCCAAAAATTTGTATTAAAAACTTATTTTTGCAAATGCAATTCCTTTGAGTCAATATCTGATGAACACACATCTAAAGAAAGAAGCACCTCTTACAAATAATTGGGAACAAGATGGTGCAAAGGATGAAGAAACAAGGAGACCAGGAAAGTAAGATGGTCGAATCTTATTCATAATGGAGTAAAAAATTTGCAATTTCTAACAATCAGCCTTCAATTAAAATTTCTGCACTTTTTCCTCTTTTAATTTTTTTTGTAATTCGCTGTTCAGGGAACTCAAACAGACAGTAACCGGGAGGTAGTCATTAGTCAAGCAGCGCTAAACAATGATATGTTTGTGCAATTTGCGAATTTTAAAGACTCTCACGCGCCCCAGGATGAAATCGTTCATAGGTGAGTTTCATCATATCAGTCACTTTTCTTGTTAAGTAGAACGTATGTAAAACCCTGGAGATGTAGGTCAGAAGAATTTTAGTATTTTTTCATTGAAAGTTTGAAGGAACTGTTCTCTAACAAGGTACACTCTACTACAGGTATGGAGAAATAGAATTTTAGAAAGTTGTCGAAACACGTAGATTTGACAGCGTCCAATGGTACGACTGCGAAGCCATATTGAAAACTTTTTTACTTTCTGTTCTGAGAGTGGATCTCGTCAATTTCGTGTTATTTTTTCGTGTTCTTAGTTAAGCTTTTCGTTATTTTGAGTTTTATCAATTTTTTAAATTCATCTGATAGCCTATTGAAGCTACCAGATCTGCCAGAACCTCATTTTGAACTGCGCGGTAAAGACTGTACGACTTGCGATGTCACTCGATGGCCTATATTCTCAGCGCTGCGACTTTGGCACCCTGTTTGTCCATACCTGTAGGAGAGTGTACCTTGGTACTTTAGAATTATATCAGAAGGAATGATAAGAGTATTGAAATTCTGAAGAGAGAAAAATGATGACAATGTTGCATGAACGTTTCAACAGAATCAAGAACTTGGGTTTCATTTTATTCCGACAGGTGTTCAAATTTTAGGAGCATTCAGCATTTTTAATGCTGAGGGCTTCCAATATGCTAAGTTTTATATGAAGAATTTTTAATTTTATTAAGAATTTAATTTTTAATCCTGATGTTTACACCAAAGTGTAATTTTTGTCTGTTCGAAGTTCTTGGCTGGGCAGTTGAGAGCTATAACTTGATTATGTAGTTGTGATTGCAAGTCTTGTTAGTTATTTTGAGAGAACTTGTAATTATTTCTAGTTTTGATCTCAGTATCTTTAAAATTTTTCCGTTTTTTTGCCACCTGGGCAAAGGTTTCTGTGGTTGGGACCTTCCTGTTTGTTATATGGACGTATTTCTGTCAAACGGAACTATGTGCATTATGACGTGAGCCCTGTTATGCATGTACTCTGATGGGTCTCAGGGCTCATGGCATAATGCACATAGTTTCGTTTGATAGAAATACATCCATATGATGGTCCGTCTTCACCTGGGAAATTTGCCTCTATTCATATATTACTCACTTTACTAGTGATGTCATCTATGAAGTGATCAGTGAAAAAAAAGTATCAGTTTACTCTCAATTAAATTTTCATCGAATTTTTTTAATTAATTCTTCAGAGCAAATATCACTGGAATCGCAAATATTGGTGATTACTTGCGGCTAAAAATGGACGAGCCCCACCATGAACTTGCAGACGAGGCCAAAGACATTGAATGCGGCCGATGTGGAAAACGCCTCTCAAGTTCGGAAGTCACAGAACATTGCATATCATGTTTTGATCAACAGCCAACAACTATCATCAGTGAGCACCCTGCGCCACAACATATCCAGGAAAAAATTCCGGAGCAAGGCACGGTGCGGAACGTCGAGGCCATTTCCATTCAGTACACATGTGAGATTTGTGGTAGGATATTCAAAAAGAAGGAATTGTTTGAAGAACATCATAAATCTCATGCTGGTAAGGATCCTTTTTCTTAGTGTAATGCTATGTTGTATCTGTACAATGGTATTGAAAGATGTGATGGATAAACAGTGGCTTGTGGTGAGTTTGGTGATACGGCAGGCTGTAGAGACTGCCATCTCATGGGGGAGTATTGAGTGCTTATCTCATTCAAGGGCCAAAGAGGGGGGCGAATGGGGGGGGGGGGGGGTCACCTCCGTCAAATGTTTAAAATTTAGACCTTAACAACTCCTTTTGTATCTTAATTTCAGATATAAAATGTGGAAGAATGTAAAGATGAATGATATCATCTTATTCCTGTCTTTTTCATTTTATTCTTACTCATTTTTCCCCCTCAACCTTTTTCTTATTATTGTCAAAAAGAAAGGAGTACCAAGAGAAAGAAATGGAATGGGAAGGAAAGTAATGAAGAGAAAGTAAAGACAGCATGTGTGGACAACTGCCCTGACAGTCTGCAGTAATTAGACTTCATTTTGCAGTTGGGAACTACAATGTTTGTCTCATTTGTAAAAGCACTTTTCTGCACATGGAAACCAATGGAATGGCATATGCGTTGTTTATATAATGAGCTGGAAATTGTAGTTCTTAATTGCAAAATAAAGTCCAATTTTGAGTTTCTCCTGCATATGAAAGAAGCAAGCTTCTGTCACGCATTAAATTACACTTATTCTGTGGGTACTGCACTCCCCTCAATCTTGATTTTCTGTTTATATTAGGCATTTCTGCTCAGCCTGCTGCAAGCAAGTCTCCAGTGTTTATTCCATTGCTTGCATCGGCCCGTCCTGTGGCCTGGTCACACAGCGCAGATTTTTCAACTTCCACCTAGCTTTGTCACTCAAGTTTTGAACCTCTTGTACCCATCCATCTCTCTCTCTCTCCATTCTTATTGAAATTTTCTTTGTGGGAACCTTTTTCTATTTAATTTTGGGGGGCGTGCCTCACCAAATTAGTCTAGAACTTGGCTTTTTTTACGTGACGCTCCTGCCCCCAAAATTGGATGAATCTTGGTACGCTTGAACTGCTCCTCCAGCTAAGTTAGCTAATGTTAATTTTAATTTTTTTTGGTCCTCACTAAGCTTTTACGAGCTTTGAAATTTGGGCTAATAAATGGAAGTCCCTTTAACAGTCCTTAATTTCAGAACGGTCGTACAGAGCTAAATGGTTCTGGCACTAACAAATAGCCTCCTCTGTATGCCAAGAGGGAATACTATTTGAATAACACGTTTCTATGAAATGTATATTGATTGCAAACTATTATTATTTTTTAAAGATTAACATGTTCATGTTGATAGGTATTGATTTTATCTTTTTGTTATAGTATTTTGTTTCAAATTTGTTCAATTTCTTTTCTTTTTCACCATCAGATGATTCAATGAGAATCATATTTTCTCCTGCAGAAAGTGATACTCACCTGAGCGAATTTGTGCGGGTCCCTTCAAAACCAGAGGCTGCGAATCACCTGTCTTCCCAAGACCAAGTCAATTCAGTGGTCGTCTCTTACGCAAACCAAGTTAGTGGTGATGAAATGAGCCCGCAGGTGTCTCAAGACTTTTTAGCAACGGAAATAAAGGCTGAGGACCAAAACCAATCTCAAGCCACCGTCGCGTGTGATGTCTGCGGAAAGCCGTTCAAACGAAAAGAACATCTATTCCAGCACCGGAAATTACACTCAGGTTGTCATGTATTTTAGTCGCTTTTTAAAAATTAATTGATAAATTAAACGGATTCTAAAGTAATACTTATCAGTTTAATTTTGTATGGGGAAAGGAGGATGGCAGTTAGGTTTGAAAATGGCAAAACTGATTCTGTTCAGTATTAGCTTGTCCTAATTTCATTCTCTATCGTCAATATCGTTTATTCATTTGTCTTCGTTTTCAAATTACTAAAAGCGAAGTCTTGCTGTCAGATGAATTAAGCTATAAAGAGTCCTAGAGTCTAGAGGACTGCGGGCTGATAATTGTAATTTATAGACAAAAAAGGCAAAAGGAAAATGAGGTGATCCTTTTGGTTGAAACAAGTGGTTCCTGAAGACAAAGAACTCGGAAAATGATACTATAGGGTCCCTCGGTCCCTCGCAGATTGCCATTAGTTAGCCTATTACTTACCTCCTTTACCCATTGCATCAACCACTTACTTCCATCAATGGGATTGCTCCATTTTTCCTTGTTTTTTTTTGTCTATCAATTTCAATAATTAGCCTACTGGAAAATAACGCAAAGTTAAATTTGTAGGAAAATTTTTGAAAAATGTATGAAACTTAGCGTAAAACCTGAAAAATGCAAGGAATTTCATTTTATCCCAGTAGTGACCAACAAAATTCAAACTCTTGGCTGCCTGTAGAGCTTCATCGCAGGATTCTGTCTCTTCTATCTCTAAAACAGCATAATGAAAAGCCCTGAAAGATGAAGATTTTGAAGGTTATAATCAAAATGGAACCAAGTTGAATTTTCTTACAAGAAAACTAGAAAGTATCGTAAAGTCGGAAGTTCTCTCTTTCATCAACTTTTTAAATACCAAATAATTTTTACGTTTTTAAGCTGAAGAATGGTGAAAAGGAGATCTTTAGTCCATTCTAACATGAGCCCTGAGATCCATAAGAAAATTTGCATGACAGGGCTTACGTCACAATGGATTTATTTCCTTTCGATTTAAAGGCATCCTAATGGTCAATGTATTTTTTTACATGTTTCAGGAGAGCGACCGTTTGTCTGCAGCACATGTAACAAAGCCTTTGGTCGCAAAGAGCATCTACTGAGGCATATGTTAGCGCACACTGGGCAGAAGGTTCATGACTGCGATCTTTGCGGGAAGTCTTTCAGCCGGAAAGACAACTTACTGAAACACAAGAAAATCCATGGTATATCTGGACCTTTTAGCTGTGAAATCTGTGGTAAGTAATTAACATGAACAAAAATGTATTCTTCAATAGCGCACAGATTAAGAGCTGATTTAAAGGCCATGTCAATTGATATTCTCAGTGGATCCAACCAGAAAAGAAACTTAATTTCATTTCAAACTTACCGGTTTTCCGTGATCAATGAATAACTCCAGGAGCCTTTTTCTCAAAATTCTGTACCAATTTTATATTATATGGACTGTTCAATATTCTGTTCATTCTGATCATCATCAACAATGCATCGGATATAGTGGTGCCGAAAGGAACTAAAGGACAAATTTCTAACTTCTAGTGTTTGATGGATTTTGATCCTCTATAACTCAAGCTACCTACAGGCATATAAATGTGCCCAAATAACTCGTTTTGCCCCTTAGAAACACCGTCTGATTAATCAGGGGAACAGGGAATTGGCGGTAGCGCATTAAATCAAATGAAAATTTGCCGCACATCTTCTTGCAACAAAATACGGACATAGTCTTGCTACATATTTTAGTGTTACAGTCTTGCTGCATATTTTAACATCTAGTGAATTTTCATGCAGTTTTTTTGCTACGTATTTTCTGTTCGCACTGTGGTAAGGCATAGAGTAAAAAAAAATGCACTTAAGTATGTGGTGAGGAAAACTCCTTTTACCTCCTTGAATTTTACTATGTAGTCAGTGATTGATCATTTTTTGCCAGTAGTAAGCGCCCTGATCAGTGATCATGACACTGTGGCGCATCATGGGCAAATCACCTATGAGCTGAGTGATTTCACTGACAGTCATTGCATCAACAAGCATCATAATGAGAGTGTATGCTTTGACACCGACCTCTCTGGGAAGCAAATAAATTAATAAAAATGAAATAATATTGGTAGGTTTGCACGTTTCTAAAATACCTTCATTTTCATGGAGATATAAACATATTGAGTAATCACACATTAAAAAAATGTATCTTTTTTAACAGGCAAATCATTTGTTGTGAAGCATTACTACATGTTGCATTTGAATTGTCACCAAAATGAACAAAATGGGGAAGACCCAGATAACCCTCTGCGCTGCGATGTGTGCAATAAGGTGTTCAGTGACAAAAGTCACCTGCTAACACATAAAGCGCGCCACCGCAGCCGAGGGAAGATCCAGCAGCGCCTGCCACAACGCCAGCAATCACAGGATCAGTCGCCCCATGATCAACAGCAGCAACAGGCACAGCCGCAGCAATCTCAGCAGCCACAACAAACGCAACAGACACAAGTTCAGCAGAGTGAAATGCAATCCCAATTGACGCAGGTTGTGCAGTGCCAGTCACCAGTTGCGGCTACTTCAAGCTCTAATGAGGTAAGCCAGTAACTCCAAATGAAGCAGTCAGTGACCCAGGAGCTATAATGTCAAATAGATTAATACTTCGTAGGGAATGTAAAAAAGATGAATACCTCGTAGTTTCTCTATTTAATATGAAAAGAAAAGGGAAAAAGACGCAGGAGAGTACTTGCATCGGTTAGTTTTGCCAGACAACTCATTTCAACTTATCTGTGTGTGGGTGCATGTTTTCCGTCGAAAGTTTCAGGGAATTTTTGTTAAACGACGAAGAAAAGTTCCACCACAAAGAAGCTGACTTGCAACTATACTTGAAGAGATAGGTTATTTTTTAAATGAAACTTTGCAAAATCCTTGAACTGCATTTGAATTTGATCATTTTAAACTTCTTAGAAAAGTTTTCTCAATTATGGAACAATGGACTTTGCCCTTTCTATTTATTTTTTTTTTGGGCCCTCTAACTGGGCATAGTGATGCTTAGGAGTGCAGTTTATGCGCAATCATGTCCCAAATTGTGGAAAGGCCTTCAAAATGTGGAAGAGGGTGAACATTCCTACATTATGGGTAAAAAATTGTGTACGGTTTTGTCTCAGTCTGTTTGGAGGTTCACGATACCAGCAAATTGCTGCTGACAACCCAAATAGCGCAATTCATAATGTGAATATTGTTAATTTTATTCAATAAAAGTAGGAATAATTTTTTATCTCTTTTCTTTTTTCTTGAGTGGTATTTTAACAACATTTTAAAGGACTCTTTGGTTTAGTTGGAGGGAATAACTAGAGAGAGTTTAGAAACCAAATTCGTGTCACAGAAACATATGATGTTAAACACAGGTGTCAAAACTACATGATTGGACAATGTAAATAGTGAGTAGAGGAATGTATTTCAGTAAGCGATTGCAATTTTAATTTAATTGTATGATTAATCCCTGAAGGAAAAAGGTTCACACGTTTTCATCATTCTCAGTAAAATTAATGCCTAAAGTTGTTCATTTTTAGTTTTATATGATAATCGATGATGTGAAAAGGCGAGGAATTTTGATGATATTTTTAGGAAAAACCTGGGAAGTCTGGGAATTGTTTCCTTAAAGTTTGTAGACACTATGAAAAAGTTGAACATTTAAATATGTACCAGCTCTTTTTATGTTAAAACAGAGCCTTCTTGCTCTCATTCAGTCGACTTTCCTAATTTTGTACTCTCTTGTTTTGTAGGAAAATCAAGATCCTCTCTCTACAGTCAATACAGCAGCCATTTTAGCCCCTAGCATTCTGCACACAAGCTCAGCGCAGGTTTTTCAGATGCCCACCGGAACAACGTACCTCTGCACCCCGACCATCACCTCAAATCAGTTCATTGACAACCTCCGTAGACTGAGTTCACCAGCAACTTGATTTATAATCTACGAAGGTAAAGGATGAACAAGCAGAAGCTCTTAAAGCAAACATGAGAGCTTTCTTAAATCAAAACCGTACTTATAATCAAGTTTTGCCAATTTTCCGCTGGTCCTTGAAACTTCGGAAATCATTCCCTCGCCGGTCCTCTGAAGAAAATCAGAATGGCTTAGCTTGTGAAACAGCAAGGCAGTGGCAAGAAATTTTTGCAGGGTTGTAATATAGTTTTTCCTCCGTAATTGGTGAAAAAATGAAAAGTTCAAAAAATCATTTCTTAGGGGAGAAAAAGCTAATCAAAATCCGACCCGTTTAAATGTCACTCATCAATCGAGTTGATAAAGTAAGGGGATGCCATAAGACGAGTTCAGTCAATCAGCAAACACTGTTTCTTCCGCTTGGCTACATCATCAGCACCCGCTAAAAATATGATTTCAGATGGATTTCATTCTTGGCGTTTTCAAAACGGAGTACCTTGGTCTTTTAGAATTGAAAAAAGCTGACGAATTCCTAGAAATTTAGTTTACTCCAGACTTTCAGAAAATGAATTGAAAAAAAGGTGGGTGCCACTGACACATTGTAGAAGTAGCAGAGCACCTAAATTAAGAAGAAGCTGAGTATTATTTTGATCCGAGCAGATCTGAGTTACCAAGATCATAACGGTAGATGACACATTTTAATATAGTGGTGGTGCTCAAAGTTTATGATGTGTCATCTCTTATTTACGCATCAATTTTTCTTTGTAACCCCAAAGTATGATTTCAAATTGAATTTCGGTTTTTATTTTATTGTCGGACGAGGTGGTAAAACTTGTGTCTGCAAAAAGCCCTGGAAAGAGCTCTCAAATATGTAGTTTCATATCATATTATGTACTTTTCGAAATGAGTGATCCTTTATTTTTCAGATCATTCTCTCAGCTTGTTTGTAGAGTTGCAGTATATTTCAGTGTGTACCAGCCCCCTGATTTATTGATCAGGTAATATGTATTTAGTTTTTTATTATTTTTCAATTTTTGTAAGATAAGTAGAAATTAAGCCAGCCTTTTGAGCTTCTCAAAATGTTGACCCTCATCGAAAAATCAGCAGTAAAACTGCTTGGTGATTTTCAGCCTTAATTTTGGTCTTTCGATTGAGTTGAGAAGATAGTCACATTGATTTTTCTTGGTATGATACAAGGTGCAGCGCTTCTACCGTCAGGGAAACCTGAAATAATCTGACCAACTCATTCCTGTACATTGACGAGTTAACTGTCTTGCTTAAAGCACAAATTCCATATTATTCTGATTACTCAAAAATACATATCTGTACATTAGCGCTTAAAAATGTTTCTGCGTTCTAAAAAGGAAATTGTCAGCAATGACTCAACACTCTGCGTCATCATGATAAGGAGTTGCGCAATATCAGTGGTAATGTAAAGTGCAAGTGATTTTGATTGGACTTAAAGAAATATTTCTAATATTTTAAAGCATCATAAAAAACTTATGAAACAATGTTAAATTGAATGACTCGGACAGTAATAGTAATGTTAATTTGAATGGCTCTGACAGGAATAGTAATGTTAAATTGAATGACGCGGACAGGAATAGTATTGTTAAATTGAATAACTCGGACAGGAATAGTATGATTATGAAAGGCCATAACTTTTAAACTCAGTGAGAGGTAACAAGGAATGGAAATCCCGAGAATATATGTAAATATAAAAATCCTCCTTTTTATTTTTTTAATAGTTTTTGTGATCACTATTTATTTCTCCCACAAAGAAAATTTTGTATTTAATATCATTAGGGGTGCTGAAATCCCAACAAGCTTTTTTTTTTTTGTATTTGTGAATGAACATTTAGTCCATTCATGAAGAGTCTCTTCATAGGGAGAGTTATGCCTTGAGGAATCAATTTCTGATTTGTCTCGTTTTTTGGCTGTACTTAAGACACAATCGGGCAGAAACAACACAAATCACATCAACAAACGGCACAATCACTTTCTCATCATTTACAAAGATTGCAGGGTTTCTACTGCTCGGAAAAAACAGGGAAAACACAGGGAATTCGACATTAACTTTCAAATTTAAAAGAATTAGAGTTTCTCTATATGAATTCAATGAAAAGAGTTACTCGGAACGAGACTTTAAAAGCGAAAGTGGCGTGCTGTCTCCTTTCAATTTTAAATTCCTATTTACAGCCAATAGCTTTGCTGATTTCTTGGATAAATAACTAAGTTGTCGGCGACCATAGTCTTAGAAGAGTTGTTAAGTTAAACCTTTGCGACGGATACGTTTTAGTAAAGTTATTTTTCATAAATATTGCAGGGAAAAGACAGGGAACACTCAAGGAATTTAAAAATTGAAAAAAGTAGAAACCCTGAGATTATAAACCAATATGAACCAAGAGAAAGGACGAAAGAAAGCCAAGAATGATTCGAACAAGGATTACCAAAACACATTATCACTTGAATCATCTTTGCGCCAGTTTGTGACATCAAGGACCTCAGATGATTTAACTCTCCCTATCAAGGGACTTTTCATTCATCTATGTTGATCCACCGATGTTATAATATGTTGAATCTCCCAATACGATAGGATGGAAATTTGCATCCTTTGAATTGTTGTTTCATCTTTCAGGTGTGCGTTATGTACATAGAATCCTGTTTTGACGGACTGTAACCATTAAAACAGGCTTCTTTGACAGACACAACTGACCTAATCTATTGTTAGTTTCTCAAGCTTACTGTATTCTGGTCAGATAACAAACTAATTTGAGTCTACCAATATTTGTGGAAGAACTTCTCAAATTTTTTTTAAAACTTTTCCTCAGAGGTGAATATTTTAACTCATCACAAACCTTTTAGGATTTGTGCTGGTGACTTTGTACAAATTGTAAACGCACCAAAAAAATCATCCTTTGTATTATTTGTAAGTATTTTGACTTGTAATTTAGTGTAAATTTTAGGGGTATGTGCATGATAAGCCGTTCGTGTAAAGTCCCTGACCCATTGTGATTATCGTGAAAGAAGACTGTGAATATTTTGATCCTGATTTGATTTCTGATTTCAACTTTACTTCCTTTTTTGTTTTCTTACTTTTATAACTATATTCTAGTTGACTTCAATGTGGTTGTCAGGACTGTATTCAAATGTGGCTCTTTTTTTAAGTGTTTGATATTTATGCAAAAAGATCTCATTGATTTTGGAAGAATGATTACAACTTTAGAGCATTTTCTTTCGCCGGAATTTCACGCTGAAGATGGATAGCTGAATGTAGGACTCATCGGTCGATAGTTGAGTGCTTCCCTGAATTTTGCACATATTCAGGGCACCGATGAGAATCGGGGTTCAGCAGTCATCAGTCTGTCTGAACTTTTTTAATTAATCTGTTGTAAATGTAAGTAAAAGAAGACTCAATATTGGGAATTTTTGACTGCTGAGTAATGATCGATATCTCCCATTTTCAACTTCTAAATTCAGGTTGTGATTCTGGCTTGTGTAGTGAAATACCATGTGAAATAGTTCGTATCAGAGATCAAAATTTCTGGGAAAGCTTTGTGACGAGAACAGGAATGCTCTGGAACGATCTTGGGTACTCCCCAAATTATTAGTATTTTTGGCTGTTGGTGTTTCTCCATTTAAGTTCCTCAGCGACAGAGATTTCAGACTGATATTCATCAAGGGAACGTACCCTTTTTGATTCTGAGTCATGGCATCTGTAGCTGAATCGTCCTCCACAAAATCTGATCTTTTTTCCTCAGTACTGACGATGATTCCTCTAAAAAGAAAGTATCACTGACAGTAATCAAACTTTTTTAAGTTTGAAATCCTGTTTGTTGTATTTGTCTTTGCTGCAGTGAGATTCCAGCTCTAACGGCTGAACTTGAAAGCTATTCTAAAACATTGAATTAGAAGTCAGGAGAAACAACTTGAAATTTTGTAAATCTTGTCTTAGTTTGTAAGCTCTAATAGACCACCGCATTGAAGTCACATTGAATTCAGCAGAGAGAAGTTATTTGTCTACGCCTCTCTAAAATCTTCACCTAAAAAAACCTAATTTCAACCACTTTTTTATGATTTGTGAGCAAATTGTCAAACTGTAGATTCTCTACAATTTTCAAGTATCAGTAGATATCCTGAGTCGACAAGAAGGTTTGAAGAGACTCCCAGTAACGGCTTGTAAAATTTTCAGTCAGAACCTAAATTGTTTCTTGAAGCTTGAAAATGAATTGCTAAAATTCGAGTTTCTGTTCTGATGGAGAGAAAAGAAGCGCTATACTCCTTTCTAAAAAAAAGGCCCATTTGATGTTCTACCTCTTTCTAAAAAAGGGCCCATTTGATGTTGTCTACCGAATTTTAGGTATCAAAAATGTAATTTCTTCTTTTGAAGGTTTTAAATGAAATTTTCAAAGTTCCTTCAGTCTGCCTCAAATTTTACCACAGTAAAATATTCTCTATTTTTTAAACGAACTAAACTTAATATCAGTCGAGGTGAAACGAGAATAATTTGCTCCTTTTCATAAATCCCTCTTTGCTGGGTTTAAAAAGCCACAATAAGTGTAAGTTAACTGTTGTTTTTTTTTATTTTATTTTACCTAGTATATTTAATTATCATTCCATTTTTTATCAACTAATCATAGCTTTCAATTTTATAGTCAGCCTCTTTCGCAATTTTTTCTTCCTCCTTTTGCAAAGAATCACTCAAGGGATGAAGATCTCAGAAGTTGGTCCCTTGTTAGCTTCTCTAATTGGTTGAAAGGTCCTCTTTTTTTCTGTATTTTTTTTTATTCAATCGAATTTATGTTACTGAATTGAAATTCTTTCAGTTTCCTATGTTTTGGAGAAAAGTCTTTTCAAAACTGCATCTGAGGTAGAGGAAAAATTGGCTGATCATTAAATCATTGTTTTGAGTTAGTTCAATTTTGAAAAGACAGTTTATTTTTACCGGACTTTTTTTTCTTTGAGGAATGTTTTCTATTTTATTGAGTATCTATAAAAAAGCTGCAAGCATAATTATTCATTTTAATTTAACCCTGATGTAAGACAAATTCATAACTGCAATAAGCATCAAAGCAATAGACAACATCACCCACCGTCGTTCTTAAAGGGAATGTACCCATTGATATCGATTGTAGAGGTTATGAGATAGCATCTCTTGCCCAACCGTAAAATTCAGCCGTTGAACTGCAACTTTTTGTTACACCCAACAGGCTTATTTCCTCTGGCACCACATATTAGTCTCGTTCAAATCATAAGTTCCATGGAACTACTGAGGGTGAATGAATATGGAAAGAAAGGTGAGTTAGTCATAGTCCCAGCTTTCCAAAAAGCCATGAAGGTTGAAATTCTGCCCTCTGGTTTGCTGAGGAAGTTCGTTTGGCCAGACCAACCTTTTCTCTTTGGGGGTTCTGAAACGTCACTTTGATCTTCTTCGTGGAGTGGTTGGTCTAGATTAATAGACTTTCCGTAAACTAGAGGGCTGATTTTCGGTTTTAACTTGTTGAACAGCTGATAGTGCGACAGGCACATTTTTTTTTTTTTTTTCGTTTTCCACTTTCAGAGAAATAAGACCAAGAAACTGACTTGTGTAACGTCTGTACTCTCCACTCCGGACTCTCATCTTGTGCAAAAAGGTAGTGAGTGATGATTAAGTACTCTGTAAATACTCAATCTCTACCCAGTATATCTCTTTTGTATCATGACATTTCAGCTTAAATTAATGTCTGGTAATTCATTTTAACCATAAGCAAAATAAACTGAGATACTGGTGTATTGCTGCTAAGGAGTCTTCACCATGTAATTTTATGTATTTAGTTATTTATGTCTGAAAGATGTTGATTATTTTTATGATTTTTAATTTATAAAGACGCTCGCTGCGTCAATGGACTTTTGTAATTTTTAAAATTTATATATTTGTAATTGAAACTATGTACATCATGAATTTTTCAGAAACCTTGCGGATTAAACTGCTCTTCATTTCTCTTGGAATTACTGGTTTTTTCTTGAATTAGACCATTTAGCCTGGGGTTTTTTTTCCTTCTTGAATCCTCCCATAGCATTTTTGGTCAAATTATGAAAAAAAATTGTTTCAATGCATGCTATGATTTAGAAATTCCCTTTTGTTCTATTTTAAGTATGGTTAATGTGACATCCCTGTTAAAAAAAAAAAAAAAAAAAAAAAAAAAAAAAAAGCGACAGAAAGTAATTGGCATCAACATGTTATTAATCAATTGGATTGATGCTTAGCACAAAATAAACTGTAAAATATGAAACCTAAAAAACAAAAATTTACGTCAATTATTTTTAAAAAAATTTTAACTAAAATAAAGTGATTAAAAACTTGTAACTGTGCTAGATAGCACGTCTACATAAAAAATAACAAAAAGAGTTTCTTAGCTTGCATACTTTAACAGTCTCTTTTAAATTTGTGAGGCTTTCAACTTTTTTCAACAGTCAACACTACTAGAATGAAAAAATATTTGTAGAATCTCTAATCATTATGAACTTGATCTGCTATCTGAGTAAAATTTTGTAATGAAATCATTGGATTTAGGTCGTGAATTGAAAAAAATAGCTAAAGTTTGTCCTTAACATTGAGTCTCGCATAGATGAAAGACCTTAAACCTACTTTTCTCTGTTCAAACTTAAAGCAACTTGGTGTGTTTCTATTAAAGTCGGCTCAAAGGATTCAAAATTAAAGGTCAATAATTCAAATGAAACAAAATAAAAAACCAAATGTTTATGTGGTAAAAAACAGTTGAAGATTCAAAAATATAAAACTTTCACAAATATTCTTACATACAATGTAGAAGCTTTTGCTCACAGCAGAACACTTTATCAAAAACGTTTCTTTCAGTACAAATTCCTATCAAGTAAATAACTTAATTTAAGCTAAAAAAATATGTAACTTCTAAAAACAGGTGCTTTAAAAGTCTTGACCTTTCAGAGAATAAATAAAAAAAAAAAAAAAAACCTTTTTTCTTACTGCGGCAAATTATAAGGCATCAATGCTACTGCGTTTGGGAGTCATTTTTCGATTTGCACTAGATACTTTCTGTACCAAGAGACAGGAAAATGGATGTTTAGGAGCACTACTTTGCACCTATTTTGAAATCGACAAAAGTAGGTTCTATGTTTCTTGAAATGAGTTTTCGATAAGCATATTCAACAGAAAGTCAAATGGTTTCCGATGTAAATTTAAAATTCTTGGCACAAATAACAAAATTAAGGACAGAATATCGCCAGGAAGGATATGGTTGTTTTGATTACAGGGCATAATTAAATTTGCGCTGAGCAAAAATCTGACGTTAAGGCTGTTTTCTAAGAAAAAAGGAATTTGAAATAGTAGAACATTTTTCACCGCTCGTTTTCCCTTTCCTGAAAATAGAAATAGGGGAGAGGGTGGACAGACGTCAAATCCTAGAGCGGGCTGGGTGCTGAATTTAGCGTGAGTTACCTCCTTCAGAACAAAAATCTGAACAAGTAGCAGCAAGAAGTGTGTCCAACGTAATGGACATACGTCGAAACCAGAGATTAGGAACCAGCTAAACAAGACAAAGAGGAGCATTTCGAGATCGACCAATTCCAGCTGCTCAAAAACTCGTTCATCTACGTCCTGGCCAAAAAACTGAATCAGTGTAGGTATACTGTGGTACAACATGATACTCGGTACTGGCATTCAGGAGTGCTTAAATGGCCACCTGATCAGTAAAAATGAAGGTTAAATTTGTCGCTTCACTTATCGCTTCACAAGTTCTTCTCTTTTGCTTCCCCTCGTTTTTTGCCATGTTGAAAATACTGAATTCAATTTAGGATCCTTCGCTGAGCTCCTTCAGCAACTTCGAAAGAGGATGCTTGAGAAACAGCTCTTTTGGATCGAGAGCAGAGCTCACAGGAGAGACATAACTCTGTAAAAGTGCCTCTCTGTCGCTCGTTATCAAACTCAACCAAAATGAAATGAGTGAAAAACGTAGCGAAAAAAACCGGGTTCTAGAATGATGATATGAAAGTTATGAGAAAATACTTTGATCACAAAATCGAGTACTTCTTCCTGAAGTTGTGAGATCGCTGCCCATCATGGGCAAGGGCTTGATGTCTGAGATTAAGTGGAGTCACCTGCAGCTTCTTCATCGCTATACTCCCAAATCTAAAATGAAAAAAAAGAAAAAATGAGTTTCAAGATTCTTTGTTGAACACTTCCCTTAAAGAGCCATTTACTATAAGATATACTTTCTTCTTAAAGTAATGACAGGTAGGAAAATTTTAACACTTGCTTAAGCTTTGGAGATACTCAGCCTCATCACAAATTTACTGGTATAAAAGTATTTTTGTTTCTGATTACATTAATCAGAATATAAGAATTAGTTACATCAAAAAATATTCCTCGTATCATCTTTTAGATAGAATTTTTGGCCAGTTGACAGAGGAATTAGTTGATGTAGGAGAGGGAATGATTTGTCATCTGTGGAAAGGATAACCGCAGAGCTGCCAAGCTAAGGAAAAACGCTGTATGAGCCTTCAGGCGTTGCCAAATTGCTCATTTTCAGGAAAATTTTTGAACATTTTTCTGCCAATTTCTTAGAGAATTTTGTTCGCAATTTGATCTGAAGTGTCCGAAAATTTCAAATCAATTAAGCTTGTCTGATGCGGTCATGTCAATAGGATGACAGAAGAGAGGCTGCCAAAAAAGATGCTTGATTGGGTTCTTCCTGGGAAGAGACGAAGGGGACGCCCAGTGAAAGGGTGACGACAGGAGGTTTTGGATGAGATGAGGAAATGGCAACTCCCTGATGACTTGTGGGAGGACCGAGTTTTGTGGCGGTGAGGCGTCGCAGAGTGCCAGAGAACGCTGTGAGAGCAACTTTTATTAATGTATGATGTATGTTATGTATGTATTACGACCAAGAAACAAAATGCGCTAACTTACATCTGCTTCCTCTGTTTTGCTGTGTAACTGTGTCAGACCAGTCAATTCTTCCAGATGCTTGGAATTTTTAAACACTTCTTGAAGAAAATCGTTGCCTCTTTTACGGTATTCTTGCAAGACCTTAAAAAAACCATACAAGAAGAGTTGAAGATTCGAGGAAAAAGAAAACAATGGGACAAAAAAATTCTAGATTCATAGATTGAATTCCTGCTAAGGAAATCTATCTATGTAGAGAACTCTTTGTAAATTAATGTCTTCCGCATACATTTAAGTATCTTATTGTAATGCTGTACTATGCACAATGGGAACCATAAAATTGTTTTGAAATAAGTTTTTAATCCAAGTGAGAGAGTGTCTCATTTTTTGTGATGGAAGAAACAGAACTGCTGTGTCCATGGAGTGTTCAATACAATCGAAAACACTACTAGTTGGACATGGTATATTGACAAAGATCACACCAGTTAAGTATAGTGTGGATGAGTTAAACAAGACCACGGCCAAGGTGTTATGTATTTTTAAATTTATTTTGCCACAGGCCTTGCAGGCATTACACCTATTATCATAGCTAAAAAACTACTGACTGAGGAAGGAGAAAAAGAGGAAGAATTAAACCATACTCAATAAGTAGAAAAGACTCCAAACTGAAAAATATACCTGCGACTTTTTTTTCAAACTTCCCTGTTCTCAGGAAACAACATCTCCTGGTTCGTTCATCCCATCTCACATGCCTCTCGCTCCCAAAAATTGTGAATTTGCTGCTCTTTAAATTTTAAAATACTCAAAAATATAAGATACTGTGAAAAGGCTGTCTTGAATGCATAATGCAAAACTAAGTACGTATGTTTAAAAGAAAGAAAAATATTCAAAATGTCCTTTTATCCCAACTGTTAAATGCACAAATAAAAGTTTCAATTGATAAAATTTTTGTCATTTGGATGCTCCAAGATTTGAGTAAATCGGACAGTTTCTTTGAAGGTTTCATTGCCAAGCTAATGCAGAGGATTAAAAGAAACTTACAAAAAAACTGTCAGTATAAGTATGGTACAAAAAACAATAAAAAATATCCGTCATTTTTGAAACTTTTTAAGTTCTCTTGAACTGAGTTTTAAGGTACTTCAATCCCCATATTTTGGGCACCTCAATTTGTTTTGAAAACCCAAAACATTTAAACTAACTACAAACAACGATACCCAATCATGTTGACAGGCAATATTATTTTGATGTCTTTCCACACAAAACTAACACAAAATATTCTCAATTTGCGCAGTTTCTGGACCAATGTGCCAATTAATGCAGAAATTATACCTTTTCCTCCTATCTTCTTCAACTTCTGCCATGCCAAGGAGGAATGCCGTATGAACATTCGAGTGTTCCCAAATTTCCTCTTCTAAAAAATCTATTTTTGGGGGAGAGTAATGAATCTTTCTCTTGGAATTTTCAGATAATTTAGATCCAATCGTGAATAAAATTTTCTAAAAAAATTCACAGATTTTCCTGAAAATTTATGAATTATCAAAGGAAATTTGGCGATGTCTGAAAGCTTATACAGCGTTAATTCTTAGCACAGTGGTAGGTAAATAGAATACTTTCTTTGAAAAAAAGAGATGAAAATGATCAAACGACTTACTGCTGGAGAACATGCTATACATTGTGAGAAAGCAGGGGTGGATGGCAGCATCTGTTGAAATTGAGCTAAGAATCCTCGAATGGAGTGAGGAACAAACCCTAAACAACAGTCTTCTTTACTGTCTGCACAGCCTCTAAAGTATAAAGAAGAAGAAATAATTAGCAAATTTAAAGTGGTTTTGCAAACAAGAAGTTACAGGACGAGGTGAGCTATCACTTGGCACTTATGACTTATTGATACTAATTATTTTTGTGTATATTTGCCGGTCAGGTTGGCTTAGTGATCAGCGCATCTGACTCTTAAGTGCCGTGAGTTGAGACTGCAATAGCAGTGATAAGCCATGATTTTTCACAATTCAACATTAAGGTGAATCCAGGTTTGGAACTTTGCGATTTGGCCACCACGTCGCGCTGCTCAGAATAGCTGCATATATTTGCCAAAATAATAAAAACCATAATACTTATTCAAGATTGGAGATCCAGGGGATATGGCAACATACGTGAGGAACACTCAGTAGAAAAATCTTCTCAAAATTCCCATAAATAAAGTCTTAACTACGGCGGAAAGTAATTCCCATTGCAGCAATGGGAGAGAGAGAGACAGAACATGAGGGATTCCGTTGCGCGCTCTGCCGCCGCCTCTGACCTGAAAGTTTCAGCCGTACTTTCTCTGCGCTTGTAATTCTGATTGCCAATATTTTTGGCTCAAAAAATCAAGCAAAAATTAATCTATATCTTGTGGATCTGCTTTTTGTAATTTGAGAAATATTATTTCAGTAATCGTCGAAGGAAAGTGAAATTCTCAGTGAGAACTGGTGGCGCTATCTCTAATCTAGAATTATCCCTAATCGAACCCTGGATTCATCTTAAATTGGTGCAGTGAGCCCAATCATCATCAATCTTTATAAACACACGAATCCAAAGAAATGGCATTAGAACAAATTGAATTAAATTTGGCTTAAATTAGGGATTTGCACTGACAACTAATCCTTTAAGCTAAGGGATATCCACTGATAACTCATGGTAACTGAGGGCTTGAAGCTCCTGATTCTCTCCAAGCAGGGATAAGATCAAATAATCAGATAAGTATTGGAAAAAAAAAACTTACTTTAAAGGGTGTTGTAAAAGCGAAACAAGTAACTCTACTGCTAAAGATGCTGCTATAGAGGAAACTCCAGGCCTTGTTACAGTACATTGTTGGTCTAAGGTGCGATCTACTTGAGACTGTGGGTAAGTTTTGGACAAAAATTATAAATATTAAAAAAAAGTTTCTATCGAGACACATATTGACATAACCTCTTGAAAGAGGAATTTGAAGAAGCTAGGAAAAGGGTTTAAATTATTTCTTGTTGCGTCTTCAGGCAAGAAAAGAAATAGTAAACTAAAAAAAAAGAAAATGAAATTGACAGCCTTTTCCGACTTGAGGGGGGAATATGTTTGGTGAGGACAACAAGACGAAGAGTCTGAAAAACTTGTAACAGAAAAACACAGAAGTCAGGGAGAGTCTATACTCAAAGTAAACAAGCACTGAGGTTTCAAACAAATTTTGCTTATTGTTAGTCATTGGTCTCCCTTTGAAAATTTGGCATAAACAGATCGATTACACTTAAAGGCACATTTCAGTTATTTTTTATCAAATAATCTATTAAACAAACCCTTAAATAAAGCTGAAAATATATGAACACAAAATGCGTATTGTGTTCAATTCCTCAAACCAAACGGTTCGTTTTCGTGTTTGCAAACCTCCTAATGAAATCACTTAGCTATTTCCAACTATTTTTGGCTATGCTAGGTTATTTTTGGCTATATTTATTCCTTTCTTTGAATTTCTTAGCATTTAATGGTTTACTGGGTAGTTGGCTCACTATGGATATTTAAACTCTTATTATGGCTGTGGCTGAAAAGCTTCAGTATGGATCATTTTTTATGTTATAAAGAATTCATGTATGTAACATGAGGCAAAATTTTTTGTTCTTAGTCAGAATGAGAGAATACAAAAAATAAATATTAACAAGTTTTAATTGTTGAGTACATATTAACTTACATTTCCTGGAGCAGTGATGTCATTGCAAAAATAGCAGCCTAATTTAGCGCCTCCCTCACCATCAGCTTCCAACGGTATGCCATGTCGTAAAACCAAGTATGAATCAAAACCTAATGCTGCGGTGATAGCAATCTGAAATTTTATAAGAACAGATCAAAGAATGAAGCTACTTTTACTCCCTTTCCTTCTTTCCCTTTCTTTCATTCTCCTCTTTCTTTGCTCTGATTCGGCTCAAAGGGGAGGGCATGCCATTGTGGCCCCCCTGGATCAGCCACTGGCCGCTGGTTTCGGTTAAAATCAACTAACTTCTGAGCTTAAGGCCTGAAATATAAGTCAACATTTCATACTTCCTAAACAGTTTTACAAAAAATGAGTATGAAATACTTAAAATCAGGTATGCCTGAGGATGCATGAAGATTTAATGAATGAACACAAAAAAGAAAGGGACTAATTGCTGATGGGTTAGTGACACCCATTTTTTTAAAATAAATTTTTGAAAGAACGCAAAGAACTGGGCTTCAAGGAATGGCAAAGAAACCCCGTTTTGAAAATGCAAAAAATGGGACGAGTTCGATATTTTTGTCGGGCATTGATGATGTAGCCAGGCAAGAGAAACGGTATTTGCTGATTAGCTGAACATACCTTTAGGCAGCGCCTTGCAACGGCAAATCAACTGTTGGCTTTTGATTGGAAGGATTGTGATTGGCTTTTTCTCCCCTTAGAAATGATTTTTTGAACTTGGATATGAACTTTCTGGTTTTTCCACGAAATTTTAAGTAAAATTAACAATACTACAACCCTGCAAAAGTTCCTTGCCACTGATCAATCATTAGTTTCTTTTTAAAAACTGAATTAGTTTCTTTCCAAGAACTGAAACTTAATAAAACTCCACACACCTCCAAGCACACCCAGTTTTAGTTATTTCCTAAGTGCATAGATGCAATATGCAAAACACAACTAAACTAAAAAGATAAGAGGGTTAAATCTGATGGCCACCATCCCACAAATCTTTCAGAACTCTAGTAAGGGTTGTTACGTGTTTGGCTTCCTTGCAAATACGTAGGCTCAAACCAATTTTGCCGTCGAGACAGGTGTTTGAAATACATATAATGATACCACTCACCTTTTTTTTACCAGCAGCAAGTAATGTAGGAAGCCAGCGACTTTCGCGAGAATCAGTCAGAAGAAACACTACATCGTGACTAGAAATCAAAGAATCAAGAACCTCTGCACTTTTTAGGTCACTTGTTGTGTGGTTGGGCATGGGTATACTGAGTTCAATTCCTTCTGATTCCTGTAAATTAAGAAGAATATATTAAAATAAATTAACAGTATGAAGATGGTTTGAGCAGGGAAGGATTTTTTCAGAGGATTAATTTTTGCATGAATAAATTAAAAGCTACAGGTACAAGAGTGAATTATCAACATTTCAAGAAAAATGAGAGAGAGACACCATTTGACTTTCTAGAAAAACCTTATTTAATGAGATCTTATTACTTTCCCATGAATATTGATTCATGAATTTTATTTACGTCTCTACGCATTAGCCGTCTTGGACATCTCTGCCCATTGTCAAGGGCCTAAAAGTTAAACAGCCGTTGTGCAGAGTAATGAAAAGATTCATGAAGCAATACATGAAAAAATTATAAGATTAAAATCATAATGAAAGCCAATAGTGGCCCCCGATAAGACCACCCGGGCCGGTGACGATGAGCAAAGCCTCGTGAGCGTTTTGAGTCCGAGCCTCGGGTATGGGTGGCAGAGAAGCGGAGAGGGGCTGAAAAGGACTGGAAGCGAAGAGTACGGGTAGGGGCGCACAATGGTCCGGCCGACGGGACCTCCGATCACGCATATGAAACGGCGCATAACTCCAAAACCGCACATGGAATCTCTTTCGGCCCGTGAGAGCTTTTGATCAAAATGACTAGCTGAGCAACAAATCGAAGTTTCATCAGATTTGACCAATAGGATTTCCCATAAAGATGGTGCGGGGTTCTCTCTCTCTGTGGCATACGCCAGAGACATTAATTACTTACATTTACGATGTTCAAACCGCGCAATGCACATGGAAGATTTTTAGGAGAGCTGATTTGATTTGACTTTTGACTCACCGATCCTGGATAGATCTCAACAAGTGCATTTGCAGCAGCCTTAGCTTTGAGCTCACCCTTGTCTGCACAGTGCTTGTGGAGGAATAGAGACTGCCGCACTGGATTTGAGTAAGAAACTCTTCCACTATCGACAAATGTTATTCGATGGATTCCCCATGCCTGGAATTGAAGAAACCATATGGGTGATTCATTTTCTTTAAAAACTTCAGGTACAAATTGAAAAACAGTCAAGAATCAAACATGCACTCAATGAAGAAACAGTTCAGACAGACTTGAAAAAATTGAAAGGGTAGATAAAGTACACTTCAGCACTTTTAAGAACTGCTTGCGCAAATTATTAAAACACTGTGCCCTAGGTGAGACATATTTTTACAATAATATATTTATTCAGGCAAATTTTTTTTAAAAAAATGAGTTTTGTTACTTGGAAAACTTTAAAACTATCTTTCAACATGTGCTCTTTTGGGCACAGGTATTAGCAGACAACTTCTTCCCTTTGTCCTCTTTTTTAACAGGCAGACTTCTTTTTTCTCCAAAATCTTACCTTCCCTGTTTTTAATGCTGCCCTCTTACGTTCCTCTCAGCAGATTCGGTCATGCTCTCTAACTGAGAAGATCATTCCAAACTCCATTGACTAATGTGTACATACATTCTTTTATTTGTTCACTAATTCTGTGGAGAGAGTTTGTCTTCCTCCATATAAATCCCAAGAATTGTAGTTATGATTTGTACTTTTAAAAGAGTGCAAGTTTCTTTAAGAGTGGAGATGAAGTTGAGAAAATTTTTCTCCAAGTCTAGAAGAATTCAAATTCATAAAAATCCCAAATTGCACCTGAAGACTTTTTAATTGATATTAGGTTGAGCAGAGCTAGCAAAGAGTAAACTCTTCACTTAATTCAAAATTGACAAAGTGATTAATTCGACTTGCCATCAAATTCCGGGCAACAGCACAACCTAAGGTACCAGCTCCGAGTAAGAGAACTTTGATAGATTTCAATACATCAAGATCCAAACTTGGTAACAGCCTCCACTTCATCAGCTTCAAATTCAAGCTAACAGCTCTTTCAGCCAGTCTATATGACATAAATGAAAAAAATTATAGTATTGAAAGAGTTGACACAACCTCACAACTCAACAAAAAAAAAAAACATTGTTGTTTGTGATGCTTGTAATTAGAAGGCTTTATAAATTAGTGGGTATGTTGATCAGGTAAAATCAAGGAGACGAGGCCCCCATTGGCAAAGAAGAAAGTTTCGCTTTATCACATAGCGTTGGTCATGTCAATGTGCGACTAACTTACCTCATAACTTTTCAAATTTGACGCAGTTAACTGGAGGAAAGTTGATTAACCCTTCAAAGCTCAATGGCAGCTTCGACTTCGATACAAAATATTATTTTTGGAAACTTACTTAAGTGTACCTTTGCTGACTTTTCATCCATGCTTTGATCAAAATTACATAGTACTAGTTATTTTATAGATTTCTCACATTGATCACGTTTAAAATGAACATATCTCTTTGAGTACTTCCAGTGTAATTTATCTGAAATTCACCAAAAACAGTTAAAATTATTGCCTTCAAGGCCTGCCATGGTCTCATCATTTGCAATAAATAAAAAGGTAAAAATGGTAATAAAATTCCTTACTTAGTGGGATCCATGATACCGCTTAGATCAACAAATTTTGGGCCATATTTCCCTCGGTTATTCTTTTCCCATCCAACGAAGCTGCTTGCACTATCATCAGTAATTTGAGGAGAGGATTCTGAAACAGAAGATTGGGTATGAATTATACAGAAAGAAAGGAGGAAACACATTTTTTCTTCCTAAAATTTCTAGGATTTTGAGTGGTAGGATGTTTGATTTTTAAAACCGTTTAACATCATGTCATTTAAGAGCCACATAAAATCAAATCGGCAATGGCCAATGGCATCAGATTAGAAAGAAAGAGGGTTAAATTACATGAAAAACAATGTGGAAATAATTTTATCCTTTCTCCTCTGTTGACATAATTATCATGATATAATGAGGCCTCTTCAGTTTTCAACAATGAGCTCTCTGACCGACTTAAATTTTATACTTTGTCACAGTTCGTTCTACCCCCCTACTGCGCTGATTTCCATGATTTTTGCGGCTTTGATCTTTGGAGCTTGAACACTTTACGAACCTTGAAGTTTGATTTGAAAGACCAAGCTATTGACGACTGAGTGAATATTGACCCCTCGTAATGCGATGACGTCAATCCCTTTCTCTAGAAGTGATGGACTGAAACAGAGGGTGAAAAATATTCATTGTAAGTCAGTGAAAGTTCTGAATTACATAATCTACAGCTCCTTATGTTTTTCTTGAACAAAAATTATTTCCCAAATTAAAGTAAAAAACTATTTTATGAAAACTATATGTGAAAGCAAGTCTGATGTAATTTTTGTGCTGATATTGACAGTTTCAAGAGTAATCAATTCCAAAGTTTACTCACATTTATTTCCTTACCCTCTAAATTATTTCTTTGAATCAGCATTCTTACATTAGACAGACTTTACATTTGGATTACAAATGATTTCATTACGCTGATACATGGTACTTTTATGTAAATTTTTAAAACTGTTATCCAACCAACAAGCATGCTTGCAATGCAATATTCCGCAGGAACACCTATCAGAAAATGGGAGGTGAACAATTTTTTTTGATCATATGATATCCTAAAATGATTGTCTAAAAAGGCCCAAACCGGTATAGATCTCTCGGCGTGACTCCAACTTAATATTCCAATGCAAACTGCCTGAGCTGAACACTCTCCCTCCTCAGTTGCGTATCATAACCAACCGTTGTGTACGCGTTGGTACGCATTAGAGATAAAAAAATTTAATTTTGACTCTAATTTTAATTTTTGGAATTTCTAGGCTTTGTTTTTCCAGCAAAATGGTGTGGACCCAGCACCATTTCTCCACCTTGTTACATACAGTTCAGGCCACTTCTTAGAGTTTTTTTCCCTTTGATTATCCATAGGGTTGGCTAGAATGAAAAAAATAAAATATACCTCAGATTGCAATGTTGTCAGTCTCTTCTTATGTTTTATTTTTATAAAGGAAAACTAACCGTTAATTTCAATTGAACTTCACTTATGCCAAAAAAATCACAAAATTGCAAGGAAGTACTTTGATTGGTTTCCCTTCAAAAAAGCAAAGCATACCTAATCGGAGATTCTTGAACATTGAAATTGGGACACAATTTTCTTGCAATTAGACGTTGATGAATAAGTAAAAGAAAAGAAAAATAACACACCAATAATGCTTGATGACTATTAACAGATTTCTTAGAGGCCAACCAGGACTTTCAGGATAGGAACTGGAGTCAACAAATCCTAAGTATAATTTGAAATCTTCATTATCTAGGACAGAAAGTGGAAACTTACAATCAGAGGCATCTTAAGATCAAATGGAAATTAGATTATATGAATCACGTCATTTGTATTTCTGCTATTTGACAAATGTTAATTGTAAACACTATACCTTGATTTGAAGTTGATTTCTGGACTTCTTGTTGTGTAATTCATTTTCCTCGTGAAATTTTGATGAGAAAACATTTTGCACAGTGCTTTAATTGATAGTGTGTCTAGAGGTTTGTTATGAAGCAAATACATGTGTACTCCTTGCAGGCATGGATGAGTGGTGGTACTGGCATAAATAGACTCTAATACTGAATTTGGGAGCTACTGTTTCAGCATTATCGCTGATTATTGGCATTAAATAAACCCAAATCCATGTAATGCCACTATTTCAAAGCATGACTAATAGTGAGATTCATTCCAGCTGCGTATTTTACAAATGTCCAGTCCACGAGAAGAATCAGCATGTCTACAGAGTATCTGATCAAAGTCTGAAGTATATCAACGATGTAAGTCGACAATCACATAACTTGGTTTACGACGTCACAGACTTCCTGTCATATTTTTTAAACAGAAAACTACTCAACGGCAATTCTTTAAAACTGCCGTGATTTTTCTTCTCTGTGTAAAGAAAATTCTGCATAAACTTCAAGGATTGATGTCAATTTTTTGTTCTCCTTTAAATAAATAACATGGAGGCGGAGATTTTCAGACACTGCAGACGAGTTATGTGATTGCCGACTTACACTGTCGACATGCATCTTAAAAATTAAAGAAAAAACACGAAGGAAAAGAATTTATTGATCAACTATCAGTATCCATCAATAAAATTTCATTGCAGTTTTTGAGCTTTTATTTGTGAGATATTTTATTTCAAAGTTAGATTAAATACTCCACAGACATGAATCCAATTTTTTGCGATTCAATTTAATTTAAGATCGCTTAAATGAAACTCAGAATTGGTAATAAATCGATTTCTGTACTACATTAACCGTGCCATGGATCATGGAACTCAGGTGAATTTCAAGAGAGATTGTGGTTACAAAAGGTATTTTCAGATAGCAGTGCCTTTTTTTTGCCTTCAGAAAAACCGTCCTGTGCAAAAGAGTTTAACTAAAAATGACCAAGAAGTATTTTGATTATTTGAAAAATAGCTCTCAATTTCTTCAGAAATACACAATCGTTTAATAACATATTTGCTCAATGAGACAGTTCTTGGTTTTGATAATCCGGGGAAAAAAGCAAGGTAAATTTGCCTTTCTAAGAGGCTATAAGATGTACTGGGCAGGAAACCTCAGGTGCCAAAAGAAATAAATTACTTACTTTTGGTGAGTTCTAGGTATTGCTTGAGAGTTATGACTTCAACACTATCTGTGTCATTGATTTTGACTCCAAAAAATCCTCTTTGTCTTTTCGGCAATACTGAGTGCCCGTTGACAAGACTGCGCATCTGGAGGAAAGAACAATAAATGAATATTATGTTGTGTTTCAGCAGAAAGTTGGAGAGACTCAAAAAAATATAAACTAGAGATGATATGAAGATCTAGGATATTCCATTTCTGAGCCTCAGGTTTTCTTGAACAGTTTCTACCTTTTTAGGACTGAAAATAGTTCTGGTTCATGACTTCTTTCCACTAATTCAGCTTGTTGCAGACGACTAGTTGTAGATGCTTGGCCAATTACAACAATCACCGGTACATGGAAGAATTAGAGGGAGAAAAATCAAAATCTGATGAATCCATAGCAGCAGAATTGTTTGGTATAATTATCCTGAGGAACTGATGAGGAGGCTTAAACGGTTTTTTTCATTATCCTCCCTTTTTCATACTACCCACTAAAAAGAAATGAAATGAATTATGCAAAAAAATAAAACGGTTTGAGATAACCTGCCCTTGTATTATACTGCTGTGCTGGGGAAAAACACTGAACGAACATCCAGATGTTGCCAAATTTCCCTTATGAGACATTCATTTTTTGGGGATATTAATGAAATTTTCCTTGAAATCCCGATTAAGTGCGAATGAAATTCTCATAGAAAGCATAAGAAAGTTTCCCTGCACATTTTTACCTTAAAAAAGGAAATTTGGAAACGCCTGAAGGCTCATATGGCATTCCTCCTTAGCATGGCAATAGAAAAAACAAGATGATGATAAATCCTAACGTGACATTATATCGATGGTCAAACTGGAGGAGCACATACCTCGGTTTGCGACGTTGCAGACTTCCTGTCATAATTTATCTATTAAATGTATCTTTAGTGGTCAACATCATTTATTAAAATCTTTCCTGATTTTTTTCTCTGTGTGAAAAATATTCACTGAAAATTTCAAGCAATATCGTTGGTTTGTTGTCCTCTGATGAAATAAATGGAAGAGGAGATTTTATGACGCAGCAAACAAGATAAACGTTCTGTTTCTGCAGTTTCACCGTTGATATAAGACTGGTAGTGAGCAGCAGATACACATTTTAAGATTCCTTTTTATGAGCAAATCGATGGTTGAAATTGAAAAAAGCGAAACTGAAACTGACTTGTGTGACTCCACTCATGTTTTATTTTTTTAAGTCGAATCCAACCAACAGTTTCTATAGAAATTTTCTGTAGTCATGGTAAAAAAATTTACATAAAATTGCAAAGAATCATTTCAAGCCGTTACATACAAAATCGAAGATTCTTAGGCAATGCAATTGAGACCTAAATTTTCTGCGCTTAGCCATCGAAAAGAACACGATGGAAGACTGATAATATAATGAAATTTAGTCTTAGAGAACTTCAAATATCTGAAGATTGTAACTTTTTATCTTCGAGTATACAATGAAATGAAAAGCTATGAGAAATAAGGCTAGGCTTACTTGTGAGTCTGAAAGTATTTCGGGCAGATTATCAGGTTTCCCATGATTTCTGTATGCAGGTAGAGCAGGGGAGGGAAATGCAAACCAATAGTAAAAATTGAACTTTTTCAAGTCCTGAAAACATCAAACAATGGAGCATAAAATTAATAATTTAGGTGAAATGTTTTATGGTTATTAATATTTAATTATGGTTATGGTAATTATTTTGATTAGGTGAAATTTTGCTGGTTTTATTTGATATCTAGAACAATAAAAAGTTGCAGCATGCAGAGGGGGGGGGGGGGAGTACAAAAACGTTCAAAATTTACTCTCTTGAGAACTTCTGAAGAAAAAAACAAAATTGTTAAAAATGATGAAAGTATTAATGGATAATTTTGTTTTAGTTATTCCGTTCTCACTTTTTTTATACGCTTGAGTAATTTTTTTTTTTTTTCTTATCAGAGTTCTAGGAACAGAGACAAGGGACCCTAGACCCTCCACTGGCCTCTTTGCGACAGGTGGAAGCTTTTACTTTCGGGGGTTCAACACTTCCTTATGGACAATTATTAGGGAGCAACAGTCATCACTCTTTTTGTGGCTGTTGACCTACCTACATGGTGGATGATGAGCTTTGGGTGACGTAATGAACCAAACAAGTTTCCCAAACTTTGGCTTGTTTGCAAAACGAAACTGCCAACACTTTGTTAAACATCAACCATGTAGATAAGTCAACAGTTGAATGTTGAAGTCCCGAAAGTAAAGGCTTCCACCGTAGCGGAGATACAAGTGGAAGATCTCATGTCTCTGTCTAGTAACCAGGTTTCATTTTCATTAAAATCTGATCTGGAAAACTTGAAGAGACAGGAAATCAAAATGACAGTTCAAGCTTTGGTCTACCAAGAGTAATGGTTTTCCCCTCATTTGAAGTCCTAACTCTTATTAAAAGTTTTATAAGGTTGTCTTTGAATAGACATGCCATCTTGTACAATGTTTCTGTGGGTGAAGCAAATGACAATACAGCTGCAGTAGGTGCAAGAGCGTATTTGATTTTTCCTTTGTATTATTGCTACGATTTACTTGCGTTCAACTTTTTTTATGTTGTATTTAGGGATAATTGGACCGCGTTAAACAGAAAGGAACCAAGCCACATCAGCTATTGCCGAATTTAATTGGGAAATTTAATTTTTTACATGAAAACGGTTGTGCAGATTTTCTTGCAAATTTCAGTGGGTTTTCGCCACAGTACGAAGCAAATTCCTCAAAATTTTCAAAGGAATCTACACGAACGTTCTCTTGTAAAAAATGAAATTGCCCAGTTAAATTTGGCAATAGTTGATGTGGCTTGGTTCCTTTCTGTTAAACGCGGTCCAATTCAACCTATTTCCGATGCATATTTTTCCTCTGACCTCCAAACATTTTAAAGCAAACAGTATTTTCCTTGCTTGCCCTGACCATGCACCAGTGCTATTAATGCATTCTCTTGAAATTACTAATATTGATGTCCAAAGTAAGAAACCTCGTATCTCCGTTTGCGACTTTCTGTCATACTTTATCTTTTCTTTGAAAAAGTAGTCAGTGTAATTTCTTGAAAACTTTGTTGATTTTTCCTCTCTATTAGCAGAATATTCTGCGTGATTTCAAACTACAAAGTTGGCTCGTTCTTCTTGGGCAAAACACAATAGGAGCAGAAATTTTGAGACACCCCTATGGAAAGTAGTGGTTTCCCATTTTGGCCATCAATACGTCACTCAATTCTTTCATCCATGATACTTGAGTTAAAAGTATAAATTCACTTACTGCAAAAGTCAAAACAAAAAAAGATGATAATAAGGATGGATTATCAAGCACAGCTCCAGAGTGAATATTCTTCAGTAATTCTTCACCATAGGTTTTCAGCAGTTCTTTTTTATCACAGGCCTTAAACGATTCAATTGTGTTTTTATTAAGGTAAACGCCACAAGCAATTTGCCTGTTTGATTCATTCTCTGGGTCCCTGAAAAATTAGAGCATACAATTATTCCTTTAAAACTTAAGATCATAATCTAGGCAGAGATGATGGGCATACTTTGGTAACATGGTAATCCTTCCGCAATAATTTGGTAAAAATTGTAGAAACTATTTTCGATATTTTGTCGAAAATTGCGAAAAGCTTTCGGCAATATCTTGGTAAAAAAATATAGAATTCGAAGTGACAAGAAAAAAAGAGTTTCCACAAATTCTGGGAGGCTCCCACATTTTCACTTGAATATTTTTTATATGATCGCGCTTCCATAGAATCAGCAAGGACTTCCACAATTTTAAGGGAAACTTTGGCTTGTTTCTACTCAAAAAATAATTTGGGACTGGACATTTTGAAACATCCCAATAGAGATATATGGTCACGTACTTTAGCCATTGACATGTTCACCTACTTGCCTCACAAACTGATTTACATCACAGCGAATAGAGGTTAGTAGATCAGTGATAATAGACTAGATATTAGCTAACAACATGCTTTATTCTGTGGTTCGGCTTTTGGCATATATGATGCTAGATGCTTTCTTGGGGTGCTGCTTGTAAAAGATGCTCTCTTGTGGCGCTACTTGTAAAAGATGTTTTGATGCCTGTGGAACTGAACGTACCATAGTTCATGGTTGATTCATCGATAAAAATCTTACTGAAACTGATTTCTCCTGAGAGACATGACCACTGCTCTCCACTAATAAGTCCTTGAGAATTCACTTCCACAAGGCCGCAAGTGATGTCCTGAGGACTGTCACCGCATCTTACCGAGTTGCTGATGTTTGCATTTGCGATTGACACAACTGCAAACATCGTTATCTACCACACCTATGCAAGCCCAAGTTGTGTGATTGCTGCGTTGCCATGCCTAGCGATATCTCCCAGTCTGAACGCTTCTAGGGAGGCCATCATTTCCAACTCATCTCAATTTCCATGAAATAATCTTAAGACATCATGCTGTGAAGTTTCCTATACTCACACATTGAAGGCACTGTAATCAACCGACAGTGAAAATGGTTGTACATCAGGAGATGAGTAATATCCCCAGACACTGCGAGGAACTTCTTGGAGCATATCAGTCTCCAGTTTAAGTTGCGCAGCTTTGTGCCAGAAACTTGGCTCGATACTGGAGACAAAAGGCGAAAACAGTAAGTTTGATGCCATTTCACTTCCAAAGAATCTGAAAAGGAATGAACCACCAATTAATTCTGCAAATAATTGATCGAACCGTAAACCGCAGAAATTGTGAAGAAATTTGTCACATTAATTTTGAAGAAAAGATGAGATAAACATGGACATAATAAAAAATGATGATAAGACGAAAGTTCACACTTGGAGGGGGTAGGGGTAAGTAGGGGTAGAGGGTTGTGTGATGGGAAGGGGGGTGGGGAGTGGGGACTGGTAGTAGTAAAGAGAAGGGGGAGTTTTATAAACAACATCGTATTCTGTTGCCAACAAGTGCAATATGTGCGTTGCAATAACAGTTACAAACTTTTGAAAATGTAATTCTGATGAATTTTAAAACTAATTGCCATCAGTTCATTTTTGTTATGATTTTTTTAAACAAAAATATTTAAATCATTTCAACATTTTCCTAAAAATTATTTGGCAATGAAAAGTTGATTACTGACCCGACATCACTGTTTGTTATGTTTCTGCACGGGCTTCCCTTGAAAAGTTAGTCCTTTGAGATACGTTTCGAAACGACAATTTTCTATCCTGAAAATACGAATTGAGACGAGAATGTGTGCGAAGTGCAGTTAGGTACCGTTTTTTTCCTATTTTCCTCCTCGAAACCTCCTGCGTCCGCGTCTAATGAAAGCAAAAACAGTGGGTCTTACTGGGTGTCTCATAGAGCTCGCTCATCGTATGTTGAGACAAACGTCAATCTCCGATTAGCTCCGAATTCGCACCGCTCAACAGGTTAATACATGTAGTCAGGTGGCACCACTGGTGAATGGTGACATAAACAATCCTTTGACATTTGTCTCAATTTTGTGATATCTCATGTTTCATTGTAAGTTCCAGATCAATCTCAAGAACCTAAGTAGCCTCTTGTAACAAGAATCTTTCTTGGAAGCACTGATATTCCCTCAAGCTCGTCAAAATCTTCTCATCAGTCACTTGTAGAATCGATCAACATAACCTCTCTTCATCATCATGCCGAAGATAGTCTCCCGCAGCATCGTGTGTTCTGATACCAAAGATCAAGAAGAATATAGTGAAGAAAAGCCACTGCACATATATTATTGTCTCTGCGGACAGATGACTTTAATTTTGGGTAAGTGTAAACTATCTTTACTTCTCATTTTGATCATCCAACCGGACTGCGTACCTAATCGCTTAGCGGTCCAGCTGAGTCGAGCATTGTTCAACTACTGATGGAGGACTAAGGACTCGCCAGCTGCCGTTGATGATCATAAGGAGTTCCAGGGACCGCTGAGTTGCTGGTTGTCTCATTACCAATTTCCTCTTTTTGATCGGCAAATCTATCAGTTTCCATTTATGAGAACAGTTACCTCAGATCATTCGTTTCTTCTCATTATTGTTAGGTTCGAAGTTAGGCTTTTTACAAATCATCAGTAGATTGCACAGAAGCCTTTATCTGTCAGCACTGGTTACTTGATGGGAGTGATTGGAGATACCATCAACGATGCTCTGATTCAAGATGGTAACTGAATATTGATGCTATAATTATTTTGTAACATCATCATAAAATTTATAGCATTGCATCTAGCCGAAAATAACATCGCATCTATCATCCCTCTCTACAAATATTAGTCGCTTACAGGAGGGTCTTGCTATTTTAAATATGTCTATTTTTGTAATAATAAATAATGAAATAAATAGTACCACCTTCACAGCTCCTCTAATGTGTTGTGGTCAGAAAATTGGACGACATTCCACTCTCCTATATATTTCTAGTATTTTGAATTTCTAAAATTTGATAATTCTTTTACAGATTGTGCAATAGAAAAACTGCCGCTGCGGAAGAAGGATGGTGCCAGAGTTATTGATGGCAGTAAGCATGCCCACAAAATCACCTGTGACCAAGAAGAAGCTGTTTATTTGAAGAGGCCAGAAGGAGTAGAAAAGCAGTATCGAAGAAAATGCAAGAAGTAAATATTTTTTAAAAATTTTGTTTTCTCGCTAGCTACCTACTCTTCTATATATCTAGTTCAAAGACGAAGCAAAAATTAAAGAAGTATGCGTTCATTCACGACACATTAAAACCATTAAAATCTTGAGGCGATAACCCGCTAAAATTAAGCCATCTTGCATTGAAAGATTTATAAGTGTCCTTGCCCATTGCCTGTGAATTATTATTAAACTAGGTTGGTTTTTTAGGCAATTTAGTTTTTGGTTTTTTTTTTTTTTTTTTTTTTTTTAAATAAAAAGTGGGGTTTTAAATTTTGTGAATGAAGAACTAAACAATTGGGAACAAAAGGGTACTTATTATGGGAAGGCTAGTTCGGAAATTGAGAAGGCTTTAACTTTCTGTGCCTATGCCCCCTCCCCCATCTTCTTTGAATCATGTATTATTTATTATTCTGTCACGTATCTTGTTTAAGATGCGGTCTATTGCTGTACTACTACTTTGATCCGAAGAGTAACATCAACTTCATCGTGAAGGGGGCTATTGTGAAGAGCTCCGGTGAGGGCCCCAAGATGGACATCTACAATCAGGTGGCAGTTGAACAACCCAAGAAAATCATGGTTACCAAACATACCAAGAACATGGGCAAATTCAGTTCGGTCACTGTATCGACTATTGATGAAGAGGAGGATGAAATTGAAGCTGTGAGTATTTTTCCTAACACTGATTTTCTTTTTAGTCTCAATGTCTCCAGACTCCTAGTACCTGACGCTTCCAAGTCTGGAATCTCATGTGCCAAGTCTTTGGATTATCATACTCTCATTTACTTAATACTCAGACAAAAGTTCTGGTCACTGTCCACTCAGCAGTTAAAAAAACTTCAAATGATAAGAATGATTCAAAATTTCCTATAATGCTTCAAATCTGTTTAGGAAGATGTATGGTTTCCAACGTTTCTTGACGTTTTCAATTTTGACCCGCTATGCTGTGTTTTCTGAAGCTTTAAAATTTGTTTTTTTTTTAAGTATGTACATCACAAGGACTACAGCAAACTTTCAAAAACAGAAAAAATGAGTCCTTAACAGAGATTTTTTGATCATTTGTTTTTGTTTCTATTTTCAGCGGGAAATAGCAGACTCTTATGCAAACAATGCTCGAATCATTGAGAAACAATTGGAGCGAAAAGGTATGAACAAGCGAAAGCAAGTTGAGCAGCAGACCCAAGCAGAAATTGATGCCAAACGGAATCGAGTCCGCGGGACTCTTATTGATAAGTGAAACCTCCTTAAAATTTGATTTGAAAGAAGATCCCTTTGTGATTTGGTGTGAGAGCTAATATGATGACGGTATCTTCAACGTTTTCAGTACTTTTCACACTTAAATTGGTATGCTTTCGCTAAATAGCAGAAACCTTCAAGGCACTATAAGTGGGGGCCTGCGAAAGCATTCTGAAAACAGAGGAAGTCTCAAAGATCCCTCACCTTAAGAATTCCTAATATGTCACAATGAGAACCATTTTCTCAGATACTCGCTCAGAACACTAAAGTTGTGTTGCGCTGTATCAAAATTTGTGTTATGTTAATCCTTTTCAAGAGTTCTACTTTTCCAACGGTACCTTCACAAGGACATAAAATGGTTATAATTATCAGAAGCCATCAGGATCATAGAATAGTCGTGGGTCCACACTATTTGGTGGGGAATTCCTGGGAAATCGTCACCCAAAATGAGGCTTGATATTATTTATAAATCCATTTTCCGATTAGTCCTCAATATCTTAAAATCCTTAATAGCTGATCTGTGTTGTGAAAATTTCGCATAAAGTGTCATTACTGTGCTCAATAGTTTTCAAATTGTTGAGTTTATTTTGCAACCTTTATTACCAACATAAGGAAGAAAATAAAATATTATGTTTTATAGAAAATAGTCCAATTTTTATTTGCAGTTGTTGTGATCCCGTCTAAGTCTAGAATATAATGATATTATTTGAAATAGGTAAAGGATTAGGTATTAAAACTGGTCAAACCATGAAAACAGGTATCTCAACTACGTTGTTTCCAAATTATTTTCGGTGGCATTATGATTTATAAATGGCATCAACAGCATACATAAGGGTTGAGGGGGACAGGGGGGGCTCCAAACCCAAGAACCAAGACCAGAACTTCGACTAAAAGTGTCTCGGCGTCGCCCAGATCCAAAACCCAACTAACTGCCAAAAACCTCTCCGGTGTGGTGGTCGCACTCTCAACTGGAAAACTGTGATGCCCGAGCGGCCCATTTTCAGCCTCCCTCTGGCTTACGGTTTGTTGCCCGAGCATACCACCTGCGATAAATAGAGCTTTCCACCAAGGTCCATTGAAGGGTGTTTTGTTGGAGGCTTCCAGAATCTTTCGCTGAAAGATCCTGGAAACCTCCACAATTGTTTTGAAAAGGTCTAAGGTACAGGTAACAGGGCGATACTGACTTTAACACAACTGAAAGTAAAGAAATAACTTACAAGAATTTATCACAGCATTTTGGAAAACGATTTACTTGCTAAATTTACATATATTGGTCAATAATGCACTAGGTAATTATTTTTATTTAACTTACATATATTAAAATGAATTCACCTTAGAACTTTTCCATCCATTTCACACAGGAGAAAATTAGAGACTAGTGAACTGCATAATTATATCAACTTCAATTCCTCAATGGGGGACTAGTAGGTAATACTTCAGAAAAGAATACCAGGGCCACTGGAGAGCTGTAGCAACATTTGGAGGACTTTCCAACTTGGGAGAGGTGGGTGAGAGATCCACTGAATAGCAAGGCAGCAATCTGAAATATTTTCAACACATCAATTATTACTCAAACGTTTTCCCTGGATCGTAGATGTCATCATAACTGTGACTAATTTACCTTGAAGGTAACCATATACAATGATGGTGCTTAAGTATGAAAAGGCATGCGGAGAAGTGTTAATTTTTGTGTATTTTCCAAACAATATGCAATATTTTGGTTTTTTCCTTTTGGTTAAATTATATTAAATAATATTTATGCTACATTTTTTCTTCCTGTCATGCTTCATAAGTTGTAGAACAATTTTAATGATTTCATACTCACATCATGGCAACATCACAGTGATCAAAAGTCACAGCGATATCATTATGCTATATGAAATACAGAGTCTCAAGGATCGTCATAATGAACGTCTTTGAGACAATGTGTTTCATGAAGCATAGTGATGTTGCTATGACTAAAAAGTCATTATGTTCCACTTTTACCAGGGTTGCGACACAAAGTGTGCAAAAAACTTGCATTTAATTTATGAATAAGGTAATAAGGAAAAAAACCTGTTTCTAACCTTGAGTTTATCATCGAGTTGACAGGAAAAATAATAATTTGGAATTATGATTTGAAAAATCAAAGTACACATCTTCTAAGCTTCAAAAGTTCATGACATTCTTGGTGATATAAATTACAGCTTGAAATTTTGATCCGACGGCCTGGAGAGTACCTATTGGAAAGTGTTAGGTAGAAAACCCAAAGTAGAATTTTCCAACCTTAGATCAATTTATCTCGGCACCAAAAAATTTTGGTTGCCACTTTGAGGGACTGATTCCATCACATGTTATGAGAGGATATTTGTTTTAGTTTGGAGTCATTAAAAAAGAGAAGGAGCAAGGTACACTCTACTACAGGTATGGACAAACGGGGTGCCCAAGTGGCAGCGCTGAGAACATAGGCGATCGAGTGACGTATGAAGTCGTACCGTCCATTTGCCGCGCAGGTTTTCGCAGTCGGACTCTCGATGCTGTCAAATCTACGCATTTTGACGACTTTCTAAAATTCCATTTGTCCATACCTGTAGTAGAGTGTATCTTGGAGAAGGAGTTTAAGTTCGAGGCTGGCTTACCAGACATCATTTACGATGGTTCTGGTTTTTCGAGCACTGACTCAGGCATTTTATCATAGCATTTTGATAATTTTGCTTTGCTGAAATCCATGCCAGGATTCTGGAACATACAAAGAAACAAATCATAACTAAAGCGAGATTTTTTGTGAGCCATAGAGATTAAAGTTTTTGCAAAGAGTGAAAAATATTCCCAAGTTCAGACTATGATCTCAGTATTTATAGAATATTCAATCTTTCCATCATGAACTTATAGAAATTCCAAATCAGGCAGTGATTATTTAAAATGTACAATTTCTATTTTGCATTAGAAGAAAAAAAAGAAAAAAAATACCAATTATAAAACATGAAGCCTGCTTATTTAATATTTCTCTCTCTTTCAACAATATCTTTGAAAGACTAAAAAAATAAAAAGTAGAATAAAAGTATCACTCATTCATATGTCAATTTCCAAATGTAATGTAACAGCAGAAAGTAAAAGTGTACGAAACTTGTATTTTCCAAAATAGAAGATATAGATTAAATAGGGACAAGAGTAATTACTTTAGGGGTGAAAGGGTCCATTTCCGCTTTATGATTCATTGGGCATTATCCTTAAAGAATAATGTATTTTTAAATTCAAAAGCAAAAACATGAGTATGTGGGTAAATTAGTGAAACCAAAAAACTGACTAGAGACATGACCGGCATGAATTAATTTGGGACATTAACATTCTGTTAGGATGGAAGGAGTCCTATTTCAGGCATACCTGTTATGCTTTATAGTCAATGGTGAGAAACAAACAGATAAAAATGGGGTAGGGATAGTATGAAAAAAGGCAACAATAAAATCAAACTTGGAATAAAACATCCTTGCATTTCGGAAAAAAGGTTAGAAATTCATCTGTTTCAAAATAAGTGCAAGAAAAAAGAATAAGAAATTACAATTAGCCATTTTTCTAATAGTAGGTGCAAATTGAAGGTAGCACTAAAACGACAGAAAAATTAAATGTAATTTTACGTAGATTTTGTAAGGATTGAGAGTATCCAAGGGGCTGATGGCTACAGTTAAGGCTATTTCACTCGAACTAGGAACTAAAATCAAAAGTACCAAAACATTAGAGATAGAATACATCAAAGTGGGAATATTGAAATCCTTCCTAACTCATGACATCTCAAGGCTCCTCTAATAAAAAATTGAAGAAACTGCTGTTGATTCTGCCATGGGAACGGATCCAAAAAACTTCCAAGTATGTAATTACATCCCTCTTGTTCATACCTGCTGTACAAAAAGGTGTGAAAAAATTTTCCTTCCTCATCAGCCCAGAATCCTGGAGTTCACTTTTGAATCTTTCCCTCATTTGCGGGGAATTTTGCAACAAGGTACAAAGTATACAACCAAAAATCTGTCAATATTTCTGTGCACTCAAACCTTGCAGAAAGATCAAAAGTACACTCTGACTAAACATCGACCAATGTTTCAGAATGTGCAACTGAAAATCAAGATATTTCAATATGCTTCAGATGTGCAAGGAGATAGGTAGATAGTTCTTGTGTGCAGACTGTGAAGTTACGAGTGCATTAAAGACTTTGCTGATGTGCTCATCGTGATTTTTGAGACATTTTCTTTAAGGGAAAACTCTAATTTTTGCTTTAGCAGAAGTTTGCAAAAAGTCCATTATAAGATAAAATAAGTTCAACCATAATAGTCGTGAGCCTGTGATTAACTCCACAATTATCTGAATATTGACCAAAATAAACTCCTGAATGATTGGCTATAAAATGTAACTAATTCTACCGGCCAGGAATAGAATCTAAAAATCTACTACGTAGCTGTTTAGACAAAAATTAATTGAACATTACTGACCTCGATTTGGAATTTTTCAAGATCTAGTTTCTTCCGCATTTCATGGAAAGTGAGTGCATCTGGAGCGTATGTTCCATCTTCCATAAGAGAACTCCAAATTATATCTTTGGCAGCATAGTCAGCTTTTGGAAGCACTATATTCAATAATCGGCCACCATCCTCAATGGTCCAAATTGCTTCATCAGCATGGATTATACTGAATAAAGTTCCCTGAAACAAATATGACATCATATGCAACAAACAATAATACATAGAAATAATAAACAAGGGTGCGACTCAGTCAATGGTCTCCCTGAAAATAACATTACAATAAAAACCTATGCTGAAGCAATGCCTCAACTTCCAAAGAAAGACTTGTCTGCAGATCTGACACAGTATGACGGCGTAAGTCCGCAATCACATCTCGTTTGAGATGTCTGAAAATCTTCTCCTCTATGTTATTTTTTAAAAGGAGAACAGATTGACAACATTCTTTGAAGTTTTAGCAGAATTTTCATCGCACAGAGGAGAAAAATCATGATAGTTTTAAAGAATTGCCGTTGAGTAGTTTTCCGTTAAAAAAATAAAGTATGACAGGAAGTCTGCGACGTCGCAAACCGAGTTATGTGATTGCCAACTTACACCATCGAGAAGTAGTATGACGTCTTAAGAAAAAATTTGAGTAAAAATGCTGAATAATTAACACTTTAGCTCCAATTAAAGTGGATCTGGTACAAGGAAAGTTTGATTTTTGGGGCTAACAGTGCTAAGAAGGTCGTTCAGATCATCAAGTAAAATAATAACAAACTTCACCTAGACTGGAATCTCTTTATTCAAAGAGCATTTTCCATTATGTTAGATTATTTTAAAAATAAAAAGTGTCTGCAATTTTTCAAACACTTTAGTATCTGCATTTTGGTACCAACTGGAGGCATCAAGGAAAAAGGTTGCATTTCCGGTAAGATCCGTGCAAAGATTTAACACACCTGGAAAATGCGAACGGATGAGACAACACAATCAATTTTCTTTGGAGCAATTTTTAAGGAGACATCCCTCGACTTTTTGGGTTGGTCTGGAGGAAATCTGACCTCAATGTGAATTTCATCAACCGTTTGCCACCAGCAACCCCAATCTGTGTTACAAGGTACGATACCACTTTTTTCAGCAAAATGACTGAGAGCCATTACAAACTTGGATGAATTTGTCAGAGGGAGAAGACTATGATTAAAAACACTGGCAGGCGAGAGAAAAACTATTAACAAACACACTTGGAAACACAATTTTCTGGAAAAAATTAAAACTTCAGGTACAGTTTTTGTTTACATAAGCATAACCTAATTTCAAAATCATGTATCAACAATCATCTAAATTCGCACATCGATGACCCTATTCCCCGAACTCTCATTATCAAAATAAAATTGCGTCCATCTTTCGTATACGTTACACAGCACAGCAGCTGCAATTCTCTCTTTAATTTGAAATTCTTCTCTTTCATATATCCTCAGTCTCACATTTTTGATTTTTAAGTTACGTTAAATTATTTAGCATCATGATTATTGAAGAACCTGAAGTTTTCAAAGCTTGGTTGATCGATAAGCTGAAAGTTCTGTAAGTACTCGTTTCCTTGGTTTATCGTATAATAATTTTGAATCTTTCTTTGCAACATCTATCTAAGTACATTCTTTATCAGCTGCTGAAATTTTAATGCTGTCAAAATTCGGTATCATGTCAAAGTAGAGATTGCTCTTCTGTCACGTTAAAACAAGGCCCTCTTATCTTTCTACAGCTTCCAGGGGGTTGTCCAGCTGCAAGCTAGGTTAGGGTCAAATTCAAAGTAGGACAGTAAAAGTATTCTCACCAATCAGAATCGAAACTCTTCTCTTAAAACCATATCTGAAGTAATGAAACTCCTCAAGCTATCTCAGATTTGATCCTTACGTAATTTCAACAATTTACAATGTCTAAAACAGGCAGAGAATGGGAGCGCACATGAAGAAAAAGTGCAACACCAGTGGGGGGTCAGTAACTCTCTTTACCTCAAAATGGAAATTCTATAGGTCAATCTAGAGTTTATGATGAACCTAAAGTGAAAAGGGTTTCAGAGGGTTAAGTGGCACTTCATTTGAGTAGGAGTCGAAATAATCGTGATTGAACATGTGCATTTTTTTTTTGTGCCACAGCATGGCGAAAGTAATACGAGTCGTCTCTCTTTACCGTTAGATACTCATCAAATTTTATGAGATGCACATGGGTTGAATTTGTAATTGCACAGTACCTACTCCTTCCCCAATAGTTGATTTTGCTTTAGGCACTCGACACAATTCCAGAAATGGCTGGCTTGGCAGGCTCAACTTAGTTGGATTCCTATTCCTCAAACAAAAGGCACCAATGCTTGTCCCTGATCTAGCTTTCCTCTCGTTTCACCTTTGATTGTCCAACCGTATCATCCACTTGATAGGAAGCAATAAGCTTATAAGTAAGCATTTGTAGGTACGCAGAAAGAGGGGGCTCAAGTTTATACTGTGTGAGCGAAGGTGCATAAGTTAATGGGGCATGAAAGGTAATGAGGAGCAATCTCATTCTGACTGACGTTTTCACATTTAGAACTAGAAGCTGGAAGCCGTTGGCCAGGATGTCCAAAAGTCTGGAATTTCTGGAAAGTCCGGAAATAGTACTTTTTTTAAGGGCGGTCCAGAAGTACTGAAAAAGTACGGAAATTCACAGAAGGTCACAAAAAGGTCCAGAATTTTTTTTAATTTTCTGTCATTTTTGTCGCAATTTCAAATTTTTGAAATTTTTCAACTTTCGTCAAATGGAGGTACTGAAAAAGTATGGAATTTTCCTGTTGGAGGAGGTACTAAATTTCTTGATAAGGTACTGAGAAAGTACTGTAAAAGTACTTATTTTTGATCAGCCTGTTTTAGTAGACACCCTGTTGGCATCAAATGCCTTGTCTTTTTAAATTTTCTTTTTCTTCCTTTCAGGTGTGATGCGGAACCTGAAGCTCTTGCCAAGTATGTATACGCTCTAGCTAAAAAGGATAAGCCGCTAGCAGAATTAAAAGAAACAATGATTCAGCAATTAGAAGTGTTTTTAAATGAGAGTAAGTAGTTTTTTCTCGTGTTTACGTAGATTACATTTTGCAATGAAGAATTACTCTCTCTGGATAATCCAGAAGAGCATCATTCTGCATTAAGAAATTCATAGAATTTGTTCGGATGACCCAGTGATAGTAGTTCCTTATTGGGAAATGTGATCCGTTCCATATCCAATTAACCTTCATTTACAGCTGTTTTAGCATATATGTAGGAAGTTAGAAACTAAACGTCTCTCTTCCAAGGTGTATTAAATGCTTCCCTTCAAATATTAGTGGTAGTTGATAGTAATATTTCCAAATTTTCTCGTCTCAGCAATTAGAAAGAATATCTGAATGTGTTGACCACCTCATAGTGCAATAATTGTAGTACTTTAGGATGGGGGTGCAGAAAGTTTTACACTGCACAACCAGCAGATCGCAGAAATGGGTTGAAAAAACAGGAAGGCTGTGAAAAGGGGTTTTGAAAATTATATGCAAACAAAATTCATAGATCCTGAATTCTGTGTTCTTCCGACATTCATTGTTTTATGATCTTAAATTTTAAAAAATCCTCAAAATATGGAAAGCAGTACGACAAAAGAAAAAAATCACCCTTGAACAATCTTATGAGCTTCATTAATAATCAGTGAAAATACCTTTTAGCAGCATGATAGCTTTAAATTTTCACAACAAAGATGTTCTCTGTCATCGACACTAAATTACCCTATATACTAGCCTCATGGAGTGTTAATTGTAGATGTGAGACTGCTTTTCTTTTTATAAAAGTTTCCTTAATTTAGATCCGTCAAGAAAATCTAGGCATGAAATCTGAAAAATGGTATCCCTACCTCTTTGCTTGATTCAATGATTTTGCTTACACATGCACTAACAAAAAATTGCTCCTCTCATTATTTTAGCCACAGCAAATTTTGTCACCGTTCTCATCAATACAATCAGCGACAAAACGTACCTTACCTCTTCAACTCCTGCTGAAGAAAAGCCAGCACCGAATGCTGAGACAGCTGAGGTCGTGAAAACAGAGCAGACAGAAGCCAAAGCTGATTTGAAAACTGATGTAAAAACTGAGAGCAGACTTCCATCAGCTGTTGTTGAGAAATCCAGTTCGGTAAGTTTTGTGTTTCTGTGCAATTCATCGACAAGTTATCGTTTATCTGCGAGTCCATCTGCTTCCTATCAGGCCTGTGAAAAAACTTGATCTCCTTGAAATTGTATGAAAGGGAAAAGTAATGGGTATTTCAGTGCAATGGAAACTTAACGATTGTGATACAATTTATTGGATACTTGTGCTTATGATACAATGAAAAATACAAACCCCGTCAAGTATTGTTGTAAACCCTCCGCCAAGCACTCACCAAAAACTCACAAGGGTCATTCCATATAGAACCTACCAGCCATGCAACCGGCCCGCTTCGGATTTTGCTGATAAATTTTTCTCTTGATCAGACCACCAAATAATGAACTTCTGCAATATATTAGGTCTCAAATCGAAAAACTAACTTGAATTTTTGAAGCTTTAAGAATTTTCATGAAACGGATGTTTTAAACTTCCAAAAAAAATCGGGATAAAAAATGTTTTGCATCTTAGAAGTTACAAGCATTTGTAGGTAATAAAATTTTGCCCCAAAAATCAGGCAAAATTTTCAGAAACATTCAAGCGTATCCCGTTAATGAAAGCAGTTGAATATTTTTAGTATTTTTTATCTCAAACATACATACTTTTATTGACATCATGCCAAATTTTCACTTCAATCCAACGAAAAATGGGCCGAGGGTGAATTTTTTGGGGAGAATGACCCTCTCTTTCTTGGAGGTTCAAAGCGTTCAATTCTTAAAAATGTATATCTAAGTAAGTTTTTCGATTTGAGACCTATTATTTTGCAGTTCATTAGTCAGTGGTCTGATCAAGGAAAAAATGTATCAATAAAATCTGAGTCGGGCAGTTGCATGGCTGGTAGGCTCTAAAACGGAATGACCCACTTAAGGAAACTGTCTCTCCCCGTCTTACCTAGTGCTTCTACCTATGATAAAAATACGCCTGGTAAATCAAGAGAAGCACATGAATTCCAGACCCTAGCCTGGCTTAAAATATTTTAAATGGAATTTGTTCAATTTTTTCAAGGTGAGTAAAGTAATCAACTTTTTTTTTATTTTCTCTCAGGATACAAGTAGCAAGTTGAAACGTAAGCACTCGTTCAGTCCAGAGCACAAGACCAAGTATTCACGGACAAAACGGCGCTCTTCCTCAAGTTCTGGCTCCAAATCTAGATCGAGGTCAAGGAGTAAATCAAAATCCAGGTCAAGATCGCGATCTCGCTCACGCTCCTGGTCCTATGAACACCGCCATAGTTACCGAAGGAATAGAAGTTACCGCAACTGGTCTCCCGAGCATCCGAAAAGAACCAGAACCATCAGGAAGTAAGTGATTTTTAGGCACACTATAGTGATGGATTTTAAAATTGTTGACTCTTCCCATAAATGTATCTCCATTTGGTAGTCACTGTCCTAAAAGGAACTCCCTAAATTGAGTATTTTTGTTTTATGAATGAAGATCAAAACTTGTTTGTACGGAGGCTAGGTTTTGGTAGTTCTGTACTGAAAGCTTGAGTATTGGTAAGGCCACTATTAGCTCAAATGGAAGTATAGGAGAGAGCTAGAGGCCTTTTGGAGTTGTCTGCTGCATTCAAAATTGATCATACTTTGATCTTTGTCTGACCCGAGTTTCAACCTCAATTCATCATAACTTTTTGTTTCTCTAAAATCAACAACCGCTCGTTAGATGTTATTTTATTTATTTATTTATTTATTAAAACTTTGTACAAGATGTGAAATGAGATGGACAATCCAAATAACTGGGTTTGGGTTCTGATCAAACTTTGCGATCTTTGTGCTTCTTTGTTTCAAAATAATCCTAATTTCAAAAACGAAGAATGCACCAAAATCAACTTTGGGATCTTACCAACTTAGGAAACTTATCAGTCTTAGGATTATCGCTCCAATAACTTGAAAGTCTTCAATATTGAACGATTTTTAGTGAATATTGGGCCTTGATATCTTTTTTTTTGTTTGAAAGATATCAAAGTTGGTAGGTTTTGACTTTCACCCCTTCCAGCGCTCGCTCAGAATATTTTGGGGGTCTAAAAATTTGGGAAAAGAAGCACTCATGTAAGATGGTTCAATGGAAAAAGTTTGGAGAAGAGGGGGAGAGGAATCGCGTTTTTGCAACAAGCTCTTTGCCCACTTGTTGAGTACCTATTTTCATTAATTTTAATGTGTTTTCCAAAGAATTGCCTTCTCCCATGGTGTCAGGACCCGGACATGAGACCATTTTTTGTTTGTTTTATTTTTCTTTAAGAAAGAAATCCACTAATTAATTTTTATCTTTCTTTTAGATCCCCACCTAATCACTCCAAATCGCCTATAGACTACAAGAAAGGGAGCTGGCATACCTTAGCTGATTGGGAAAAACCAGTCTCACCTGGAGGTAATGTAGTCCTCGGTATTATTGCTTTTTTATTTTTGCTGAATTACTATTTGGTTTCGTTTTATGTTAACCTTCTTAGATAGAAAAAAATATAGTAATAAAATGACAAGAGAGATGATTAAAATGCTGAAGTTTACTCATTATAACCGGAGAATCCGTGCTTTTATGTGTTAATGAATACTTATAATTCCAGAAAACAGGAAAATTCAGGAGGATCAACAAAAAAATGTCAGGATAAATAGAAAATCACATTTTTCATTGAGTGGACTGTACTGTTTTTCTCTCTCTCATTATTTCCTTATTCTATGAGTTTTCAAGATGTCACTTTACACTAATATCATAACATACCACATCATTGAATGATACAGTGTGATTAAATGGAGATATAAATCTTAGCCCCTTTTTTTGGAGAGAGGACTAACTGGCCATGCCATCTGGACCAATTGAAATGTGTCTTGCCAGATGTTTTTTGTCAATGCCCCACAATAAAGGTCAGTCCTTTCAGCGTAAGGCGTTACAATTGAGGTACTAGATTAGAAGGGTACTTCTTGGTTGCAGTGCTTCAGAATCTTTGTTGCTAATTTATGTCTTTGAAAACAATCTAATAGGTGATTTTTCCGGAAATTTTTCCCCAGAATATTGTAGAACCAAAGTGATTATCCAGTAAAATTTACAGTGAAATGCATTCATTCTTTTCCCTCATGATGAATGAAATATTGACGGGATTCTGAAATACCGCATCAAAGAAGTGCCCTTCTCGCACCCAGCACCCTAATTGTACCTTGACCAATTCTAAAAGAATCAATCTAACTGCATCTGGTGATATTCACTATTTCCTGATAGATCAACATTCCAATTCACATTTTTTCAGTGTATTTGTTATTATAATAATACTCGCTTTTTCTTAGTATACACGTATTCGTTATTATATGAGGAAACTTTGCAGGAAGTTTCAAGCTTATGCGTTTTTTAATATTTTGATGAAAATATTACAAATGGGAGGAAATAAAGTAGCATAAAGTGGATGTAGACTGATTCCGGTTAATGCCACTTACCGTCATTTTGTTAGCACTCTTCTAACTTCTTACTAATTTTTCATTGCTTTCAGGAACCATAATCCAGCGAAATTTGAACCACCCACCACCGAGGTTCAATGGCCCACCTCCTAATATCTACGCCAAAAAGTGTGCAGATTTTGAAGGTAAACTCTCAGGGATATCTTTTACTCATTTTATTTCCTCTAGCAAAATCTCCTCGTGTCTCTGAGAGGCTTCACTCAGTGAGAGTTAGTGTGTGGTTTTTCAGGTGGAAGGAGTAGTCAAGGATCAGAAGAATGTCTATGAGACAAACTATGAAGAGTAACAGTATATCAATCGCCGATCTGCGAAAACACGTATCTCCATTGCAGGGTTTTAAAATTTCTTGCTACTACTTTATTTTTCCAAAGAGGAACAAGCCAACTTAATAGCTTGAAATTCATACTGAATGTTATAATAACAGGGAGGCCAAACCAACAAAATTGTCAAGAAATTATGTTGAGTAGTCTCATTAGTCATTAGACAATAATGAATGACAGGGAGTCCATAACAGATAAATATCATTTTAGGGGTCATCAAGAATGACAGTTCTTGCAAAAGAAAGTGATCATAGCTCTGTTTGACTCAAAATGTTTTTGATTGGCAACCATATGTTTGGTAAAGCATATAATTTTTTCCTTCTCCAAAAATTCAAAAATTGGAAGGAAGTTCTGTGATAAGCGTTGTGCCTCTGTCAGCAAGGTACTTCCTTTCATGTGGTTGTCTCTTTTGTGTTCCTTCGTTCTCTCCCATTTCTCTGATATCAATTATTCTGTAATGTACAGGGCCTTGTAAGGTTTGACCTATTTTTCGGTTTAATTATATAAATTTCCTTTTCTCTGCATGCTCAGTCCTGAATGTTTTCCTGTCTTTATATTATATTATACACAGGCTGTCCAAAAAGTAATGCAACATTGCTCGGCTCTTAGAGCAAACGGAAAAAGCTAAAAAAAAAATCGGTGTACTTATCCATGTAGATGGGGTAAAAACCGATAAAATAAGACCTTCTTGAGCTCTTTTGGTCAAAAATTGACTGAGTTATGACGTTCCTCCCATGGCATATGGAGAGACCACCCCCAGGATTTTAAGGGTACTTTTTGCAAAGAAAAGAATGAGCTAGCAACAAATACTGCCTCTGTCTTAACAAGCGTCCTTGTAGACTTCTTTCGTTTCTTTGTACGTATCATTTAACGACAATCCACTCCGAAAACAATAGTGGATGACATAATGTTGTTCTTTTTCTAACGCTGCATTCGCACTCAACATCGGAAAGAAGATGAGCAAAATTTAATTACGTGACAGACCAACCGACTCGGTTGCAATTATTCTCTCACACGTATCTGTGACATTTGCACGCCTTGGCAAGCAATATTGCCAAACCCTCCCTTCATGTTGCCAACTTTATCTCGAAGTATATTTTGTGAAAGATCAAACTTAATGTTGACATTTTAAGACTTTTTGCAGCACACTGCGAAAAGTACCCCTAAAATCCTGGAGGCAGTCTCTCAACATGCCGCTGGAGAAACGTTATATCTTGGTCTCTCTGTCAATTTTTAACCAAAAGAGCTCAACAAGGTCTCATTTTATTGGTTTTTACTCCGTCCACACGAATATGTACACCAAATTTTTTTAGTTTTTCCGTTCGCTCTAAAAGTCGATTATTGCATTACTTTTTGGACAGCCTATGTACACTGCTTACTTGCTTTGCACAGTTGTGGTTGAACAACGCTATTATTTAGTGTGAGTTATTTCAAGAACCAAGGCATTGTATAATTATTGATTGTTAATTTAACTACTTAAGCTTTTTAATACAATCACATATAGTAAATTTTTCAGTAATGCAACAACACTAACAATATCAACAAAGTTTACATTATCTATTACAACTTGCTTTCAATTCAGTGCGCACGTCAATATTCTCTTCTTTTTTCCTACATCTCTCGTTTTGCCTCAAGATCGCAGCACCTATTCATTATTATGTTATTAGCACTGTCAATTTCCGTCTGGACATTTGATAAATTCTCATTCCTTCTACTCGCTTTAGCAATTTCGAATTTTATTAATACGCTTAGTAATCTACGGCCCCTATTTTTATGTAATATTTTGATATTTTGATGTAATACCATTTCCTATATTTTTACGTTTCTTGTACTTCTATGTGTACATGACATGTATTTTAAATGTATTTCTTTATATAGTCTTGTGTAGGAACAGGGTTGTCATAGTCAGGGAATTTTAGGAAGTCAGAGAAAGCCTGGAAATGTCAGGGAAAAATGGTCAAGTCAGTGAATAATTTTGCTTATCCTTGCTTTTGAGAAGGATTTTAGCAGAAAAGGGTAACAAGTAACAAGTCAAAGGCTTAGAATATTTTCGCCTAACTGACAATTTTGGCGGAAATGAGTCAGCGTTAGTTCACCTGCTGCATTCTATGGCAGTATGAAATACACAAGGTGATGTTTTTAGTTTTTTCCAATTCCTCATTAGAGTGCTGCAACGATGCTGTAATGTATATTAAAATAGCAAATTTAATCTCAAAATTATAAAAATGGCAAACATTTTTTCTTTGTCTTGTAAAATCGTCAGTTTGCAAGTAGGCGCTATGGTTCCTTCATCATCGAAGTACAAAAAACTAGTAGAATCTCATGTCCTTAGGCAGATTTCCTGCTTGAATTGTCCTCCATTGGTTAAGGGGCAAGAAAGTAATTAAACGATGGGGTTCACAATCGAACTCTAAGATAGGCTAAAGCCCTAGGTGAATTTTGCCTTTTCTGTCCTTGTGTGCATGTAGGAAAACGCCGGGACTTCGGGGTGTGAAAATTTTATGAACCCTACATACATTATTTTTTCCCTCTTTCTTTTTCTCTCTGAAACGAAAACAAACGAATAGCTTTCATTTAAGTGGTTACACCACTACTGTAGCCAGCTGATAGAATGTTTTCCCATAGAGGCTGCTTCTATGCTTGTCCTTTATTCCTCGTTCATCTGCTTTTTTCTTCTTTTTTATCTTGATCGTCGGCCATGAAGTATGAGAACAATAGGCTATTGCCTGCAGCCTCAGTAGTTGGTCAATCTACTTCTATTTCTTTTCTACTGTAAAATGCTCAGGTTAATATTCTAGACCTGCCTTAGTTGAGAAGTTTTTTGTATCATGCTCTCAACTGAATTTATGAATGCTTGATGTGCCATAGGTGCCTCACTTCAATCTGCCAAGATGCAAGAACAAGTGATTGTTGGTTCCGGCACATGAGTTTTTTTCAGTAGTCGCCTCAAGCGAAGTTGCGGAGCTCAATAGCGGTTTAAAAATATGAAATCGTCTATCTGCTTGAAATTATTGTCTCAGTTTCTGTGTGATCATTAATTTCTCTCCTTTGTGTCATTCTGTTTGTGTGTTACTATGTTTGAACAAATGAAAAATGAAAAAAAGGAAAAAAGTAACAAAAAAAAGAAGAAGAAAAAAATGAAGAAAGAAGAAATAAAAACAGAAAAAGAGAAAAAATCCAAAAAAATAAAAGAAAGAAGAAAAAAAAATGAAAAAAAAAATTAAAATAAAAAAAAAGTGGTTAAAAAATATCTTATTATAAAAAAGATGAAAAAGAAAAAGAAGAAAATGAAAAATAAGAATATATAATACATGAAAAAAATAAAAAAAAAGTGATTAAATTCAAGAAGAAATAAAAAATACATCATTTATCTAGAATTAAGTTATGGTTTAAGTAACTTAGTTTTCATATCGGTATTTTTAAGATTTCATGTCTCGTTTGTAAACTTTAAGTCATCTGTGTCTATGTGTTATTCCTCACAATCTGGACTTGAAAGTTTCCATTTGACAGGAAGATGATTCAATTGATTATCACATGTTATGAAAAATTGTTGGCTATAAGAAAAGAAAAGACAGGTTAGCAAACTCAAAGAATGCAAGAAATTTAGCAGAGAACGGATAGATACTTATTCATAATTATGTCTCGCTGAAATTCGGAATTTTAGACCCTCCCCTTTTTATAATGTTCCTGTCATTTTGGTCTGCACCCCATCCCCCTCCTCTCCAAAAAAGTCTGCCTTTCTTTGGTGGGCCTTTTTTTAAAGTAAAACAATTTTGTGGGCCTTTTTTTAAAGTAAAGAAATCGGCAGTGTCAAACTATCGGTATAGCAAAACTATCTACTTTTTTTTTTAAAAAAAAAAAATCGCACTTCACAGTAATTTTTTTGTTAAGTCAGATTATAATTTTCCACCATGCATCTGCTGGACAACATCAGACATCTCCCCTCCCCCCCCCACACACACACACCGAAAAGTGACATGATTTATGAACAGCCCCACACCATATATTTTGCAGATTGCCGAAGCTCTATAGTGTTTTCCATCCTCATTCCCTCCTAGAAAATGATTTCTTCCACTGATTTTCGGTAGTGCAGAAATAGTGCTTATCATGTGTTTTTTTTTAGGGTGTTTATCATTATGGATTCTTAAAGAAAATGATTTTACAATTTGCATGGGCCCGAAATCCATGGGCTAATTTATGTATCGTTGACAGTTGTGGCAAGAATGTTGACTTTGTTATTCGATGGCCAATTAATGGTTTGCATTGTCGAGGAACTAAGTGTGGCTCAAGCCTGCTTTAGAATAGTTTAACTTGCACAAAGCTTGCGTTTAGAATATGAATTCCCTGACTTTTAGTCGAATTTAGTGGATAAGTTTCACAACTTGTAGTTGACCAAAGCGGCAACGAAAGAATTCGGGCCGTGGTTAATGACTGACTGACTGAATCAGTAGATTAGGTTTTGCGAAATGAATGTGTATTCTAATATTTACATTAAAATTTTAATGTACTTTTGCTCTCATACTTTCGTAAGATAACTCTGATAATATATGGCATGGTGTAACAAAACGATAGTTTGTTGGACGCAGCTGTAAAAGGCAAACAGTGAAAATTTGTGAAGGAATTTTTACTTTTATTTTGTGCAATTGGATTGATTGTTTTCAGAAAAAGGTTTTTGCATGAAAGGCGACTTGTGCATGTTTGATCATGGAACGGACCCTGTCGTTTTGGATAATGTTGATTCGGTGCCATTCAGCCTCCCAGTTCAGCCTGATGTATTGCATCCCTCTGGACCAGACTCCCTCTATGCCAATCCCATGGTGAACCTACAGGGACCGCTTCTTGGACCTCCACCAAGTAATCGTGAGTATTGAATTGTATTCTTTCCAAACTTCAAGGATAAGATTGCCTCTTAGAAGGAGCTTATTGAAACGTAAATTTCCCAAATCTCGTACGTCAAGATTGAAGACCTTCCTCTGTAGCTTTTTATGCAGCCTTGAAAAACGCTTGATAAGCCCTTGATATCAACTTTTTTCTTTCAATGTCTTGAAAGAGCCTAATTTTTTGGAAGGCGCTTGAAAAGTGCTTGAATTTTGTTGTTAACTATTCGGATGGACCCTCCAGACAAGGTGCAACTTAAAGCATTATGATATGTTTTTTCTCATCAGAATTTCATGCTAAACACGATCCATGTTACTGAAAGGATCTCCCTTTCAAGATACTGCTATTGCTGGAAGCATTAATTCAAACTTCCCACTCATGAAAAAACCATGATCTATTTGAGTCCAATCACACTAATAATCGCACTCTCAGTTTGCTTCATTTGTATTCCTATTACCTTAGTTTATACGTAAAATCTGGAATTTAATTTGAAGTTCCGGTTTTCCATAGAGGTTGAATATTATTCACTCAAAAAATCATTTTCACTGTGTTTAATAATGCATATTTTTTTTCCTATTTTTATTTCAGTGGAATACAACCCAGCCGCACCTAATATGGAACCTTGGCCCCCAAGTAATTATATTGGAGGTGAATATTTAACTTATTACAGTATTTAATTTTATCTGCCAGGAAATAGTCAGTTGTCTTTAACTTTTTGCACGATAGATCAACATTGTGTTTAATTTTAGTTATTCTGAACTATTAAAGCGTAATTTTTTTATTATCGACAGTGCCATTGATGACAAACTTTTACACAATATTGAACTGACCAAAACTTTTGAGTTTAAGCAATACACGTGTCTTTATTTTACTCTCATTAAGTCAGTGTTACTTTAAAGATCCCAAGACCCTCAAAAATTTTCCAAATTTACTTTTAAAAACATCCCACTTTAATTTGTAACATATGCAATATTACTCGAATGAGTCATTAAAACCAGAAAGAAATTGGTTTATAAACATGGTCTATATCCATAGCTTAGGGATGAGAAAAATGGTAAGTTTGTTAAAATCTTTCATAAAATGGCTCCTGCGGAAAAATAATCGAATGTTATCATGAATCTTCAAAATAAATTCAAACAGTTTATGTATAAATTCTATGAAAAATATCACTGAACATCTTCATGCGTTCAAACTGACTCGTGTGTAATTCTGTCTGAATCTTGACTCTTTCTTTGATTTTCAGGTCCATTTAACAATCGTGGACCACTAAATAAACAGCGAGAACTGATCAGCGTTCCGACCTCTGCCAAGGCTGGCCTGCAGGTAATAAATTAACTGTACTATACTATGTCCTCTTTTCTTCAAGCTTGTTCACCTGATTATTCCTTGGATAAATCGGTGACACCTCCTGCTTAAATACTGCATTATGAGTTAATTAGCTCTGAGCAGTGCTGAATTCTTTACGCTTGTCGAAAATCTTTTTCGACTTAGACTGTAGAAAATAACATTGGTCCTGCGTCATTTGGCTGCATCAATTGCAAACAAATTGTCAGATGCTAATCAAATATTTCAACATTTAAGTTCAGGGACTATTTTTAATCGTGTAACGATAAAGGGTGCAGCAGGAGATTTCTGCATCCCAGATTTCTGACCTGTAAAAGTCGGGAAATTCGTAGGAAAAGTCAAGGAATTTTGCAAGTAAGGTCTAGTAAAAGTCAGCATAGTTAAAAGGAAAAAAATCTAAGTAGAAATTTAGTCCAGAAAAGTGTTCTGGAAGTCAGGGAACTCACCAATTTCCGCATTAGAGAAAAGCAAAAAAAGGCAGGGAAAAGTCATTGAAAGTCAGGAAATCGGAAAATGAAGAAATTATGTAAACCCTGATTACGCTAAAATTTAAGTGATTCCTTCGAATTATTTAGAGACTTTTTTGTCTGTTTTCTTCAGCTGTTTATGGAAAAGTGTCAGCAAAAAATTGTCTCCTTTTCTTCCTTTATTAATTATATTTTAACTTTGCATCATCGAGTTGCAGCTGCAATCTTATTAAATACATTAAATATGATTTATTGAAATTTGTATTACTTGAGGGGAACCTGGGTCAAGATTATGTAATTTTCAAGAGGAATGAGGAAGAAGTTTTGGCACAATGTTTAAGGGTCATGGGGATGAGGGAAAGAGGGTAGGATAAAACGGCAAATTTAGGGCACTGCAATTCAGGGGTAGCCCCCTAGTTTCTGAGTGACAAGTATGTTTTTACCTGTTAAAAAAATCAAACCTAAAGACAATTTTTTGTAAATTTAAAGGCTGAAATCACAGTTCATAAGAAATTGCCTGCCTCACTAACTGTCCATCCTTATCTCTTTCAAACTTCTATTTTTTTGGATGAAAGAATTCTGTTCATTTTAAAATTCATGTTTTTCATTTTGTATTGTTACAGGACTTCACGAGATCAGACTCTCTACAGAAACCAAAGTCTTTCAATCAACAGAACATCCCAACAAACTCTCTCCTTCTGAAGAAAATCCCCACACATCTAAACAATATCTCAAGGCTCAACAATCATTTTTACAAATTTGGCAGGATCAATAAAATTCAAGTAAAGCCCTTCTCAATTTTCATACATGTTGTTTCTTAAGGTGATTCGATGGACGCCATATTTCGTGTCAGAACGGCATGCGATATATTGCATCAATCGGTTCCATTTTTTCAGCTACTCATTATTTTTCTCCAATTTTGAGGTCGCAATTCTGTTGTCAGAAGACTAAAGCACTCACTTACCAATTTTAACAAAGAAATTCAACGTAATAAAGGCGTGGTTTTTTTTAGAGAGAAAACATCCCATTCAATACTGATATCGAAACTGCACTCGAATGTGATATTTTCTCTCTAAAAAAACCACGCCTTTTTTACGTTGAATTTCTTTGTTTTAAAATTGGTATCACCAATCGAATCACCTTAAATGAGCCAGAAGTGGTACTTTCTAATCGTTAAGTGGAATCCATTTATCTACTAATGTCCTCTGATAATGCACCATATTAATTTTATTGTATGTTTTTGTTTACAATTCTGATTCTACTTTATAATCCCCAATGATTTTACAGTTGGTTGAGTTTTGATATCATCGTGTTGAACTTCCTTTGAAAAGAGGAATTTTACAGAGGAGTTTTAAAGAAATTTTCCAAGTAGATTACATGAAATTTTTTTGTGAAGGTTATCGTCTTTTGTAATTGTTTCAAATGCTAGTTCTTTGAATCTCTAAGGCTCATAGGAAAATTTAACCGCTAAATTATTCTCTCTTTACAGGTTTTCTACGAAGGGCAGCCAGATGCAGCTCTGATTACTTTCAGCTCCGTTGCAGAGGCTCAAGCAGCCTACAGGAGCCCAGAACCCATTCTCAACAACCGTTTCATTAAAATGTTTTACTATCAAACAGATAAGAGCTTAGTTAATGTAAGTTATTATCTTCATCATTTCATTACAATACATTCATAACTAACATTATGCAATTTTATTACAAAACCATGAGAAAATTAGGTTGCAAAGGTCATGAAATTAAAAAAAAAAAAAAAAAAAAAAAAAAAAAAAAAAAAAAAAACTAGAGACATCAGGGGAGCCAGGGAATTTTTCAACTTGCAGTGCCAAAGCTGAAGTTTAACCATGGTTTTTGCCACTTTTGGTAAGCATGGTTATTTCAGATATCAGGGAATTTTGGCGTAGTTAATTAAAAAAATTTCTATTAAAATAAATACAAAGTTAGGAATCTTGGCATACTTAACGAAGCATTTGTTTATGTCAGTCCGAAAAATGTCAGGAAATTTTAGTCTATGGCATTGAGAATGTATTTTAGTAAAAGCAGGGAATGCTGACATAAGTAGTCAGAAATTTGTCGAAAAAGAAGAAAGACTTTAGCATTTGCAGTCAAGGAACCATTGGGGAATCTTGATTTCATAAAGTTACGGTATTTGGAAACTTTATGAAACTTAAACTCAAAAAACAGTTACACTAGGGGAATGCAAAATCATACTGAGTTTTAAAATCTTAAATTAAAATTTAATTAAATTAATAAATTAATTAAGTCATCAATTCATTAATATAATTAAAATTAAAGTTTTGTAACTACATAATGTGCCATAGTACTGCTCTCAACTCTCGCTCTATGACCATCCTTAGTTGTTTCCTTAATCATCTTACACTCCCTTTTAACAGGACGCTGTTATTCAAGCTTCTCTCTATTCTTCAGGCACTATATATGTTTATTTACTTTGTATATTTTTTTCTCAGGGAAAAATTCAAGATTCAATCGCCAACAAACGCAATGTAGGGAACACTAGTGCTGTAAATATGCAGCTGAACAGGCCGAAAGTTCCAGAAACCTCCAATGGTGCCACACCCAAACAGGTGGATAGCACCACTACAGTGAGTATAATTCATTTCAAAATTTCCAAATTTCAGCAGTAGTTGAGACATCACATTCAGAAATTCTTGAAATTTGATCTATCTGACTTAAAAGAATGATCAACCACTTTTTTTAAGCCAAATTCTAACCGCAATCTTTTTGTCTAATTTGAGATCTCTTTTTAGTTTCAGAAAACTGGTGCATACAATTTGGTTAAAGATCCAGGGAGAAAACCGGTTGTTGAAAAATTGGTAAGAATACTCACTAGAAATTGCTTCTAAATTTCACATTAATCAGACCGGAGTTGTTGCATGATCCAAGAATGAACTTTAAAAACTTCTTAGCAAGAAACATGTTACCAAGCTTAAAAAAGTTGAAATCAACTTTTGTGACCAGGAAAAGAAACTTGAAAACTCAGTGATGCAGAGAATGCAGCAAAACTTCACCAACGTTAAACGTAAACCAACTCGAGAAACAGACGGATTCAAACTTTAAAGATCATTTTATCAGAGGATAATGCACTCGCCGTGAAGAGATTAGGCGGTCAGTCAGTTCACCTCAGTTCGTCTAAGTTTAACGTTACTGAAGTTACGCGTTTTACCATCTGCATCACTAATCAAACGAAAGAGGAAGAAACCAAAGGTGTCATTGTTGCGATGGATGATGTCAAAAACTTGACTTTTCAAAGGGCGATATCTCTGTTAATATTGAACGTAGAAAGTTGCAGTTTGGACAGTTCTTATTATTTTTCGCTAATTTACAAGAATCAAGTACCAAAACACGATTCTGTGACCAGCGCAACTGACCCATTGACCAGAAAGTTTTTCAACAAACTTAGATGAACGGAGACCTGACAATCAATTCTTCATGTGATATCTTAATATTGTTCAGCATGATATTTTTCCGTTTGAAATGCAGGCAGATATTTTTCTCCAACCTTGGAAGTTGTATGTGAACTCGATGAACTACATGTGTTTCCTTCTTTTCTATTTACAGAATGTCCTGAAGAAAACAGTAACCATCTACAAGAAAAAGCAAGAGCTATTACAGAAATTGATCAAACAACAAAAAGATCTTATTCTACTCATCGAAAAAGGGTCACTTAGTGAGGAACAAAGGAGTAAAATATTTGAAACCATCAGTAGTTTACAGGTATGAAATTATTTCGTGACTCTTTAATTTCTGTGTGCAACATTCAAATATAATGATTTTAGTTTTTTCCCAGCACTTGCTAGTTTTTTGAAAAACTGGTGGGCGAACGAACGTAATGAAGAAGAGCCATACTGCCGTGCTAAGGAAGAACGCCGTATGAACATTCGAGAGTCGCCAAATTTCCTTCAATAAAATGTTTATTTTTGAGGAAAGATATGAATATTTTTGTTTGAAATTTTCAGGAACTTCAATTTTGCCAGCAAAATTTTGCCAGCAAAATTATCTTAAAAATTGGAAAGAAAATATTCATAAGTTTACCAAGGAATTCGTGTTTTATCAAAGGAAATTTGGCAATGCCTGGAGCCTCATATGTCGTTTTTCCTTAGCACGGCAGCATACTACCAGAGAAAAGAAGTGAACCTTGCGACCTCAAGTGACCTTGTTCTGACCTTTTTTACCTGTTATCTGGGAGAGTTGAGCAATTAACCAATAAAATTATTAGAGGTTTTGCATATCCATGCTCAAGAAAATTAAATTTGTTCCAACTTTAAAGTAGACATTTGGTCAAACCCCATGCCATTTTTTTTTTTGTTCATCCTCCTCAAGTTGCTATGATAGTTGCGTCACTTTTGTTGAAGGAAAATTTTATGAACTCTCCATACTTTTCAGGTCCAAATTGAAGGCATCAAGGAATCAATCAAGGAAGCTCAAGCAGATATGTCGAAGACAGCCTCTCTGATAAAATCGAAACCTGGAACTCAGCTCGTCAAATCTGAGCCAAAAGTGAAAACGGAACCTGTTGAACAGTCCGAGGCAGCAGAAAAAGTCGAGATCAAAGGAGAAAGTAGTGATGCGGATTCAGCTGAGAAGCCATCAGCGGAAAATCAGAGTGATAGCAAGGTAACATGACATTATTAATAGTGGTACATTAAACAAGATCTGCAATTTCCCAAAAAATCATAGTGTTTCAGGGTGTCCACAGGTTTGAGAAACCTGGGAAATAGGGAATCGTCAGGGAATTTTATCAGGTCAGAGAAAAGTCAGAGAATGAAATCAAGAATTGAGGGGCTTGAAGGACAAGGAGCCTAAGTGCAGTTTTTTAAAAATTAAGGTATCAGTGATTCCAACTAAGACTAGCCTTCAAATATTTTCTGTAAAAAATTCACTACTAAAATCCAATTTTTAAGCATCAAAAAGTGAGTTTAAACTTGCTTTCTATCATAAGGCTCCATATCTACTTGAAATTTTATGAAATTTTTTTTGAAACAGCAGAAACTGTACCTTGTGTGCTTTATGCCTTATGGGCCTTGTCCTCCAAGCCTCTCTTCCTGTGGATCAGAATTCTTGAAAGTAATCGGAAAGAAAACCAAAAAAAATGTGGTAAATTAAGATATGTTTGATACACATCAAAGGAATGTCCGTATCGATCTCAATTCATTTCATTTTTTGTATTGCAGGCGTCCAAAGAGAATGAAGCGGATAGCAGCCAACCACAAAAGAAGCAAGCGCTCACTGAGATGCAGCGGAAGATTTTAGACTTGAAGAAACAGATGCAAGCCCTGACTGACTCAAAAACACTGGCTCAGTCTCTCAAGAAGCCTTTTTTCAATAATCCAAACAAATTCAGCAGGAATTTAACATTCACCAGAAATCCAACAGCTCCTGAGACGTGAGTTTCTTAGGTTTTTTAACTATTCTCTTTTCTCCAGATCACGTCGAAACACTTAAAAATGTATACGTGTAAGCACATTTTCTACCTTAATGTAAAGGTGGAAAATTATGCATCTGGATGCAGGAATTTTGAATCTCCCCGTTACCTTTTTTCGAAAGAAAAGTTAGTCATGCTTTTTATACTCTCCAAGATTTTTCTTTGCCTTTTTGCGTATCTCCGTAAAATTTTTAAAAGAACAAGTTGATTAGTTGATATTTATTTTCCTTTAACAAAGAAACAATGCATCAAATGCTCAAAAGAGAAAGAAACGACGGAGGGAGCGAAAAATAAATCAAATTTAAGTGTAAATTATAAGAAAGGAAGACTTCTTTCAAGGCTTTTCGGCTGTTAATTCATTATTAATTACCCAAGATTAAGATTTTTTTTCCTGGTAACATCAGTGTAATTTCTGTTTTTGGTATGCTATAGAGTTCTATTCAGGGGGTATTTTTGATATAACCATGTATTCCTTTGTAAAATTTTGCAAGTAACTTTGTGCTGCCAATGGTTATCTCTGAAATCAACATTTGGAATAGAAGAAAGCTCTAAAATTTTAGGCAATAATGAAGACAATAGCTTTAAGCCTAAGCAGAGTCCACCTTTATTCCGTTGATTTCTTTATGTGGCAATTTGAGTAATTACTTGAGCACACTCTTTATCACTCCCATATTATATCTACACTCAGATATTATATTTATCATGGATTCAAATTTTATTTCAGGACAAAGAAGAATGTTTTTGCTCTCTCCAACCCCACAACCACAGCGCCTGCGCAGCCCTCGAAATTCCCTGCTGCAGCGAACGTCGATCACCGTCCTACCAAACTCCTGATCTCTGGCTACGAATATGATGATGAAACAGAACTTCTGCAAAACCTAGCTGCGTTTGGAGAAATAGAGGATTACATCAGTGATCCAACCACACCCTCGATAATTGTGTCTTACAAAACAAGGAAAGAAGCGGAAATTGCGCTTGTCAAGGGGAAAATGTTCAAGGACAGAAAGCTGTCCATTATGTGGTACAATGAACCGGTTCCTTACAAGGCAATGAAAAGGTACATTTCTGTTTTCTTCATAGATTTGTAGGGTAGCCTTTGGCACTGTGGCTTTTTTATTTTTATAAAGTAATCATCTGAATTAAAAGAAAAACTGTAGATCTGTGTCAAACAATTCATTGAGATTTTCACTCAGTTAAGGGCATCAAGGTTTATGATTAATATTCACGTTTTCTTGGATCATTTCAGAGCTCGTTGCTCCCGGTTCCGGTCTCAGTTAAAAGCCACCCGCATCACAAATTTGTTGAAATTAAAATAAAGTTAAAATGTAAACGACTGGGACTGACAAAGATGATAATCAGACCTGAAGATTAAAACCCAAAATTGATACCTAATCAAATGAGCTCTAAAATAATCACAGTTGTCGATTAATCAAAAAGTCTAAAAAGAATAAAATCCCAAAAAGAGTGTATTTTTTTTAAATGTTACTGGATCCATTCACAAATCCTACCTTGAATGTTTATATAGTGTAAGAGCTTTCGTTATAACATTTTTTTGCTCATTTATTTCTTTCAGGACATTGTCTTGCTCCTCAGACCATTCAACAGACAAATCATTTCAAGATGATATCACATCGCCTGATCATTACAGCTATTCGGTAGGTTTCTCCTATTTATCCATCTTTTTTTTTTCTCAGTAAGAAAATAACATAGAGTTGTAATGTAAGTGGGAGAGCTAGCGCCATGTTCTGCTCGACGAATTCCGAGCCCGGTGTGCGCCGAGTTCGGGTCGCTTTTTCGATACATTTTCGATCCAAAATGGCGGTGTGGAATACGTGGTAATTCCTATCTCCTTTGTTGTTGTTGTTGTTGTTGTCATCGGATGGCCGGGTACCCGTGTATCGCAAACAATCAATTATGTATCGAAAAAGTGACCCGGCGTCACACAGGAGTCTCGGAATTCGGGACATGGAAAATGCTTAAAAGTGGTGCCAGCTCTCCCACTTACATTACGACTCTATGCACTCTATGGAAAATAATGGCAAATATCAGAGATGCCATGATTCAATAATGAGTATCCTGAAGAAAACTATGTTGGAAAGGGTGATATTCCAAGAGTACTGATGCCGTAATCTCGTACACAAAGTTGCAAGAATAATTATTCCTATGTTAGTATTTTACTTTAAATTTTTGCTGATGGCACTCTATTTAAAAAGTCAGCGTTTTACACTCCTACATAGTGTTCGTCTTTGAAGAGCAATAATTATCTTACTGTACATTGGAGGGGTATCGCGAAGGGCCGTTTTTGGGCCTTAACTCTACGATTTTTTGCTCATCGAAGGTCTGTATTCTAATGCATCATGATTTGGTCATTTTCGGTCTCTTCTCAGGTCTAATATTGGACTAAAATGGGTTTGACTTTTTGCACAACAAATTTTTCCTGAAACCAATTCAAATTATGTCTTTTAACCATGTGGTATATCCTCAATTGTCAGGGATTTTTACCAAAATTTTTTCGGGGAAATGTTAAGAGGAATTTATTTTCTGAATTTTGTTGTAACCCTGGCAACTCTCATCTGTCTGTTCAATAATTTTGAGCATCGACTAATATTTTAAATTTCTATTTGTTCACAGAGGAAGTTTGATTCTAGTCATGAAGACGACTCCGACTGCGATCGCAAGAGTGACCGTGACATTGACGAGAAATTGGACTTAAAATCAGACAGCTCCCAGCGGGAGTTTGATTGGAACCGGCTGAGCCATTGATCTCTGTTCCTTTATTGTTTTGTCAATTGATTGATACCTGCATTTGCACCCTGTATTTTTCATTGAGCTCACGAATCATTGGTTTCTAGGATGACTTTGTTTTATTTGGAGTTGAAAGTTCCAAGGTCTAAACCTTCATGTTGTATTTTTTAGCGGTAATTTTTGTTCACGAAATAAGTTGTATATTTTATCTATTTATTTTCCTAATTGTTGCAAATATTTTCAGTCTTTGAGTTTTTAAAAAATCATGTACGAAAATAAATTGATTCAGTATGTGATTCCTCTTGTTTCTCATTTCATCAAAATTGTTCTCGTCTTTTCCTGTATTGAAAGCATTCTTAGAGTAGCTGAAAATTATTCCCCTCCTCAGGAAGTCTTTATTACTCTAACTTTCTTGTCAGTTAAAAAAAGATGGAAAGAGCTAATCAAGTAAAGGACGAATGGATGGTGAAATTAGACACTTAATATAAGCCCTTCTTCGTTTATATGTTCCAACTTCCACTCCTATGTTGACTCATTTTTGCTAAAGAAAACTATCTGCAATGAAATCGATGAGGAATTTTGATCATTTTGGTAAGGGGAAACCTAGTAAAGTCAGGGAATTAGTTGTCTCAAGTTTGCAGACACCCTGAATGATCTGATGAGAGATTTACTCAAGTTAACATACTCTATGAATGTTCCTTTGTTGCGACATTAAATTTGCCTTTTTTATTCCGTACTAAAACCATCATCACTTCCGTTTCATGCTCCTAAATCAAACAGTAAAACCAAAAATCGGCATTTTGCATTTTTAAATTATTTCATTACAACCAGATGAAATCATTAATCCTGTGAAATTTTTGGAGAGCATTTTTAAGGCAAGGTTTTTCTTGGATAATTGGAGCATTGGATAAAAATTCTGAAACCTTGCAATGGCAATATGTTTGTTTTTTAGTCAAAATATTAGCATGAACCAATCATGAACCCTTAGGTAATTAATCAAATATCATGGCCATAAATAGATAGGTAATGCTGTGATCATTATTTCATAGGTGTCTTGTCCGCGTATTGAAGTCAATTGAAAGGCCTCTAACTGTAATCTAAGGTGAAAGCAAAAAAAAATCAGAACACACGTTTGGATTAATGATATAGCATATACTTCTTGTTAAATCGTATCTTTTGAAGAAAAACTATATAACAGATTTTTTTTTTTCCTGAATTGGACTGCGTTGAGCAGAATGGAACCAAGGCTCATCAGCTATTGCCAATTTTAACTGGGCAATTTAATTTTTTCTGTAAAGATGGTTATGCAGATTTTTTTTTACAAATTTCAGTGAATTTCCTGCTCAGAAACGTTCTCTTGTAAAAAATTAAAGTGCCCAATTAAATTCGGCAATAGCTGATGTGGCTTGGTTCGTTTCTGATAAACTCGGTCCTAGTCACACTGGTTTTTCTACATTTAGTGCGGATTTTTCATGGAAAAAGTCTATTAAAGAATGTTGACTGATGTTTCTTTATTAACAAAAAAAAAAAAACCAGTAGATTTTGAAACGTCGTTATCGATCGTGCTATTTTTTTTTTCGACTGATCATCGCCAAAGTAGACAAGTAACACAGCTAGGACACCCTGAATCAGGACCCACAACAGAGCATGATTCGCCTTCATTTTGATCGGTTAGGCAAAACAGGTCGTGCGCGTCGAAACAATTGTATTCTCAGAAATTGGCCGGCGCACTTTGTGAAGCACTCCAATATGACCAGCAGAAACATCCCTGAAAAACTCCCAATCGAAAGAAAAAAAAAACCTTCAGAAGCGACAACGTGTGGAAAAGCTTTTACCGTTCTACGTGATTAGATCGCGCATTCACGCGCTCAGAAAAATATTAATAAAACGCCGTGTGTGGACAAGCGGGGAGGTGGCAATTAACGAACCCCTCTGAGGGATTGCGAGGGTGGCAGTGTGTTGAGGATTCCTGTTAAACTTGAATTGCTCACATTCATAAAGGGAGTGGAAGCAATTTTGCTGAAGCGAGGGTGAAGCGACATACCCAGCTGCGCCGCGTAGATAGATGCGTTAAAATCACATGGAAAATCGACTAATAATTCGCCTTCGCAGGACAAAATATGAAGAAAGAAAAAAGATAATTTCCAAGCTGAATAAAATTGTATTGTATCAACGACAGTGGGTCGTGCCTAGCTAGGTGGTGTCGTCCTAAAAGCGAGGAACGCATCAAAGTGGAAAGCGCCCCTACGTTGAGCTTTCGTCGTGGGGCGGCGCGCGCAGGAAGCTTATCGCTCGGTGTTTTGTCGCGGTTTTCTGCTCGGAGTAATCGTTTTTTGTGTTAGTGTGCGATCCGCCGTTGGTCTGCGTGCACGTCACTGCAGCGCGTTCGTGTGATACCACGCGCGTTTTGTGCTTCCCGCGGTCAATAATCTCCTCGAGCTTTTGTATACGTTCCGCGTTATCTCTGCCGAAAGTTCGGCGTGGCGCTAAGCTTTGTTTGTGACTCATGTTCGCACGGCAAGTTCCTTATTACATCTAGTAGGTTTTGAACTCCAGTTTCGGTGACGCCATCCTTAAAAACAACCCTCAGACACCCCTTTATCACGGTCTCAGAGGGAACTGCAGAAGCGTTTATCTCGCATAAAACTTTTCGCGACGGTCTTTTAACTTGAACGATTGGTATTTTGTCGGTATCACTCAACACTCGTTTTGAATATTGGAGGAAATCGGTTTGCCGTCTCGATACAATCGCATCCTCGTGATAAGCTGATAGCAGTTCCCTAGTGGTGTTTACCTAGTCTAGGTCTGATTCTACTTTTGCATCTGACGGTGTATTTTATTAGTTTTTTGTGTTCTTTCTATGTCATTTGTTTGAATATTATCTCTGAATGTAGTGTTGTGCTCCAATCATACATAAAGTTTTCAAATTTGTGGATTTTCTCCGAAGTGATAAGTTTGTTTACATCTTACATCACATTGCTGGAACGTTGCTTGACCATATTGGACTTGCTCCTTTGATGATTAAGGTATGTTATCTGCACATTTTATGTCAAATTATTGTAAGTTAGTCAATGAAATATTGGTTCTTCTTGATACTGTAGTTACTTATTGGGACCATATCTTTGCTGGAACCAATCCTGTATCAAAACGGCAATCTGTGCAACCGCACTGGACCGTAAGTTTTTAGCAAGAACATCCGCAGAATATGACAGTATGAATTTGTCTTAAGTATGAACCCTTCCTACTTGTAGAATATTCTAAGGCATGAGTCTATATCTTCTGGAATTCATACACTTCATGAAGATTTCATCGCCCTGTCCTCAGTCTGAGAAACGGACTTACCTAGGTAGCTACCTACTTAAACTTGCCGGGCGGCCAAAGATGAGGTTACTTTTAGTTTTTGCCTGTATTCAAGCCGTCCAGACTGAGTTTCCAAGTAGCTTAGGCAAAGAACACTGCATGACGGTCTAAATGTAACGAAAACTTGCAGGATTTTTTTCAAAATTTGAAGGATCAAATATGCATGCTCCCCTTGATTTTGCTTCTCTCTTCTTTCCTTTGCATTAACAATGAAGACAGAAGAGGAAGTAGGAAGAGGATTCCACGTACACGATTCTAATTATGATCACCAAGTGAATGGAAACACTGTGTCACCATTTTTCAACAATATTAAGAGTCAAATGCGCTGGACCGTTTTTTCCTGTGTTGCTTCAACAAAATTAGCAAATTCTGATTCACTCTGTCTTTACATCATACCAATAAGTACATTGCAATAATATGTAAATGCAAGATTACTCTTTAAAGAGACAGTCCCGATTGTCGCCTACTGGAGCCTCAAGAAGTAGCTTAGGTATATGATGAATAATTGAGACATCAATCAGTAGAGTCACCAGGTCAGTGTTATACATTTTTTGCCCCTCCCAAAGATTGTTGATAAGTAGTGTCACTAAACTATTGCATCAAGACAAAAACATTCTTGAAATTGAGCCCAAATGGAATTTGAAGTATCGTTGCTAAGGTGCGAACACCCCGTGAAACTAATTCAGTTTTTAAGAAAAAAAACCTCCCTAATTTACTCAACTAAGTAATTCTAACCAGTCTTGAAAAATCAACAGTGATACTTTTTACTGTGCGGTCTGCCACATTTTTATTAATTATTTATCCAATCTATATCAGTTATCTGTCACGATTGCACGCCATCTATTTTGGTGGTATACAGCAAGTAAGTGACATCAGCTACAATCACTGGTTTCTTTCACTGGTTATAGCTTCTTGCCCGGCTCAAATTACTGGCGTTTATGAGTGTAGGAAAAACGCTAGTGCATCGTTAAATACGGAAATCAAACGCGCAACTATTCGAACTCGGGAGTAGGTATGTGGTATCACGCGAAAATGAAGGAAAATCTTTGGTGTTTGCCTGTGTAAAATTACTGACGTGATTTAATAAATGTCGGCACTATGCTCGCATCGCATCGTTAAATGCGGATATCAAGCGCGCAACTATTCGAACCCCGGAGTAGGTATGCGGTATCACGTGAAAATGAAGGAAAATCTTTGTTTTTCGCCTGTCTCAATTTACTGACGTTGAATGTAGGTTTGTACTATGATCGCATCGTTAAATACGGGAATCAAGCACGCAACTATTCGAACTCTGGAGTAGGTTTGTGGTATCAAGTGAAAATGAAGGCAAATCTTGGTCTTTCGCCTGTCTCAAATTACTGGCGGTTGTGAATGCCGCTATATTCGTGTGAAAAATGGGCTAAAGCCTCGCTAGTAGCAACCAGTGTTAAAACACTTTTGAAAAATTCTTGAATTTTAGAAATACAGCTGTTGGAGAAAAAATGTTAGTTTTGGGAAGCGCTCGGTTTTAATGTACAATTCACGAGAGGTATTTAATTTAAAAAAGAGCAGAACAACTTTCAATATTTCATCCTCAGTTTTCTAACACTAGCAATAGGTAGGTATTTGAAAGGAATTCCAAAAAATTCTTGAAAAGTACCAAATTATTTTTTTAAAATACTTCAAATTAAAAAATAGACCCGAAGGGTCTCCTAAAGCGAATATTTTATTAGTTTTTCCAGAGGTTTTAGTTTTTGTGGGTCGCTTTTTAAAGGTCATTGCCAACTGGTCTGTTTAAAATGATATGTTCATAACTCTCTAGGCATTCTACTTAAAACGAAAACCTACCAAAGTTAAGCGGAACTTGAATGGTACACTCAATTTTCAAGACGTGGGCGGGGGGAGGGGGCGGACTAATACTATCGGGAACATCCCCCCCTTCCTCTGCAGTAACCTGCACTGACGCTCCGTGGAAAAACGCCGTATGAACCTTCAGACGTTGCCAAATCGCCTTAGACCAATCACGAATTCTCCCGAAAGTTCGTCAGTATTTTTCTTCCAATTTTAAGAGAATTTCGTTCGTAAATTGATCTAAAGTTTCCCAGAAATTCAAGGGAAAATATTCGAAACGTTTTCCAAAAATAAATACTTTCTGAGGGGCAATTTGGCAACATTTGGATGCTCATACGGCGCACAGTGGATCGAGTCAATACGAGAGGTCGGACAAAATTTGAAAACTTTATACGCCCATAATTCCGTTTATACAAGACTTTGAGGTTCTAAAAGTAGTGCCATTGGTTTCCTCGTGAAAATTCTCTCTGTATGCACCCCTTGAAATTAAAAATGCGACAAAATGAACATGAATCTTTGCAGTTTTGTAAAAAATTTTATGTTCGACCTCTCTTATTGACTCAATCCACTGTGCGGCGTTTTTCCCCAGTGCACGATTCCAAATGCGCCACTGCAAAGGGCAAACGGAACAAACTAATCGCAAGGGTCTAATGGGCACGTAAGGGTTTGCTTAAAGAGTGTTAACAAACGAGAAGAAACACGATGGAGCCGAGGAGAGTGACCGAACCACTTGTCACGCTCTATTCGTCGCGCCTCTGGCGTGCTTCCATTCCCGCGTGAGCCCCAGAAAGCATTGATTTATACGTAAAACAGGGCTCACGTGGAAATACAGTTACGCCCTTACGTCGGAGGAGCGACGTAATGAGTCAAGAACTCCTCGTCGAGTCAAAGAGGAAAGCTAATGAGACCCCAAGTTCAAATGTTCCCTGCTTAGCATACAAAAGGCTCTTCACAGCCGTCGGGGGAAAAGAGGCCCGACTTATTGGCCGGAGAAGGGGGGGAGGGGCTAGAGGAAATCGATACGGAAGTCCGTCTGGATATCATCATCATCGGATAGCAGGCCTCACCGGAACGAACCTCCCGCCGCTGGTAAATTTTATTTCGAATCGTATATCGAAAAGTTGGTTTTATTAGTTTTTGTTCTTCGAGAGCGAAGTTTCTGATCGGGGGTCCGTCCAGGGTCGCATGATTTGGCCCAGGAAAAGTTAATACATTTTGAAGTTCACTGGAAAAAAAAAACTCATTGGATTTAGAGTCCAGACTCTTAAAAACATCGACAAGAAAAAATACTCTTGATTCAATCAGATTTAAGCGTAAGTCAAGAACCAAGCCTCTTAATTTGAGCGGATTTCTTTTTGATTTAAGCTTGAATCTGATTGAATCAAGAGTATTTTTTCTTTTCAATGATTTCAAGAGTCTGGACTCTAGATCCAATGTGTTTTTTTTTCCAGTGTTCCCAAGTAGCGCAGCGCATAATGAAAATATTAAAATAAAATCGTGATTTATTGCAATTAAATTGAATTTTTTTACCGTGAAATCGCAATAATACATCGTTTCCCTTGCGAAAGAACGTGATTCCATTTCGAGGTTGCAGTATTGACTCAAAATTTTCAATTTTATTACGAGAAGAAACCTGCATAATTTTTGTCGAAAATTTGTCTTCTTTTTGAGATCGAGGAAAAATTAGTGAAATTTCAGTCAGAAATCATCAATATTCTTCCGGTAAAAATACAACTTGCGTGGGGAAATTTGGCAGCACTGCAATATAGTTACTTTCTTTAGTGAGAGAAATGACAATTTTTACAGCATTTGGTCAAGTAATGCTGATTTTTAATAATGAAGAAAGTGAGTTCCATGTGTCAGAAAGATAGGTAATATGCAGTGCAATGCAATATTGCAACTTATCTCAATTTTATCGCAACACATTTTAATAAGCCGCTTGGTAAGTTAGTTGGTCAATATATTCATTTACAGGTGCCTTAACACTCCTTTAATCAGTAGATGGGCGACTTACACTATACTTAGATGCAGTAGTAATGCTATTACCATGTAACGGAGAATTTGCATGCAAAGTTTTGCCTCGTCTGAAAGTGCTTAAGGAGATGGTTTCACAGTATTTTTCTTAAAACATTTAAATTTATGATATGGGAAATTGTATAAAAATAGATTTAAAAGTGGAAAAATGCACCGCCTAGTAACTTTATCTGACGGCATTTCCAATTTAATCACACGTATTCTAACAGATTAGCTCATTTTGTCATATCTTCTCCAATAATTTTTCAATGCATGAACCAAGGGTATCCCCGTGTTCAGTTTACTCAGTAATTTCCACTTAAACACGAAATTAATCCAATCTCAGACACCTGCAAATTCTCTATTGCAATTTATTGCAGTTTGTGCTCCTTGGGTTGCTAGGAAAATCTGGAAAATTTATTTGGTTTATTAAGTGAGGACTTCTTCAGTTAAATAGTGTACGAGGCTTGCATTGCTGCTAAGATACTGCCATTTCGCAAAGCATTTGCAGCAAATTAAATTCATTCACAGTCGACTTATACTTCCATACGATAGTGAAGAAAAACTAGGAGCAGATTCAGGTAAAAATTCATGGCAGAACTTTCGGATAGGATGCTTGTAGTTAAAGAAGGAATTCTTTCAAATCTAGCAGAAACCTGATCGATTCGAGTGATTTTACTCTCGATTCAAAAGAAAATCCTCTGAACGGCGAATTCAAGTTTTTTTTCTGCCCAGTGTGTGCTCACTTTCCTCGTATCTCGCACTCGTAACTGCCGAACTAACGAGCAAACTCTTTCGGCCAAAATGCTGATCCCTTTTCGTT